ACATCCAATCATCACTGTATTGGTTCTTGTGTGAGGGTTTTGATGCTAGAATAGATGACTCTTTGATGACAGCAGTCCGACTTGGTAGCTTGTAATAGATATCAAACTACAAAAATGAGATCAAAGGGAGAGCAAACAGCACAAATGAGTACTTACCATAGCTTCCAGGCAAGCCTTACCATGTGTGACTTGTTTGACTCCTAAGTATCGGGAAACGGCTCCCTACTACTTGGATGATGAATGATACTCAAAGTCAGTCCAATATATATGTAAGTACATAGAAATCCGGAAACCTATAGGCGAAAGTAGTGGTGGAATATTTCAGATCTGAAGTACATGTAAACAAACACAAGGTGCTGTGGATGATGGGAAAACATGTAATAGTGCTGGCTACAACTTGAGTAATGTGCGAAATAATCAACTACGCACCTAGTGGGGCTAGCGAGATGGGACAGGACACAGGTAGGACAAGTGCACAGGATTTCAGGTTGGCCGATGTGGCCAAAACGTTGAGTCCACTAGTCAAAGTGTCGGGTTAGCATCGGGTTACATTAGGAAATGATTTGTGTGCGATGGGCATTGGACATGTACTGGGAAATAACAGAATATGAGCTCAGTGTGAGGCTGAGTGCTACAATGCACCCATGTCCATTTTGATTGACATGCAGCCAGTGTCTTGGGTGCACCTGAGCAGGCATGGTTTGCCATGCTATCAGCAATAGAGACCCAGGATGTCTTGTCAAAGTTCATGCCATCCCCACCTTTGGGGCGGTTGGCAGTGACATACTGGATGAGTATAATTTCATCTGCTTCAGTCCATATACATTGAGCCCTTGATTCCATCACTTCTAAACCACCGTGAGCACTTTTGCAACCGCATGACATCCTGTGAGAGTTGCATAGATGGATGGACTGTCGTTGAGTAACAGGCATGCCAGTGATTGTGATTGATCTATGTATATCACATTGTGACTCTCCTAAGCCAAGTTTTGCATGATTCAAATCCTAATTTGCGCAAACAAGGGTGCCCAAACAGACTCTCATATTTTGGATTTCACACAAAACACTGACAAAATTTGAAGTTGTGCCCATCTTTATGTTAGTTTAAATTTCAAATATTTTCTTTGCATGTTGTACTACATATAAACCCACTCTAAATATTGAACACCCTGATGTGACAGAGGCAACACATGTTGATTAGAAACAGTCTCGCATGATCATACAAATAAAACTCTATTTTAAGACAGGAACATCAAAAAATTTGGTTGATGACACAGTGGGGGAAACTGATATTTTACCACCTTTTGCTGCCAGTGAAATTACACTTGAAAGGTAGTCCAGAGTGCTCTGTAACACTCTAGGCTAGGTCTAGAGTGAAATCTTGCAAATATTGAAACCCCCAATGCTGTGAGGTTTGGACAGGAATCATGTCGCTTCCCCAGAATGATCTAAAAATATATCATAGTTCTTTGGAAGATCTTGTGTTGCGGATGCAATACAGCTAAATGATATTTCAATTTGGAAGTATCGCAACCTTTGTAGATTTCTGATTCCAATCATTATTACTATTCAATTTATCCTTCGAAACAACAGCACTACTGCTGTTTACTTAGTAAAGGCGTGACTTGTTTATACTGGAGTTCAAGCTATTACTATGAAAAGGTAGGGCCCTTTTCATCTTTGGGAGTCGACTAGTCAGATTTAACCTGACAATTCATGAAGGAGTTCGCCAATGTATTTGGATGTGTCAGTCACAATGAGTACTATTATTAGCATCAGATCGATGCTGATCCAAATTGAATAATAGTATGTGGGTGATACCAATAATCTGAGGCCCAGACTTCTCACTCCTGTGATGGCCCCCCAAGTCATATCATGATAGTGATACCATATCCCTCCGAGTCAATGATTGCTGACTTGGATGTGGCGCCAATGTATGTGTACATTGACCAGGACAAATACCACTAGTGGTACTACTAGGTGCGTATTTTTCATGTATTCAGATTTGGTGTCTACTAACATATGTACTAACTTGAAGGAAAAATGTTTGATCTTGCTTCCCATGTACACACTCCACCTGGCCCAGCTCCACCTGCATTCCATTGCTCCTTGTCAATATGCAGTGTGCACTTGGCAGACTGCTATTTGCATGCTATGCACTTATCCAAGTCTCTCAGGCTGTTTCAGAGCCACTTTAATGTGGAGAATACTTACCGAAATAGATCAGTGGCAAGTGCCAGCAATGAGATCATGTTAGTTGTGGGAGGATCTGTCTATCCTCCTCCGAGTCTGAGTTCAAGCAACCCTTACTCTCCTGGTATGCAGCAACTTGACATGTGCTTCCGAGTGCGTGTTAGATTTTGTTCTTATCTATGTACTATCTGCACCTTTCAAGGGACACACTCTGAAAAAGCTTTCCTTGACCTCCAGTGAGTCCGCACTGATCCATTTTTTCACAAATAACTCTCACTGCACTGTTGAAAGAATGATGTCAGAGTCAGTGCGTGGGCCAGCCATTCAAACACTGACTTGGATTTGACAGCAAAAAGCATATAACTTGAAGATACATCATTCACGAGCATCAAGGGGTGTTTGTGGCCCACAACGGAAAAACCCTGATATCATTCCTACTAGTGGTACTACTACCACCACTTTATAATTTGTATGTGTATTTTTTTTTTCAAAAAATCTATCTAGTAATACTATGTCAGACTAGATTTGGTATTTAGTATCTGCATTAAGGAACTACCGTGGACTGGCTTTGATTTAGAAGTACAAAATGATTGGGCCCGGTCCTGCTTCCAACTGTTTGCTGTACTACCTGTCTGCCACGCATTATATCTCAATCAGTATCATATGGTAAATGGTTTGTCTGATGGATCATTTATTTTAAGATACCACTGTGTTCATCTCGTTTACCAGGTTGACATACTCAGGTTGCTGGCAGTGGCGAGGTGAATTCAATCACCTCGAACTGTACATGTGACCCATTGTATCACCCTTCTTGAATTCATCTCAGAACCTCTACCTTGCCTCTATCGCATCACATCATACACAATCAAAAGTCCCGTGTTCTAACACGGTCAGATTGCACAGCTTTATTGTGAGAATCATAATTTTACTGGCCCTTGATTGTGAAAGTGAGCAATATCATTACCAATCAGAGAGAGTGCTTAGTGTTCATCACAGCCAGCATTCTGATATGTTTGTATGATCTTCAGTGACTGTCATGATGGTGGTGTTGAAGTGCAGATTGACTGAAGGGCTGGTTGTGGTACTACGCACCAGTACCATGATGATGATTGTTTGGTAACTACAGTGGTTCAAAAAAGTGTCCGAATGTTTATAGCTTTTCATGTAATTGCTTTATAATATGTCAGGATGTGGGAATATGACTAAGCTATAGGAAGGCGTTAGAAAGGTCTGCATCTCAGCTTTATTGTTGTTACCTGTGGCGTGGAAAGAAAATGATATTATGCAAAGATATGACCATTTTAAAATGATGAATTATTTGGACACTTGTTTGACTTTGAGTTTGACTAATGCAATCTCTATAATTCTAATACTTTGTGTGACCTCCTTTTGCCCTAATCATCTCTACTAATCTTCTAGACATATTCTCTATCAATTTTGGGTATTTCTACTTAGTAATCTTATTACACTCTGCTGTAACACTGTCTCATAGCTAATATAGCCCCTATGGTGGATTTTAATATGCTATAAGCAATTTCTTGAGTGATTCACAAAGATATTCAATACAGTTGATGTCTTGGATCTGTTTTGGACATGATAGAACAGTAATATCATAGTCTTCAAGCCATTGGTAACCAATTTGGAGGTATACTTAGGGTTATTATCTTACAACAAATAGTATTTTCTTCAGTAACACATGACTTCTACATGCTTCTTGGCAGACACTCCTATCAAATGAAGATTTACTGCTTTTTATTCATCCTCCCCTTCAGCTTCATCTAAAATTTCCACTTCATTTCATCCCATACAGGCCCATATCACTAAATTTTCTTCTTAAAACTGAAGTGTTTGTTTGCTTCTTTTTATCTTAATGATTCTTCTAGCTTTTTTGAATAAGAATTCCTGACCACCTGATCTCATCCTATTCATTTTAGTCTCATCTAAACAGATAACCCTCTTTCAGCCATTAGCAGTGTAGTATTTGTACTTTAAAGCAGCAGTTTATCTTCTCTTTCTATAGGTTAGAGACAGAAGGATCTTTTTTTCTTAGTTACAGCTTTAAGGTTGGCTGTCTTGAGAGACTTGCTAATTATTTGAGTGGAGATAGGTATAGAGATGATGGAAATAATCAATTTGGTGGCATTGGTGGCATTAGCAGCTTACCAAATTAGAATATAGTGATCAAGAGATTATGAGTCATATAGAGCAACCTTCTAAGTTGGCTATCATATAATCAAACAAAAGTTTGACCTTCTACAGGTTACCCCATTCCTCAATATGTCTGAGTCATTCGATGTAATTCAATTCCACCCAGACCATATGGCTACAGATGGCAGATAGTGGCCGGTGGCTTCTGAACGATCATCACACAGGTCTGTGCACCTGGGCCATCCTTATCCATACAACAGTGCTATTACTACTACTACTACTAGCACCAGTATCTCCCGCGCAAATTCCAAGTCCCAGGTGTCTGATAATATCTTACCTTTACTCCACAACGACCTTGATAGTGTCCATGCTAGTTCTGAATCTAAGTGGAGCTGGAAAGGCAAACAGCCAGAACCCCCAAAACTGGATCTCACCAAGTATACAGCACAGGAATGTACTGCTGTTGAGTAGATGTACAAAAAGCTTGAGATGAATATGCTCACAAGTAAGAGTTGGCTGACGCTCACCACCAAAGCTGAAAAGTCTGCAGTGAATGTGTATTTCTGAGAAGTTGTGGCCCAAGTGAACCAAAAACATCTTTGCAGTATCTCCAAGTCATCCCACAGCCTGAGCACCAGTGACTGACTTGATCAGATATAATGTTCACGGATTCTTTAGCCGCTAATCTGATTCAATGGCTTGGAACATGTCATTTGAAGGTTACCGAAGGATTTGAACCCTTCACATCTAAGTACAATATCAAACCATCCAAGTCAGACCCTCAGATGTCTGCCTCTGTCCGCAGTGACTATATGAAAAAATGCCGATCAATCCTCTTTGATTTGTTGAAGGAAGGGCTGTACACAAACTTCCTCCATGGTTACAAGATCACTGGCAATACTGTCAACCTTCTCATGTTTGGCAACAAACATTTGATAGAGGGTCATATCCATAAATGGTATGATGATGTCAAGTTGCCTCTCTGTGATGAGATATTCAAGTGCAGCTTAACCATGACCCCGATTGTCTTGTTAGCATGGTCAGCAGTTGCAGTAAGTCACATGCTATTCCCTTGTGCATAGCTCTCATTTCTGTGTTTTGTAGCTGCAAGTTTTAATTAACCACATAGTTGATCTGCAGACTGCCCGATTCACTAAAATGAAGTATGCTGGATGGCACTCTGAGCTCGTAAAAGACATGGAGCACACCTTACTGCATCCCATCCACAAGGAAGTGTTTAAAGCACATTTGTTAGACACACACCTGAAAGGAATGTGAGTGTTTGCTATGGCCTTATGCGTGCACACTATAGTCATTTTTTCACTACAGGGAAAAGATAGTGAAATCATTAAATGATCTGAGCGTCGGGATCACCTATATACCTTCGTCAGCAGAGGAAATCTCTTAGCTCTTGCACTTGGTCAAGTTAAAATTAAACTGTCATAGTATCTTGCATTTCTCCACTGCGCCATCATCTTCGGCAAGTGCTGAGCCATATTCAAAGATACCTTCCCCATTTCCACAATCACACACCTTTGCAGGAGGCTCATTGATACCTCCTTTTGCAAGTTCACATTACCTTGGACCCGAGATGGGATTAAACTTAGTAGAGTCACCTCTCCAACTTGCGATACCACACAACTATCACCCACACCCTCAATAGTCATTCGGCCTGGTGCCATCATTTGATCACAATAATCAGCCCTATCATCTACAGCCATACTGAGAGCCTATGGTTTGAAGTTCCATATTTTCGTCGGTTGTACTAGTACCAGGCCTACGGGGTTGAGGCCATTTTTTGTATGCTTTTTCCCTTTTATTTATATATAGTTTTTTCTACTGCAGTACTACTATTCTATCTGACTCATTCAACCTATGACATTCCACCTCAGGCATCACTTCTCAGTAGTAGAGTAGCACCAAATATACCTTGCTTCCTCCTGCAGTGCCTCCTGGGACCCTCGACGATTCATTGTGGCCCTTCCAGAATACATTGTACCTTCTCTGTGATGGTCACAATCCTTGTCGACATGTCCTTGAGCATCTCAATATTCTCCATGGCACACCTGCCAGGCGATGCTCTCAGTACTTCATTCACACTAAGTTTTTTCTGGTTCTGCCTAGTATTCAGTCCACTCAAAACAAGGCACTCTTGCTGTATGTATCTTACCCTTCCATGGCACTGCAAAAACTGTCAAATCTTGCCCTTTCAGTCGATGTCCATAGCCCTGTTTGAATTCTCAGCAGATAATGCAGATGCCCCAACTCAAAACAAATATCATTTGCCAGAGAGCATATACATGCTAGAGTACATAATATACATCGCTCGGTCACTTAATTCTCCTGGGGCCCAAGAAGTTCATCAAGCTGATCGACTCTGATGTCCGTCATCGACGAATGCTGTGTCAGGGAGACTATCTTCAGAATGAGCTCACTGGTGTGACATTGACTGGCAGGTACAGCGAGTACGGGAGGTTGCTGTGTAGCAATCAACCTCCAGGAGGGTGGGGGAAGTGGAACTTTCATGAAAATGCAGTATTTGGGACAATAAGAAGGTTCAGGAGATGACACTGGTGATATTACTTGGAGTCTCCGAAGTCTCTGATAGCGAGGATGAGGAGACACAGGAGAAGGCGCAGGAGAAATGAGACAAAGAAGACCCTTCCGATCAATATGAGAATTGGAGAACTGGCAACAGCTATGTGAGTAATGTGACTCAGCTCCAGGAGCTTCACCATATATGACCAGGTTGCATGACACCAAAAGTTTTCGGCATGCACCATTAGTGGTGATGTGCTGAAGGGTCAGCAAGTTGTATTTGAGGGTGTTGGCAAGTACATCATGCTCATGAAGTGATAGATCATAGATGCCTTTGCTTCATATGACTGTGGTGTGTTTCTCACTGGGCATGAGAGTATTGTAAGGATAGTTGCAGATGACGCAGCTGTGTTTTGCTAGTAGGGCAGGTAGGGTCTTCCAAGCGAAGTTCCCACCCCGCCTGTCAAGTCTGCCTGTGACATATTTAGAAATCAAACAGTATGCTCAATAATTGCAGAACTCACCACACAGCGCAGTCAACCCACCCATGATGCATGGTATGCCATCCATCTGCCTCCGATCCTCAGCATCATTGCTTTTGCACATCTCAAGCCACTCTTCTGAGACTTTCTGGGTGGGTAACCCATGCTTGATGCGAGGTGGTCCAGTTGGTAGTTGAGCCTTGTGAAATTCATTGAGAAAGACGATCATGTGGCGAGTTGGCAAGAGGTTGTTGGCAAGGAGGTTTGAGTGAGCATGCCATCATTAGCAGAGGATTTAATCAATAGTGGAGGATTTGATAAATAGTACAAGGTGGAATCAATAGCAATGGAGCAGTATACCTTTGTAATTGGTGGAAGCCCCCCTCAAAGGAGCCAGAAGTTGGGATAGGCCTTATGGACAGTGATAGCATTGATGTGCTGACAGGAAGTTATAACATCAAGTACAAATTCCAATGCATGCATTATGGTACCAATGTCAATGTTGAAGCTAACACCATGTGAAACCAGAGATTGTTGTAGACAAGGATTGAGTGGGAATTTGTCTATCCTAACACAATCCTACTGCAATCCTGACCACATCCCCATTGTACTAGGATTTAGATGGGATAAAACAATTCTGCCTTAATTCCACATCCATCCTTCAAGCTCGAGCTCGTGATTGCGATATATGTGTGGGAATTTGGACTTTGGAAATATTTCGTCTCTCAAGTGCAACTTGATGCAGTCATGTCACCAACCACCGCCACCATGACCAAGAGCACAACCTGGGCAGACTACCTCTTCACTCACCTACCATTTTGATCACTGGTGAGCCTACAAACATTGTTTCGACTCATTTTATATATATGCTAGTTATAACTATAGAGCACAAAATGCCTTGCAGCACCATGTCTGACAAACACATCTAGTTATTCCGAGTCACCATCACCTCCATCATAAATTACACTAGCCTGAATATGCCAGTTGACAGATTAGTCCTTGACTACAATTTTCATGGTATGTATGTGGCTTTTATGCATACAGTCACTGATCATGCTCCAGGACACCACCAACAACATTATCCAGCCATCTGTCACTGGGCACACACCAAACACTGCATGTATGCTATGTTATTTCACACATTCAATACTGACATCAAAATCAGACACATGAGGGAGCCCTGTCCAGGACCAGTGACATGAATGGAGCCAAAGATTTTGTCGAGGTTGCTAGTAAGTTATTCCTTGGCAGGTGACAGGCATATAAGGCTGCTTATCCATTTTCAGCCACCTCTTCCTGGCAATACCAAATGGAAATGCCCTCCTGCAAGTGAGTCAGTGCTGATGTGGACCTCTGAAGTAGCAATACTAATATTTTGTGCTGACAGGTTGACGAAGTTAGACAATAGAAAATGGTATGTACCCTCACCTTCAATCAAAGCAGACAAACTAACACTGAATACAGCCTCCATTATGCCATGCGCGATGCCTCCAATACCAGCTCATCAGCACCACGGAACCCTCGAGTCATTGCTTGAGTCAACATGTTTGAGGAGTAAATTTTTGTTATTGCGGACCATGTCGGTGTTGGATACTGCTGTTGTTCACCTTGCTTTACACTTCCTCATTGTTGTATTACTATGAATTTTACTGTTATTGCTCATTCTAAACTGCTTGAAGCATGCTGAGTTCATTGTGCGCAAGGAACAACAAAATAAGTAGCTGGAATGCATGCAGTATTGTATGCATGGTTTGAATACAAGCACTTTAGGACAAAATCTCTGATGACAGAGATGTTGATGATCCCCACATGATTTGTAAATAATCAGTCAATGTTTAAGCCAACACGATGATATCCTCATGGCTAGAGGATCTCCATGATATCACCATGAGATTTCACTGGGATAGGGACATCCCCATTTCATCCTACACCACAACAATCTGTGGCTTCATGTAGTGTAAGGTTCAAGTTCAATTTCCCACACGTCAAATTAAGTGAATGATTGACCATTTCAGGCCTCCCCTCAGGCTGTGCTGACCTCTCTGCAGTAGTCTCACTTCTGTTAGGCGCCAAATTTCGACGTTCAAATCATCACCATACAAAAACTGTAACAGTGCTGAGCTATGCATGGGCCTGGTATTAAACTTAGCCTCCAACATCTGGAGGTGCTCTGATGATGCTCACGCATAACCAGTGGCCTTCTTGTGAGCATATCACAGATGTTTTTAGAACTGATCCCACAAGTTCCTAACTGCTATTTAAGCAGTGGATTGTATCATAAAACTTTTCAGCTCCAGGGAATAGTAAGAGAAACTTCACAGGTGACGTATTGGCACCTGTACAATCACTAACTGGAGGAACACTGCTTCAAGCTCAGCACTCAAAGTTGAGTTGGGCTCCTTTTAAAACTTCTGAAGAAGTACATTGAAGCTGATTCACTTTGGTGTACTAAGCGGCTCTATTTTGCTCTTTTGTCCAATTGGCATAATTCCTAAAGAAGCACACAACTTGATAGCCACTTCCAAGTTCAGATCTGTCAACAACCATGATGTTTGCCAACTTTGATTTAACTGTTACATAGCGCAACACATGGTTCTTGAGTGTTGGCCAACATATAAAATGGGCCAAGAATGCTGGGTTGAGTTTCTGTCCATTGTTTCACACTTCTACTCATTTCTCATGTGCTTTTCAGTGAACCTCCTCTCTTCTCTTTTTTCATGCCCCATACCGAGAGTAGCATGTCTTATGCTGAGGGTAGTACTACATTTGAGCCAGCAGTCATTCAAACTGAGGATTGACAGAATGACAGCAGCTTTCAGTGGTCTCCAGAACCACTGCTAGCAGAATCTCAAGCACACTCATTGTTTGCACAGGCTTGGCAGAGATGGAAAATTGCTGAATTGGAGAGTAAAATCACAGTTCTGGAGTCGGGGCACATAGTCAAAGAGTGGTATGTACCGTCATCTCATACTATTTGTTGGGTCAGCTTTGTTCACCATTTGTCAGGCAATCAAATTACTACCTGGCTCAAGGACGGGTCCTTAGGCATGTGGTGGCTTTATTCAATAGTATTGAAGATCTCATCATGGAAAATGATAGGAGATATGATAATGACAACAATGAGGATGCCACTCTCAAGTAAGCTTTCTGTCCTTGCTTTATGGTGAGCCTCCTCACTGATTTTTGTGTAGCCAAGATCGGTTGCAGACAGGGTACGGTGTCCTCACAAGGACCATGCTGTGGTTTCTGAAGGGCTCTTCAGACATGGATCATGATGATTATATGTGTATGTTAAAAGTAGTGCGTATACCTTCCTCATGTCAATGTTTGGGCTTTATCATATCAAGTCACTATTCAGCTCAGACAGGGGCTGATGGTGCCCGAGGAGATGATACGGCAAAGCTTAAGACTCTTATCTCAGACTGGGTCAACTGTGAGCTCAAGCCAAATCCCCTCATTGATTCCAATGATAAAAATTGCCGTGAATTCATCTGTGATGCATGCAGGAGGCTACTCTGCCCGGCTGAACTTGACTGGAACAACCCAGTGTACGTACTAGTTCACTCAGTATCCCGCACCACACTAACTTAGTCACCAGTGTAAGGACAGGCATTCGAGATCTATCGGAGGGCCATGTGGTGATGGTGCAGCACTCGGATCGGCACTGGGCATGTATCCTGCCAATCTCATAGGTATCTCACGTTATACTCCTCGACACTCCTCTTACCTTCCGAGAGTTCTGTGTGTTCATCCAAGTTGTCTGAAGGTTGTCTGTCCCCTTCTGAGGCCTGTATACACTTCCAATCTTCCATACCATGTCCCATCCATATCCATTTGACTTTGCTGGCGTGTTTTCCACTTGTTTATCTGTTATTGATTATGTTTTAGGGGCACATACATTGTTGGCCCATCAAAACCATTGGTTAATACATATAGCAGCATGCCTTGCACGTTATTACATGCATATCTCTGTAACAGCTCACCTCAAGTCTTATTACATTTCGGATAGCTTATCTCGCTACTGTTTTCGCCTACACAGTTTCTGGACTTTCACACTGTAGGATATAATCTGCCTTGCTAGCTACTTGCACTTGACTTGACTTCCCTTGCTACAAGTCATAGTTAGTAGAGTCACTTTTGGATAGTCGTACTTTGCGCAATCAATCCTTCTTGCTCATTCGGAATGATTGTTTGGCTTGACCGCTGCCAATTGCATCTCGCTGTCTTTGAGTTCTTTTGATAGGCTTTGCTTAGTCATACTTCACAAGTCTTATACTTCGACATAACTGCCGTATTTCACTCTCAGAACCTTTGCTGTTCATTGGAAGCTCTTCGGATGCTTTGCGCAACCTCAGACCTTCATTTCTTGACATTGGACCACCTTCAGACCTCATCAGATGAGTACTTCAGTACTTTGGACACATCCTTGGAACACCGATGTGACGCTTGGACCCACATTGGGCAGGAACGAGTGTCTTTTGATACACATGTCAAGACCTATAGGAACTCACAGGATCCATGTCATTCCAGTCTTCCCCTAGGAGTTTCCTTTGGCCAATAGCCAACTGGCATGCATCCACACTCGGGCCCATCCTCCGTCCATGTCCTTTCCATGTCCACCTATCTCTGTTGGTGTGTGTTCATTTTCTCTCGGTTTGACTAAACAATATCAAGGCTTATTACATGTAACTGCATATTCCATTCTGCGTGCATTCTCATTACATATTACTTATCTGCCTCGTTTCATCGCTACAGTTCTCGCCTATGGGTTCCGGACACTCACACAGTAGGATAAAGTCTTGCGCGCTACATACAGTACATTACTTCCCTTCCCTCGGATGCTACCTTTGTTTTGCGGAGTCATCTTAGATGTTCTTAGTACTTTTGATCAATTGACAAGCTTTGTTCATCCTCACTTTGAACCCGCATGTTCTTGACTGCTCCAAGAATGCGCCTCTAAGTTTTCTCTACCTAGGCTCTGCATGAATCCAAACCACTCTTGGTTTCCGACTTAGCATTCCATACCTAGTTATACCTCGGCCATAAACCTCATCTATACCTAGCCACTACTTGTGGAACCACATTTTACCTAGAAACCCACCGCTCTTTACCTAGGATCCTCCCGCTTTCGTTCATTTCACATTGCGCATTTACCAGACCCACGGTCTCGCTTTTGCTCTCATTGGTGGATTTGCTTTTCCAAGATTGCTGTGACACTTGGACCTGCGCTGGGCAGCAAATAGGCCTTTTTGATACTTGTGTCAAGGAGCATAGAACACTATGAGTTTCCTGTCCTCACACATTCATTATCCTGCAAATAACCTGGTCCGAAACCAAACCCACTTTTCCCATGCTTTGCGCATCCGCTTATCTGCACTTTCCCGCGCATCGGCCGCATCGGACACGCATTCCCGCGCTTCGGATACCTCGGAAATGCATTAGGAAGGTCCCTCATCTATTCATAGTCCATCCAAACCCCATTAGTATGTGAATTTCCTTACCTTGAGGCTTGTAAAATGTGTTGCAGCCTTATTACATGTCCTTACATATTTACTATATTTCCTATCCCTTCCTTCTCCGAGTGAGAGTCTAGACAGTATAAGTTGACGGCCACGTGTTCCTGCACTTTGGATAGCCTCGGATACATTCCCGCACCTTGCGCATACCTTGTCTGCTATTTTCCCGCACTTAACGCGCTCTCGGATCACACATATCCTCCATCGTACTAGTAGCAATTCCCTTTAGGGTCAAACACGTCTGTTTAGACATAGCAGCTAGGCATTAGCTTGACCCAACCTTTTCTTGCCACCCAGCAAGATTGTTGTTTCCACATCGCCTTAGTTCTTTCCATTCCGCATCTGCTCCCTTCGCATTTATACTTGAAGAAAGTGCTTCATAGCAATCCTCTTGGATCGAGACAGCACACCCACACTCAGTTGGATTTATTAGTGCTCTAGCTTTCTTGCTGGCCAGTCACTATTACTTCTTCACACTGAGCACACTCTTGGTAACTTTCCCTTCTCTCACCTTCGATCTTAACAAGATATCCCTTGCATTTTATATCAAGAGATAGTTCTATTGGCAGTCTCTTTGGGACAAACACTACACTCGCACTTCGAGTTCTAAGGTAACAACTTTTGTAGCACCTACCCAGAATCAACTCTTTACAATGGACCTCTCTTTTCTGGCCTTCATGTATGAAAATTACACTGCCAATGCAGAAAACTTGGAAGAAGGTCTTTTCAAGGGTAAAATTTTGCTGCAGGTTCATTACATCTGCCAAGCCACAGTTGCCCAGCAATAATCTCACTGTTGTCTGTAGGGCTACAAAGCCATATTTACATCTCTGTCTTCAGCAAAAGATGTCAAGGGTGACAGTGATGGCACAGATGTCATAGCCAACAACCAACATGCTAAAAAGTCATTCTGTGGATTAAAGGTCAAGAAACACGTAACACAAATTATCAAGATGGATAAAGTCACACCTCGTTCAATTGCATGTCACCTGTCAGGTAAGTCATCGTGAGAGTGTACATTTTAATCCATCATAGATGATAATATTCTGGCAGGTACGATTTGCACTTTCTTCAGTTACCTCATGGTGGTCTGTTGATGGCGATTTCGACTACATTCAATTCTGGTGGTCCATTGTGGACTTTTTCGAAAAGCCCCCTGGTCGAGAAGCGCAATGCAGGGTCAATAAACTTCTTGAGTGGTGGACAAGGTGTGGTATTTGCAGTAATTGCAACCAGCCTGAACTAATGCTATGTTGTTTAGGAAGATTTTTGGGAGGCACCACCATGATGACCTTAGCAACACAGCAAAAGCCAACATGTCTGTCAATGCCCTTGCAAGGCAGAGGGCACAACTCAATGATGCTACTTTTGATTCAAACTAAAAAGATCGTATCTTACTATGTTGTTTTTGTCTACCTTAGTACTGTCATAATTTGATGTTAATAACATGACTTGCCATCCTTGTCTCATATTTGCCTTGTGAGATATTTGAGCTGAAGGAATCAACAATAACATAGTAGCATTATTCTATGCATGCAGGCTTATGTACTATATAATTTAACATATGAGGGATGGTGAATGGCAATTGGGGTACTAAGGTGATGTATGAACCCCCAGCAGTGAGTTCGAAGTTGAAGTGCACTGTTGCAGTGATACATGGTCTGTGCACAGCTGCGACTTCACCTGTATGTACGAGACACCATGTAGGAGGGATTTCCAATGACAAGATGGGTAACAAGGTTATGCATGAGCCCCTGGTGACGAGTTTGAAGTTAAAGTGCATTGCTGCAGTGATACATAGAACACGCACAGCCGAGACTTCATCTGGGGCACTACATAAGAGGGATATGGCATAACAATAAAGTTGTGAGTGGTATAGCACTGTCAGCCATTAGATACACAAGGAAGGTGGCCTGTCCAGGCAAAGCCAGGATTTCTCACAGCGCAGTCGCACGTGTTGCATGAAGGCTGTTGAATGGTGAGTGAAGTACCATGGTAGTGGTATGACCCTTGGCTGCCAAGTTCTGAGTCAAGGTACTAAGTGATAACTCCATAGTGTTCAGGCAAAGCTACGACTTCTTAGGATGCAGTCGCAAGTAATGTGCCTCTGCTAGTCTTTAGTAAAGCAAAAAAATATGGCTCAGAGACCCGAACCACGATACAAATCGATCATTGCCCACCCTGTGAACATATCTCGATGTGCTGCATAAAGGTAAAGCTTTTTCACACACATTCCCAATTGATATCTACCACACAAACATTAGAATTCTGAAGTAGACAGTGGAGTCTTGTGAATCCAAGAAGTGTAGTGCAAGCATGGTCATCTCTGTGAGTTTTAATCATTGCGCTAATCACACAATGGAACAGTTGGACCTACCAAGTGAACATGATTGGATGACGTCTCAACTTCAAAGTCCCACCGACAACACTTGAGATCATTGAGTTTTTGTTGGTTCATTAGGTTTTTGATAATGTTTCTTTGCAGTTTGAAGAATTTGTTGAATATATGAATTGTTGCCTCATGATGACATAGTTGCAGGATTGAGAACTTAAAGCACCTAGGGCCAAAATGAATCCATACAGAATTTTTCCTGTAGCGCGCCAACACATTTGATTGTCCCAAACTGTAACACAATATATGCTATGCCCATCAAATGGTATGTGATGCACTGGGGTGGTCTATGACCCACTACTATCAAGTCCTGAGCTAATGAACTACATCGTGACGATGCAGCATTCACACAAGGCCACGACCTCTTGAGGTATTGTCCCAAGGGAACAAACTCTTGGTTATTCAATAAATACAGAAGGTCATATGGATATGTGAAGCAAGATATAATTTGATTGTCATGCACTTGGTGAACACATATTATCCCGGCTCACTTACTGAAATATCATTATTTACTGGAAGGATGTTATCTTTCATTCTTACTTGGACAATTACAATAAAATTGACAGTCTTCAAGCATTTCCAGTTAATGGTGCCAATTATTAGCTTTGCACTACCTTCCTGTCCAGTGTGAGTTTGAAAAATGTACGAGTTTTTTCCCGATCCCAAATGTGCATAAGAAAATCAGAAAGTCTCCTTTCCTTTACAAAGTCAAATATGACAATGTGATGGTCGACAGCAGGATTATGCTAATGCTTGTTATTATGTGCTATATATTGTTATATATGACCTTCTAATTTCCTCACCAGTTCACTGATGAGGGTGATCGGAACCTGTGTAGGACTTGGAGTCCTTGTGGCCTCGTAGAGGCTATTTTTGCAGTGTCCCTCAGGTCCTCGCACAGTGTGCGCTATCACTAACATGGCGTGCAACTTTTCTATCATCAGCCGACGGTCGCGGCTCACATGCACACATCGGCTTGCTTCTGCTCCTCTTCTGCTCCGTCGTGTATCCTTCCTCTGTCCTATCCATGTCCTCCACTTGTCCATTGGTGCGTACCTTATCTCATTTATGTTAGACTGACCATATCTCCGAAGCTATATTGCTTATGTTCATGATACTTGCATTATGGACCCTTGTTACATATTATTGCTACCTACCCGGCTCTGAACAGTGCTTAGCGCGCTATCATATATATTTAGTACTTTAAATTTTCATGTATCTCTTCTTTTCCCTCCATTGAAATTATCATCTGTTTGCACTCAGACTAAGAACCTAAACCTTTGGCCAACTACATCGTGTGCTTCACTAATGATAGCGCTAATGTTCGCACTCCGTCCATCGCATCTATCGTCTAAATGCTTCCCTTGTCTCATTGTTGTGTCACATTGCTTCCACATTACGCTAAGCTTTCTTATATATTCTTCGGTTCTCCCCCATGCCTTTGTGCTTCATCAAATTTTCGGCCACTCGGTCGTGCATCATATTGTACTTTTGGCGGTTCACTCACGCTCACATCACGTCAGCGCATCTTCGTGCGCCCCTTCCATTCTCAGTTACTCTTATTAGTTTCAAGATTTCCCCTCATATTTTTACTTAGAGGAATCATTCTCAGTAGCAATCCCCTTGGGCTAAATCTATACTCGCGTCCAGAGGTCTATTTGAGTTTTACCCCACTTCACTCTTTCTTCCCCTTTCACCCCTTCTCATCTAGCTATCATTCCTCACACACACCTGATTACCAGTTGTTCCAGAACATGAGGATCAATGTGCTGTGTACTAGAAATTTAATGGTTATAGAATTGATGTAAGTCACAGAGGAGCCTTCACTCATAAATGTTAGCTTAACAGAACTAAGTAGAGTTGGTCCTCACACTCAGATCAGCTTAATACTGATTATTGAATGTCATTTATCTTCGTGCCTAGATTTGCACAATACTGGTCACCAAGTAATGTTGATCTTCATGCCCAGATTCACACAATACTGCTTGCCATCTAGCGTTGATCTTCATGCCTAGGTTTGCGCAGTACTGGTCACCATCTAGCGTTGATCTTCATGCCTAGGTTTGTGCAGTACTAGTTAAGTTGTCTTAAGAGCCTGAATATCATTCCTTGTCTGATGTTGAGTCATCAACTTAGGACATTTCTGTCAGAAGACCCACTGTGTGCCCTGTAAGCCTCTGGAACAATGACATCAATCATGAACGGATTTTGGACGACTGGCCTCTGGTAGTGATGGGTGTCAAGTTCAATGGTATGGTTGATATATCTAAGGCTAGGTCAGCTTGATGTGCAGCCAGATAGTCAGACAAACATATGCAGTCTAGCCTGGTGTGCCCCAACATTCTCCCCACTGCTTCTGTTGTGCCTCAAACCACATTTCAACTTTGGACCAGAAGTCCTTACCTTTGACGATGTACCCACCTTGACCATGCTTATGCTTCTTCTTCAGTGGTTCTCTGATAGGAGAGTCTTCAGCATCTTCTGTACTCAGTATTGTGGGACTCTCATCTTCTTCCTCTGCCTGGTCAAGCAAATGAGGCATTTTCATACACAAAATGACACTGGAATTTGAAACAGTGAGGAAATTTAGTGGTCATACAATGGAGAAAGACTGTACCAAGATAGCCAAACAGGCATGGATTGGATATCCAAGGTCTGAGTTCCTGCCTGCCCGACGGAAATGATTCGAACTGTCATAAATAAAGTCTGATAGTGTGCTTGTGTCATCGCCAATGACACTGTCACATAGCTGCAACAAGGCAATCAGTCGAGAACCGAAACAAATATCAACCACTTGTGCATACCAACTTTCGAAATGAATTACAGATGCTAGAACACTGATTTTTGGTATAGCTGGTCAGAAAATGTTCCCTTGCTGGGTTTCCATAGATGTTTGTGAGTTTGAAGGCCTTGCGATCTTTATGTAAATGATTCTGTGGGATTAGAAAATAAGCATACAGTGCTATCTAACAACTCACTGGTAGGATTTACCACGACATCAAAATGAAGTGTCATGAACGTGATCCTGTTAGGATCAAAGATAAGATCACCTGCCACAATGTGTATGTTCGTCTTTATGCTTTAGATATTTTATAGATGATGGTGCAAGAAGATACTTGTTGCTCAGGACTAAGTGAAAATGTGGTTTCAAGATGGATTTGCAAATCTGCGAGAAGTTGTTGTGTTGATTGGTGAGAGGCAGCAATCATGCACTGTTCCTTAAGAATGCAGAATATACTGCCAAGGAGATAAGTTCTAGTTGCAAGGTCATATTTGCTCAATCCATGACCAAGCTGCAATGCAAAAAAATGTCAGCATGTGGATGAAAAATCAAACTATTGACATACCTTAGCAAAACCATGTAGGTTTTTCCGTAAGTCCTGTTCTGCATCGCTAAGGCCAAATTGGTTGGCAAGGGCATCCACAAAGAGGGCAGACAATTCATTTGTGAATAGATTTGGGTCAATTTGTGGTTGACATGAACTTGAAGGTGGAGATCCAGGAGTGCATAGGTACTAGGCAGAAGGGCTCATTAGCAAGCTTGAATTTGAAGGACTTCCTGGCTGGGAATCATCAAGTGGACCAGATAAATGGAAGGATGATAACACTCATGGCTGAGAACCGGAAGGTGGAGTAGAGAAGTCGAAGGACATGTTTGTAGACTGGGATGAGTGACAGTGAAAATGAATGACTGACTCAAAGGTGAGTCACTGGAAAGTGCTCTACTAATGAAATGTGATGCTCATTGACACATTTATATGAAAACACAGCTTACAATAGTGGGTTCCATGCAGGATTAATGATGACCTCAAGGCATATTTTTGGTTTCCTTGTTGTAATAAGGATCATGTTTGGTGGTAGTCGGCACTGCAGCAAGGATGGCCTCAAGGTATTTGTTGTTGTAATAAGGATGTTTGGTGGTAGTCAGCGCTGCAGCAAGGATGGCCTTAAGGTATAATTTCAGTTTAGTTATCATAATAAGGATGTTTGGTGGTAGTTGGCACTGCAGCAAGGATAGCCTGAAGGTATAATTTCATTGTTGTAATAAGGATGTTTGGTGATAGTAATAGTCAGTCCTGCAGCAAGAATGGCCTGAAGGTAATATAATTTTGATTTTATTGTTGTAATAAGGATGTTTGGTGGTAGTCAGCACTGCAGCAAGAATGGCCTTGAGGTATAATTTCAGTTTCATTATTGTAATAAGGATCATGTTGCCTGCAACCAAATGATGACACCACATATTAGCGACAAGTATTAGTAATCAACTAAGAGGGGCACATACAGCAGATGATATTATGTAGAAGGGGATATGATAAAGAATCTGCTCCTGGATACTGGATCATACTTGTAGGTGCAGCAGATGATATATAGAAGCGAAAAGCTACTCCTAATCATTACTGAACTTGTAATACAGACCAGTGTTGCTGTAGTGATCTGTTAACTTGTTGGCCTTGAGCACATGGTCCATGTGCTGCTGCTATAGATGTCATGGAAGCTCCACTAGTGGTGTCATTGTGTGTCCGAATCTCCCTCGCAGCACCCTCAAGGATTGCGAGGTTCATATCTGGTGGCTGAATAGGTACCTGAAGGCCCTGCATGTGCTTTGCATCTTGCATCCGTGCAGTGTTGAGAATGAGGTCATCAGGGTCTCCAATGTGATGTATCACAGCTGTTACGGTCAAAGCACACTGTAGCACTCGGATTGGTGTTGGGCTCGTATCTTGCCAAACACATAGGTATTCCACATACACATTCCTCGACACTCCATTTACCTTCCGAGAGTTCCGTGCGTTCATCCGAGTCGTCCGAAGGTTGTCCATCCATTTCCGAGGCCTGTATACAGTTCTGATCCTCCGTACCATGTCCCGTCTGTGTCCGTTTGACTTCGCTGGTGTGTTTTCCACTTGGTTATCTGTTATTGATCATGTCTAGGGGCACATACATTGTCAGCCTGTCGGTTATACACACAACGAACACGCCTTGCGCCTTATTACATGTATATCTCTGTAGCGGCTCGCCTTGAGTCTTATTACATTTCGGATGTCTTATCTCACTACTGGTTTCGCCTATGCAGTTTCCGGACCTTCACGCTGTAGGATATAATCTGCCTCGCTAGCTACTCGCACTTCACTTCACTTTCCCTGCTACGAGTCATAGTTAGTAGAGTCACTTTTGGATAGTCGTACTTTGCGCAATCGATCTTTGTTCATTTGGAACGATTGTTTGGCCTGACCGCTGCCATTTCGCTCTTTGCTGTCTCTGAGTTCTCCCGATAGTCTTTGCTTAGTTATACTTTGCAAGTCTTATACTTCGATACACCTGCCGTACTTCTCTCGGAACCTTCGCTGTTCAGTGGAAGCTCTTCGGACGTCTCGCGCAACCTCGGACCTTCGTTTCTAGGTGTCGGACCACCCTCGGACCACTTCGGACAAGTACTTCGGTACTTCGGACATATCCTCGGAACACCGAGTGCACTCTTGGTAACTTTCCTTCTCTTACTTTGATCTCAACAATATATCCCTTGCTTTATATTAAGGAGCATTTCTATAGGCAGTCTCTTTGGGACGAACATCTCACTCGCACTCTGAGTCTTAAGGTAACACTTTTGTAGCGCCCACATAGAATCAACTCTTTACAACACCCCCATTTATTGGGCTGGATTGCTCAATAGAGCACCAACAGACTTCCAGATGAGCATAGGAAAGCACACTGGAACTACTTTTGGAGTGAGGGGAATAATAGTAAGACTACTGGAATAAGTTCTAAGTAGAATGGATGGAGGAGTTGACCACTGGACAAAGTCCAGGGCAGGATAAGGGCAAAGCTCCAGAGGGAAAGGAGATACACAGGAGTTGGAGGACATGATAGGATAGGTCTGAAGGTAGGAGGAGCGGAGTAGTGGAGGATTGGACGAGCGGACGAGCAGATGGATGGATGGAGGAGCAGAGCTCCATGGATCTAAGGGGTAGTGTGAACTACTATAGTGGAGTAGGTCCGGAGGTTGTGTAAGGATAGTATAGACTACTCCGGACAAGATCCAGAATAGAAACAAACAGGATAAGACTACCATAGGTAGAGTCAGAGGTGAAATGGAACAAAGACTGGAATTGGATCAAGGATCAAGGCTCTGGACTAGGGAATAATCTCATAGCCCAGAGCTGGAGGCTTACAAGGGCCAAAGCCCAAGTACAAGAATGGAAACGGAGTTATATAGACAGGAGGTAAGGAAGATACAAGATAATAAGTAATAGGGCAAACAGAAACAAAAGTAAAAGCAAAAGTAAAAGCAGAAGCAGAAGCAATGATCAGACTGAGGTCTGCAGGAGATGTACTACAAGTTTATATACTGTAGGTAGCATAACGGGAGATCAGTAAGCATAGTCCAAAGCTATGTATGTAGCATATGGAAACACATTAGTAAGTACAATGGAACATAGATATGATGAACTTGGAGATGAAACTTGTATAGAATACATTATCAAGGCGGAAGCAGAGATAACCGAGAGCTGGAAACACAGGTATATCCTAAATGGGGTAATACACAGGTGCACAAGAATAGTTTTGGATAGGACCACAAACAAGATCCAAAGGTCCAAAAGCTAGGGGTTCAGATAGGACATGGATGAGGATCAGATGAGAATCAGATGGAGTACAGATTGAATGTGTGAACTGGATTGGGTGGGAATCATATGGATATGTCCGGATATATGAGGATTTGGACAAGATATCATAGTGGAAGTGGGGTGTAGAATCTGGTATATGACAAGAGTAAAAAACCACCATATGTCCTGACTGCAGGCATAGAGTAGGATGCTGCCGGTTCGCCAACACTTCCGTGTTCCAGAAGAATTGCATCTGGACACAGAAGCTTATCTGCATCCGAGCCTTGGTGCTGAATAATTTCTTGAATACATGCTACAATCAGGGACTGCTCTGCTGTGCCATTCACTGCAAGAATCCAGTCTCCTATTTTACAAACATCTCCATTGAAAAGCACCACAGACTTGCAAGTATGGAAATTATGTCCTTCAAGAGTGTTGTTTGGAAGTGATCAAAGTGCATTTGGAAAGCATTTCCCTGTCTCGGTAGTCAAGTATGATTGGAGTGGTAGGTTTTTACGAAGGCATTGACCTAAAGATACTGACCCTTAGTATTGTATTTCTCAAAGTTGGAACTCGTATAAAATTGAACTTTACTGTATTTTTAGTGTCAGCATGTGCATCAAGTCTAAGGTAGTCAGTGATAATATTTGGCCATTGAACAAGTGACAATGGACCCTTTCCAACAACTTTGACATTTATGGCATCTGGCAGCTTGTCTGATGAGGGATTAGAGGCTTGGATAAGATTGGGAGAATCAGAGCGAATGTCATTTATATTGTTATCATGCATGAGTATTTGCGCTTCTGAGAGAATATGACAAATCTGACTTCCATGGGCAAAAGAACATGCGATATCCTGAGAAGGAGCACAGTGGTTTGAATGGATACTTTTCACACAGATGACAGCATTGAAGGACTCAAATGCCTCTATTGCAAACAAAGCAGCTGGTCCAAATTATTGAATGTGGTCAACAACATGTGATAGAATATGAAATTTAGGCTTATTGAACCATTGAGGAGTCCACCTGGCAGTACACACAAGGAAGTTATTGATCAATGTTGTGAGATTGCACTGAGATGATAATAATCAGATAATATGAATATCAGCAAATAAGACTGAAAAGTATGCTAATACATACTAAATGTTCTGTGGAGTTTTCAATTTCAGGCTGCCAGATGAGTGGTATCAGGTTTGATAACACAACCCAAGTATCATAGCATTCTGTGGGTACCAAATCATGAAGCACAAAAGGTGCAACTTGTGCAATAGAACGAAAATCACGACCAACAAGAGATCCTGCATATTGAATAAGGGTGTGACCAGCGAGATGGCTGAATCCAAGACCTGAGACATCAGCAGATGATAGGCGAGTTTCTAAAAGTTCACGCTTCAATTTGTCTTTTCTGATTCTCACATAGACAACATCATGTCAAAGGTATTTGACAAATATAAGAAGGACTGTGTGGAGGATTTCCGCAGGTGTGTCAGTGTAAGGATCAATACCTGAGATGTTATTGAAGTCAATCCTACACTGTGAAAATGGTTGAGATACCTTTGATTCGCCACATAGGACTTGTGACATTTTCAGGCAGTGTCTCTTTGACTCTATTGAGCGCTTCCTGTTTTGCCTTGTTGCCACCCTGGATTTTGCAGTATGATTCAGCTAGGCGATTCAAGAATGAGTCCAGAAAGGTGTCCTTGATGCCCATAGAAGTCTCCCTTTGTTTGATCTGGGTCTGATTCACAATTGTTGATGCATGAATGAAAATTGACTTGTGTTCAGCAATAGTTTCATTCTTCTGACGTGATTCTCCTATCTAATATCATACTTCATAAAAAAAAATATATGCAAGACCACTCAGATTTGTTACTTTTACAAACTGTTTAACCCATGTCATCATCTCCTCCATGGTCTCCTTTGCTTGTTTCCATGTAGATTTTGGAGGAGCATTAGTATAAAGGGAATCCACCTATTGAGTTCTCATTTGGACCTGCAAGAAGGTTAGCAGTGGCACCATAGTACTAAAATGACACACCTTTTGATATATGACTCTTCGACACACTCTGGAGACTGGAAATGAACATCACAAAATTAAGGTTAGAAGCTGGTGAGACATGGCCAGCATAATGGCAGTCCTTACTACTTGGCAGTATTTTATGGTGAGTTCACTGCCAGCAGTGGGAAATTTTCTTGGTCTGAGTACTTCAGCTTTTGAGTACTAAAGCTAGTTTGTGAGTGTTGTAGTACAGGTATATGAGGCTTACCTTGCAAAAACCATTGAACAACAGGTGGCATAGACAAGAGCTCAGAGGATTGAGATTGAGATTGAAAAGAGTATAGTGTGTGATTTATCTTATTGAATTATTTGGCTTTCATTGGCATATATGAGGGCTACATGTCCTACAAAGTGTATATAGGATGGTATGGTCTACATAGGTGGCTGTGGGTAGCATGTGCCTACATGAATTTTGCATTTTCCTGATATACCATTGAAAGCATCCTTCCCACTGAGCTGCGTGAGCAGAAGGATGACTGGCAGATGAGGCGGTAATGGCACTAGCAGCAGCAATAGTGTAATTAAGCTGTTTCTGTGGATCATCAATGAACTCAGCAAGGCCAATGTCTCTACACCATACAATATAGAAAATAATATTGAGGATGAAGGGATGGTCAAGGACACCATCCAATATTGTTATATTTCTGTTCTAAAAAAACAAAATCAATTAACAAAATCTGAAAAGAAAATTGGACATACAGCATCGACAATGTATTTGTGTATAAATGCAAAAGGGTTAAGAATGTTGTCAATTAACACAGAAATAACATGATAGCAGAATCGTTTTGGTGTCAAACTAGAGTCAATTGGTAGGTAGATGGTATAACTGATAGTAAGATAAGTCTGTATGATGTTCAGGAGCTTCTTGAAGGTGGCAGTCCATGCAGCTGTCACCTGCTGGCATTGATTGTCTGACATGCATACTGTAACTAAGAAATCAATCAAGTTAGAAACACTGCAGGCATTTTCCCATTTTCCTCCACCAAACATCCAAAAAACATTGATTAAGAAGACAGAAATTTCCCTTTTTCCTGTTGAAACATTAGAAAAAAGTAATTCATGTTTCAATGATGTTCTGTGTGTAGGACATGATGCAAAAATTGGTCATGTTCCTTCAAGGATACTGCTGTATTTTTAATGTATTGTCTTTAAAATAACAGCTGAAAATAATGTTAATTTTATTTTCTGTGTTTTTCAAATATACTATGTTTTTCAAATGTTCTGTATATATTTGAAAAATACAAAGAAGAAAATTAAAATTATTTTCAGCTATTATTTCAAAGACAATACATCAAAAATACAGCAGTATCCTTGAAGGAACATGACCAATTTTTGCATCATGTCTCATACACAGAACATCATTAAAACATGTATGACTTTTTTCCAATGTTTCGACAGGGAAAAGGAAAATTTCTGTCTTCTTAATCAATGTTTTTTGGATGTTTGGTGGAGGAAAATGAAAAAATGTTTGCAGTGAAATCAATTTGACAACCTCTATACATGAAGACTCATTGTTTATACCAGGGATAGCTGGGGTTAACTTTGAAATCGCTTAAGAAACTAGTTGGATCTTTTCATTATCAGTAGTGGCCATTGCAGATGATGTAGGAAGAAACTGTGTAATTTTTTATTTGGCATGATCTATGATTTGCTTCTGGACCTCATGGGAGATACTAATTTCAATAGGAGCTGGAGGTTGCTGGACAGTAGGGGTGGGTGATGGAGACAATAACAGGGTGTAGGGTGACAATGATAGAAATAATAGAGTTATTGGCAGGTTGCAGGGTGACAGAAGCTACAATCATTATCACTGGCTATAAAGTATTAAAGTGATTTGCTGCAGAAGGTGGTAGTTGATAATGTATCATATGTAACTCTAGGTTCAGGTGTGAAATAGGGTATAGAGGAGAGTATTCGACTGTGCTAGAATCTCTCAGGATGAGATGGTCCTGTGAGTGACTGAGGAAATAATAAGGAATAAAAGGCATCAAATTCCTGTGATTGAAGAAGTAGATGGATGCTGTTACTGGTATCACTGGTAGATGGTCTGCTGGAGTTGGACAATGACCCAGGGCCTGGGAGTACTGTATCTTAAGTCAGTGACTGAGAATGTAATAGTTAGTAGTGACATACCTGGTGCATAAGGGTAGTCTGATGATTCAGTTACACCAAGAAATTCCTGTAGTGGATCATCATAATAAGACCTTGCTTGATTGGTTAGTGACCCAGTAGATGATGTTAGCTGAAGGACTAACCACTAGTGCAAAAATAAGTTCTTGTGACTCCTTCATGATATGATGCTGGAGGCCCCAAATCTAACTGGTCACTGAGTTGATTGGAAAAAATAAATATTAGTCTTCTAGCAGCTGTATATAATGCTGAAAGTATAGAGCAGGGGAAGGTGGAGGTTACTGGGAGTAGAGTAAGTGTGAGCACAAGAAGTAGTACTTACAACTTTAACAAATTTACATAAACCAACAAATCATATCCTCCTTGAGGTAGGTGATTAGTGTTGTGCAGAAAATGTAATAGCAACTGTAGATTGTTAGCCTATCTGTAAAACTGAAAACTGAATTGAACAGTGATTATTCATACTTACTACATGACATGATGCATGATTACAATAATACTGCTTCAATACTGAATCAGCTAATTGATGGTATAATTGAGACAGCAGTGGTCACATAAAGCAATAGAAGGAGAATAACAATGAGAGTAAAAACTGAATTATGTGAACAGATCAAACTGTTTAGGCATACACATGTAACATATAGTGATAACTTGAATGGAGGTAAATAAGAGGCAAATTTGGAACACTGACAAATATAGGAGTGTAATAGCTATAGATCAATGTGAAATCAAACATCTATTTTGAACTCAGAGAACTGGCCAGTGGGTGATGGTAGTTGATGGGCAAAAAGTGATACATGGCAAAAGTCTCTGATACAACATGTGTAGTTACTATAGGTGAAACACAAAACATAATAGTTAAGAGTTTGAATTACAGTTAATAATCAAATTGATTGATCATGACACAAGGATTTCAAGAAGCCTCATGGTCCAGCATGGAGCAATGAAATCATGACAGGTCTGAATCTGAGCAAAAAATGAATTGTATTTGCTTGTTCATAGGTTTATCAATGTGGTAAAACTAAATATATAAGATAGGGCTCTTGTACAACCAACCAACATCACATGACCACAAGTGACTTTTGTGTGACTTTAGAGTGTACAGCTAATGGCCATCATAAATTTGACTTTTTGGCAAAAGAAATTCTGCAGTCCTCTTTATATTTGTATTTAGAATAACTCTATGGGGCTGGATTTTCAAAAAATTGAGAATTGCGAGTGCCATTAGAAAAATGAGTCTTATGGGCTTGGAATTAAGATCTCTGTGTGTGACAATTAGGGGATAACACTACAAAAAAGATAATCTGTCACCTCTATGTTCATATCTTCAGACTACTGCACCACAGGCTTCTCAATGCCAAAGTGTGCACTTTGGTAAATATCATTGAGTCCTCTCTCACTCCACTCTCACTAAGCTCAAGAAAGCTGGACTGTAAAGTATCATTCACTTATCATTTTGTATAATTTATTACATAGCACATATAACTATCTTTTAGTTCATTAATTAGAAGTAACTTCATTGCACAGTTAATACAATATATATAGTACTAACCACTTAGTACAAGCTTAGTACTTCCTCTAAGTCATTCTACACTAGTCACTACATGGCATCACAAGGCGTCACAGGTTGGTTGGTTGTGCGCAAGAGCCCTATCTTAATAGTTGATGTCATCATATGGACTTGTTTGGTCCACCTCAACCTCACATGATTTGGAGCTTATTAGATTGCCATAATGGGGTGGGAATGGCATCCTAGTTAGCATATGATCTTTGCTATCTCACTCACTGCCAGTAATACTACAAATAAATAGTTTATTCCCTAAATGCTTGCTAACATAAGAAGGCTATTATTGGAGGCTGCCGATGGTAACTATCAGCTATGTCAGCAATGTGATCCCCACGCTTTTGGCTGCTCCCACGATGTGCGCTCATCTGCGCTTGCTGTTCACCACGATGAGCAAGGTAAGTCCCTCAGTTCTGGACTGTGTTTTTTCAACATTTTTTTTATTCAGATGCTATTTATCTCTTCCATCACACTCCTAATATCCTCAGGGCCCTGTGCTCTTGTGGGCACTATGTTTTAACTGTAAGTCTTTTACTTAAACGTACACATGACTTTGTTGACTATGTATGTTACATAACTTCGTTCTTGAACATCACGCTCGCTGTCCGTGCACCACCTCTTACTGGCTTCGGTCTTCTCTCCATCCAACACTATGCCAAAGGAGAAAGATGTTTCATGATTGGTCACTCTTGTCATTGGAAATGCTCGAAAACACGGTACCCTCAGTGTCAGAAATCTCAAGCAGAAGGACCTTGTCAATGAGCGTGTTCGTTGACAGGATGGATATGAGCTCAATACATCAGGTACAGTGTTTTCAACAATTTTCTTTCCATCATACCTATTCTAACGTGATTAGCCCACTGCAATGGATGTCGAAAATCCTGCTATGGACCCAGACCTTGAATGGGAGACCATCCTAAAGACATTGAAGGATAATGACACATTTGTGCATGCAGTTCAGGATATTGTTGGAAGCTAGTAAGTACTCAAAACTTGTAACAAGTCTTGACCATCATATAGTTGAATTTCATAGGTGGAGAGTGTATAAAGATGGACGAACATGGTGCCAGCATGTTACCCGCCTTCAAGAGAACTGGGGACCAATCATCAAAGACTTGACTCTAGCCTATCTAACTTGGAAGTACCCTTCACAGTCTCCCCCACATAATGCAGCACCTCCACCATCACAATTGGCATCACCCTCACAATGAGCGTCACCCTCACGATCAATGTCACCCTCACCTTCAAGCTATGATTTTGAAATTGAATGCATTGATATTTATACACTGTCCAACACAACTCACATCCAATGCCACACCAATGTCAAGACTGTCTCTGAGGCACTTGTTCTGAACAGTTATATTGGAGCAACTCCAGAGTCTCCCTCCATTGCTATCTCACTTCGCACCCTGGAACTGTATTACAGAATTCGCCTGCAAAAACCATCATTTAGTGCTGAGGCCTTTATGAAGGTTCTGTGTGATCTTTACAATGTACGTCATTGTAATCATACCTACAGACTTGCTAACAATTTCTTCTATCTACTTAGATACCTTATTCACCGCAGATATCAAACATGCCTGGTAGGCAGCCTTTGATGTCTATAACATTGTCCTCCGTCAAGTTGAGCTTCAAGTTTCTGAAGCCCTTGGTCACAATTCACCTAACTGGCATGTCTTGAATGCTTGTCCACCATGCTCATTTGAGGTATGTACTATGTTGCTATCGCTAACTCATCAGACCCTCAGACTTTTGTAGGTTGAGGAGAACCACCGCTTCTCTACCAGCACATGATTGTCTTTGATGGCAACAACTCTCTATCTCGAATGGTGCCACTGGGTGGCTGCAATGTCGGTGACATGCGCACATTTGATTCAGACTTCTTCCTTTCCCATGACTACGTCAATCAGTTTGCTGATGAAGCACCGTCCTCCCAAGCACCAGCTGATCAATGTGCCCTGCAACTTCAAGTTGGTGAGAATATGGAAAGACTGTGCACGGAAAATTGGAAGGCTGCTGCTGCTGAAGCCAAGAAAAAGATGTGGGGAATATTTGAAGAAACAGGGATCTTTGCATGTGCATGCCATCATGGCATGATACTGTGGATTGTTGACATGGTCCACAGCGGTGAACTGTATGTCACGTTGCATAAGGAAGCTTCATCTGTTGATTTTAATCTAGCTTTAAGTATCCACTCTCCATTGTGAATAAGGTGCTTGAAGTCCTCAGCCCCGAACTATTGATCAGTTATGATGTCGGATGCAAACTTGCTACCACTGTCAAGTCAACCTCCCTTGCTACCAAGTTTCATGAATCTAACAGCCGCTTGTGTATTGATGCATTCCATGGGTATATGCATGTCAGGATAAAAACCATCCAAACATCATTTGAGGGATGGGACTGAGGACTTCTCCATGATAAAGAGAATTTTTGACTCATCTAACCAGCTCGCCCCCGTTATTTGTTATGCAAGCACCTACAACCGTCATTTCTATATTGACATGTTTTTCAAACAGTGGGACGAAGACAAGTACATGAATATTGGCAACATGCTATACAACAACTATCGTCAAGCTCTCGACATTATTGAACAGGAAATTATCACATTTGAGCACGCCAAACTGTGCCTTGACATTACAGATGACAATATCAAGGAATGGCAGAAGCAGCAGTCAGTGTACCTTGAAACCCTTGGAAATGAAGCCGAGTGGGACGTGCATGCGATGACGTACATTGAGTTGTTGAAAAATCTCCAAAATGCAATGTATGTGAAGGTAATTCTTACATCTGATGAACTAACATTACATTTCCAGGGCTGCAGCACAGAATGCATCAGCATCATTCCTTGATGGCATTCCCACCGACTATCAATTTGTCTCAACTTCATCAGTGACATCAACAGATCCTGCATATATCGCCAATCTGTCAGTGAACATGCAAGCTGGAGACTCAACGACGACACGCGAATGAGCGCCTGGATACCATATTGCAAGAGATCACTGCCATGGAGGTGAAGATGGACATTACACAGAGGTGGGAGCCATCAGACAGTGAGTATGTTGAGCCTATGAGGTACATGGCTACACAGAAATATCACCATGCTCTAGATGAGCTGCAGTGTCTTGTTGTGCTGCGACTCTTCGAGTTGCACAAGTTAAACCTTTCACAGACTGGTATTTTTTTTTCAATGTCTTTCTTATCTTACAATGTCCATGTTACAGGTTATCACATGCGCACTCATACTTGCTAAAGCCCTCCAAACTTGCTGCAAGGCAATTCAAAACAAGGTGAAGGAATACAATGCAGCAGCATCTGCACTTGTTCCACCTGCTCCGAGTCTCGACTGGTTGCGTGTCTCTCACTATGGCTTTCTTCATGAGTTTACACTTCTCTGTGAAACGCGGCAAGATGTACGAACAAATCAATGGACCTGTCCGGAAGTGCATGAATTGATGTGCCAGTCACTTCGCATCAAACATGCTCATGAAGAGGTCCATCATTGTAACATCGAGCTTCATCGCCTTCACTCATCCATTGTTGCTGAAAATTGTCACTTTGAAGCCACTCTCCAATGCCTCAATGCTGAGAACAACACATTGTACCACCCCATCAAAGAATTTGCCACGTGCCACATCCGAATCAATTCTCATAACCTTGCCCATGTTTTTCAAACATTTAGCCTTGCTGGTTTCACAGGAGATAAGATGGTTGGCATGAAGAAGAACTTATCTGCTATTCTGAATCATTCACTAATGCACACGGACATCCTGGCTGATGAAGTAGAATCTGACATGGATGAGGATGATGAAGCTTGTGGGGTCATGGGCGGTGTGACGCTCGGACCCATGCTGGGCAGCAAATAGGCCTTTTTGATACTTGTGTCAAGGAGCATAGAACACTATGAGTTTCCTGTCCTTGCACATTCATTGTCCTGCAAGTAACCTTGTCCGAAACTGAACCCGCTGTAGAGATACAACAATTGCTGGACACTACACGAAGTAAGTAGCCAGCAATATAAAAAAGTGTTGTGGTCATGCACAGCCTAGTCTGCTATACTTATAAGACAAGTGTGTTTGACCCGAGGGGTTTGCTGTATGGAATGGTCTGTAGTTAGTGAAACAATAAACGGTCAAAAGTCCGAGTGCGAGAAACAATGTCCGAAGGTATATCTACAATGTCTGATGCCAAAGCTTTGGGTCCGATGTTTTCGGGTTTCGGGTTAGTGGGTTTCAGGGTCAGGTTTAGTGGGTTAGCGGGAATGGCGATAACGAGTGTCGGGAAAGCGAGCGGTATGTGGATTAACAATAATGATGGGTATTTCGGATAGAAAGAGTGGTAATATTTGCAATGTCAACTAAGAGCTATGGAATATCAGGTTTGACCACTAAGTATTGGGGAACAGCTCCCTACTACTTGCCTCCTCCAAAATACTTGTAGTCAGTCCAATATATATATGTAAGTACGTAGAAATGCAGAAGCTGTAGGCGAAAGTAGCGGCCGACGATTTCGGGTCTGAAGTACATGTAAATAAACACGAGGTGCTGCGGATGATGGGAAAACATTCAATAGCGCTGGCTACAACGTGAGTAATGTGTGAAACAATCAACTACGCACCTAGTGGGGCTAGCAAGACATAACAGGATACGGATAGGACAAGTGCGCGGGAAAATATTGGGTCCGATGCGGCCGAAACATCGGGTCCGCTAGTCAAAGTGTCAGGTTGAGCGGGTTAGCATCGGGAAGTGATTAGTGCGTGATGGGCATTGGACGTGTAAGGTAGACCTTGCGCACTTTCAGCAAACGTCACATGATAAAGCATGATAAAACGTGACAAAAGTACTGATTGTGTATAGGAAAGGTAACAGGATCAGTTTGGGAAAATCAGAGACGGATAAGTTGTAGAGAAAAGCTCTAGCTACAAATCATCTGTCACTGATTGTTTATTCATGTCATGTTTCAAGAGAAGATACTCAATATTTGGTCTACAAAGCTAATCAAAGTTCCACTGAGTCTAAATTTGCCACTGGACATGCTGTTAGTGACATCCGGAGGTCCTTTCTACCCTTTTCAGCACCAGGATGCCCAAATGTTCATCAAAGGTGCATTTGGCCCTTGAAAACCTCGGGCATTATGCAAAGAAAAGGAAGGTTTCAGTCCAAGTAGACAAGGAGAAAGAGGTGAAACATACTCAAATATTCAGAGTACTGAAAACTAATGTCTTTTTCCAGTGCCCTTCAGTAGACACGACAGTTCTTGTATCAGTCTCACCTCATGAATATAGATCAGACATTCAGTTGTCTGAGGAAGCTCTGGACATACCCAAGGAAGACTTGAGCTCAGACTCAGACTCAGACTCAGACTCGGACTCAAACTCAGACCCAGATGCGGACTTGGATTCTGATAGCAATAAGTTAAATTGGGATTTTGAGACGTGCAATGAGATTGAGTATGGACCAAGTGAGGGCTTCGAGATGTTTGAGGGGGAAAGTCTAGCCTCTGACAGTCCAGGAGAGAAGGAATACATCTATCCATGGCATCCCATTGATGCACGTATTCCACCAAGCCTCAAATCAGCAAAACTGGCTCTATGTGATCTCAAAAACCTTCTTTATCCCCCTCATGATAAGGGACATTGACTAAAAGTAACTGGACTCACTTCAATTCTTGAAAGACGCCTATCAAGGATGGAATATTTCCTCCATGCATATGTACAGGGCGCAGGATGGTCTGTTGCGGCATTGCAAACAGCACAGTTTGTTGGGAAGGGGACATACATGGCTAGAAAGGTACAGGAATGGTCAAAGGCCTACATCCAGGACCGCGAGAACCTACCAATGTGCAAGAGCGACCGAAACTGGACTAAGTCACGGATTGAGGATGAGGATTTGAAAGATGAATTACTCGTCCATCTCCAATCACTTGGAAAATATGTTATGGCTTCTGTGATCATTAAATATCTTGCAAAACCGGATGTCCAGCGCCGATACAAACTGTCAAAGACAGTTTCATTGGCAACAGCTCAGAACTGGATGAAGACTTGTGGATTTCACTGGACTACTGCCAAAAATGGTCAATATGTTGATGGTCATGAACGAGAGGATGTTGTCAATTACTGACAGAAAAAATTCTGCCCTGCATGGTATGCACTAGAATCCAAAATGCAAAAATGGTCATCTTTGGATCCCATGAAACTCAGCGAGGGACAATTGATGTTGGGAAGACATACCGTGGTATGGTTCCATGACGAGTCTACGTTCTATGCACATGACTGTTGTCAAAAGCGATGGGTACACGAAGACGAAAAAAGCACACCGCAACCCAAAGGACAGGGAGTATCCCTCATGGCAGTAGACTTTGTATCTGCATCCTCTTCCACGCGGGAAAAGCAAGAGATGGATATTTTACGAACAATGAAATTATTCAGCACGCTGAAACAGCAATGACAATCCTGGAAAAAGATTATCCTGACGACAACCATGTCTTTGTTTTTGATAATGCTTCAACTCACCTGAAAAGAGCTGATGATGCAATATCTGCTCGTCAGATGCCAAAAGGTTGCAAACAATGGGGGATTGACACACCAGTATGGGACACACAAGGAAAACTGATCCATGGCCCTGATGGGAAGCCAACAAAGCAAAAGGTTTGCATGGCCAATGGTTTCCATGACGGAGCACCCCAGGAGTTTTATTGGCCGGAGGGGCACGAGAAGTCGGGCATGTTCAAAGGCATGGCAACCATTTTGACAGAGCGTGGTTTTGATGTCAAAAATTTAAAGGCCCAATGTAAAAACTTTGAGTGTGCTGCTGGAGTAACTGATTGCTGCTGCCGTTGTATTCTCTATAGTCAGCCTGACTTCACAAATGTCAAGTCATTCTTGGAAACTACTTGCAAGGCCAGGGGTTTTCAGGTCATTTTCCTTCCGAAATTCCATTGTGAGTTAAATTTCATCAAGCAATGCTGGGGTTTTGTGAAGCGGCTTTATCGCACCTACCCCATGTCAATGAAGGACAGTGACCTAGAGATCAATGTAGTTAAGGTGCTGGATTCCGTTCCTATTGCCAGCATGCAGAGGTAAGGTATCACAGGATTTGGAAAATGAAACATTTTCTGATGGAACTGCACAGGTTTGCAATGAGATCGCAGCGCTTTATGGACGCTTATCATAGAGGCCTAAATGGGAAGCAAGCTGCTTGGGCAATGAAAAAGTATTGTGGACATCGTGTCCTTCCTGATTCAATCCTGAGCAAGCTTGATTCAGCAAAGATACTATGTGAGGTTTGCTGAAAGTGCGCAAGGTCTACCTTATTGAGAAATGAGAGAATACGTGCTCAGCGCGAGCTCGAGTGCTACACCGCTTTTCCCACACCTTGCGCATCCGCTTATCCGCACTTTCCCACGCATCGGCCGCACCGGACGCGCGTTCCCATGCTTCGGATACCTCGGAAATGCATTAGGAAGGTCCCTCGTCTATCCATAGTCCGTCCAAACCCCATTGGTATGTGAATTTCCTTACCTCAAGGCTTGTAAAATGTGTTGCAGCCTTATTACATGTCCTTACATATTTCCTACATTTCCTATCCCTTCCTTCTCCGAGTGAGAGTCTAGACAGTATAAGTTGACTATTCCTGAGGGACTATTTCCTTACTACACTTCCCTCGTACTGTATGCCTCTCTCTATAGGTTTACCTTCGAAGTAGTCCCTTGTAGTGCGCGCTTTTTAGCCCCTATTAGGTTCCTTATACCTCTCGATACCTAGACTTTCCTTACCTCGCAATATACCTTTGCCCTCACTCTCTCTGAACCTCGTTCCTTAACTTCCCTATACCTTGTCCGCACTTTCCTGCGCTTTCCGCACCTTTGACCGTGTGTTCCTGCACTTCGGATAGCCTCGGATACATTCCGGCACCTCGCGCATACCTTGTCCACTATTTTCCCGCGCTTAATGCGCCCTTGGGTCACACACATCCATCATCGTTCTAGTAGCAATTCTCTTTAGGGTCGAACACGTCTGTTTAGACATAGCAGCTAGGCATTAGCTTGACCCAACCTTTTCTTGCCACCCAGCAAGATTGTTGTTTCCACAGCGACCTATTTGCATCCACCAATGATTCTTCTGCAGGCAGGTGAGCAGGTACAGCATACATATGAGTATGGACAAGACTACATAGACAGATTGTAATGTACAAGGAACAATTATCAGCAGTAAGGATTGACAGAGAAAATTCAGTAGCTGCTGCTTGTGGGCATTTAGAGCCTCATTTTTTTCCCTTGTCAGAACGTGTCTTCCTAGCTTTCTTAGTGCCTACAACTTCCTTGCCACCTACTCCGGAAATAATGTTGATCAAATTTTCTGGCGGATGACTTGTTGTTTTGTTAGTGGGCAGTACAATGCAGGCACCTCCATTATGGGTGAAGACTGGGTGATATTAATGGAGCCTTCTGATGGAATCAAGGGCACAGTTGAATTAGTGCAATGAAAATTTTTAAGTGTACATAAACTTACCCGAATCAGCAAGCAATTTCTGCTGGAACCTATCTTTGTCCCACTGCTCAAACTCAGCCTTTGACATCTTCCAGAATTTTGCAGTCCCTGTTTTCCATGCGCTGTTGAGTACCTTGACTTCAGTGTGCGAGCCAATGTCTCCAGGGCTGCAAAATTTCAGCAGTGGCCAGCCCTCGCATACTACACCATATTTTGCTATAATATTTTCTTTGAAGTTGACATAAAACATCCTAGGCACATTAACTTGCACAGCATCACCTGCAAAAGTTAAAATTAATACACACTGATATAAAGATAGACTTGCGAAGTCGTTTGATGATCAATGAACTTGTTTGCGCTTTGAGATCAATAAGAGCCTGCTTGTAGTTTTGGACAACACCTATGTTCGAGTTAGCAAGGCTTTTTTCAAGCAGACACACTCTGATACTCACCAGTGACCCCAGATAAACAATGCACTTTGAGGTGAGTGGCCACATCAGTGGGTGCCTGTTGCAGGGCAAGCTGGAAATAGTCTCCAATATGGTCATCCGACATGTATACAAAGGGACACAAGTAATGATCAGTGTCACCACACACTGCTATTAAGAGGCTATAGCATCCTGTACGAGCTGACAGCACTGTGAGCTACCAGACATAGACTTTAGCATGTAAGGTGGTCATTTGTCACTTACTTTGTTAGAGATAGATTTGAGAGTGACATGCATGTCGTGGAATGTGTTGATAGGCACATTATTAACACCTGTGCATTTGTTAATATGGTGCTTCTCAAGCAACACCATCGCTTCCTTGGTAGCAGCTTTCTTGCTATCATTACTCATGGCTTTCCAATTGACAGAAATTTCCCCTGCTAGTTTGGTAGCCTTACGATGAGGCTCGTTGTCAGGTAGTGCTTCAGAGTACAGACAGGTCAGCAAAAAAATGTAGTATCATCCTTATAGAATGTACCTTCATTATACTTTTTCACTTCAGCTCAGAGGTATGTGTTCCATGGATTGCATGCCCTCTGGTGTTTGGTCATATGTGATGTCTGGATAATGGCTTCATAGCAGTAGTCAACTGTGTGAGAGCCAAGCATCTCGTGCATCTTGACGTCTTCTTGCATTAGTACATCTTGTGCTTCAGCAAGTGTGGTGTGATAATCTGTCTGCCTCTTGAGGCGCTTCTCAGCAAGAGCTTTTTTTCAGCTACTGATTTCTTTGCTATTTGCTTTCTCTTCATTCGTGAGCGCCATGGTGTGCGCTGACTGACTTTTGTGGTCTTAATGTAGCATTGAGTGCTGTGCAGAGACAGACGAGTCATGTTGAGCAGGGGATAGTGTTTGATACAAATGAGATATCAGTGGTAGTATATATGTAAATAAAGCAAACAATGAGTGAAAATTAGTATACAGCTTCATAATCCTCGCACCCAGTATCAGAGCCACTGATGAGTTCATATATGTGAATGGCTTCTGCCTGAGACATGCCCCTTGGGCAGACATAGTTGACAAAATCCAACACGCAGTACACCTCCGTAAATCCAAGTAGGATGTGAAAGACGGCACTGCCCTTATAGCCATGAGCATCAAGGTACTTCTCTGCAGCCAGGCCAAGAAGGCCATGGGAGGGTATTCTTCACTACTGCGAATGCTGGGAGGATCATATTCTTCTCCAACAACTCCAGCAAGCAATCTGATGAAACGATAAATCTTGCGAGGCTTAGAATTGGTAGGCTGTGTGACAGATGGTCCTGTCATTGTCCTTGAGGAAATATGTAACTTCAAGGATGAAGGATTTGTGGGGGACACTGGAGCGCGCAATGGTAGCAATATTGGTTGGGTGGGTGTGCATTCAACTCCTCTGGTGAGCATGAACTCAACAGCCTTGACAAATGTCCTAGTTTTCTTAAACTTCTGCACTTGTTATCTACTCACTTGCTGAAATGCCGCTTCCCTGTACCACAGTTGGATAATCATTAGTAAAGACAATGTGTAGTACTCACCAGGTAAGGTATATTCTAACATTCATACCGCACACAACAGGGTAAAATGGTGTGTGATGCAAAAATATTGCCTTGAGGGCCTGAGACTGTAAGAGAGAGTCCATCATGCTGATTGGTGGTACTTGTTGGCTGAGCGACTTGATAAAAGGCTGCAAGGTCATGATGTGTTCAGCTTGTTCAGTAGTTTCACATGCAACAACCAATGACCACACTGGTTGTCTTGTACTGGTGAATGGGCTTGTAATGATTGTACCAGCCTTAATTTCTAGTAAGATCAAGCAATCTACTCACTAAATATTCACTATTCCAGGATCTCGATCACCCAATACCACAAACACAGCCATTATCGAAGCCAGTGAGAGGTGGTGCACGGACAGCGAGCATGATGTTCACGAACAAGGTTATGTATCATGCACGGTCAACAAAGTCATGTGTATGTTTAAGTAAAAGACTTACAGTTAAAACATAGTGCCCACAAGAGCACAGGGCCCTGAGGATATTAGGAGTGTGATGGGAAAGATAAATAGCATCTGAATAAAAAAATGTTGAAAAAAAAACAGTCCAGAACTAAGGGACTTACCTTGCTCATCATGGTAAACAGCGAGTGCAGACTATTGGTGATGAGCACACATCGTGGGAGCAGCCAAAAGCGTAGGGATCACATTGCTGACATAGCTGATAGTTACCATCGGCAGCCTCCAATAATAGCCTTCTTATATTAGCAAGCATTTAGGGAATAAACTATTTATTTGTAATATTACTGGCAGTGAGTGAGATAGCAAATATCATATGCTAACTAGGATGCCATTCCCACCCCATTATGGCAATCTAATAAGCTCCGAATCACATGAGGTTGAGGTAGTTTGGTCATATATTCAACCACCCTATTGTCCACATCAAGTAATCTCTCAGTTGTATGGAAGACAGGACAGCCGCACTCACTTAGTCATGTCACAAACACATATAAGGCAATAGGACTCCATACACCTCAAACTCAAATAAATAAGTTGTTTACAAGTATTTTTTCTAACTTGGAAGAGGCAGATGCACATGGCACTTTTTCCTTGAGTGATATCATCACTCAAGGAAAAAGTGCCACATTTTGTCTCATTGAGGCCACATGACTTGCTAAATCTTCATTGCACAGTCTATCAAAACTTTCATATCATGTGTTACAGGATCTGTCAAAATAAGTCTCCTAAGCTGCTAAGCATATACCTCCAATCCGAATCCTGGCCACTTGCAGTAATAATTACAAACATACTTTGTCTCAAAGTCATCTATCATGCTTGTGATGTTTCCATCACCAAAAATATCATTTTCATCACTAACTGAGCTAAAGAAGTAACTGCGATAAACAAATGTTGCAATTAATACTAGTTGAAAATATACACACCAGTGGGTCAAAATTTGAGGATCAGTTAGAAGCTCGGTGCTGCCTTGATAATCAGAAACAAAGGCTAAACCTTCTGTCTTTGCATACTGAATGTACTGAGTGAAAGCAAGAAAGACGGCTAGGTCATAGCCATATTCATTATCATCAAGTGATGGTTCACAGTCCTTGTTGTGGATAAATTTTGTGAATGTCTGATTAGCATCAAACATCATTGGCTCCTCAAGGAGATACACTGCCGAAAATGTCCCTGCCTTGATGTCTGCTATGGGAGCTTGATTAGAAGTCCCCTGAGTATTCAATGAGTGATGAGAAAATGCCAAAGCAATTCCTGCTTCCATGAAGTGCACATGGGGTATTTGAAAAGATGAAGGACTTGGTGCAGCATTGATACAGTAATCAATGTACTTGTAAGTGAAGTTAAGGAGAGATTTTGCCCAGTACAACACATCACTTTTGTTTAAGGGCTTTCAGAGCTCATCTGCTAGTGAGTAACATGAGATCTTAAGGGTGCTGATCCAGTGGTGTGAGAGGAAGGTCTGTAGAATGGCTGCTTAACAACAACATCCTGCTGAGTGCGTAACCCAAGGCCACTGGAGGACAGGAGGGATAGTGTGAGTCACCCTGGATGTGCTGTCTTGAAAGCACCAATCCCAATCATGCTGTGAAGGGGGACATCAATAGTGAGTTAGCTGATAGACAAATTTGAGATGTCAAGTCTGAATGAACGATGTTGAGGAGTCTTTAAGATATCAGCTAGTGGACACACAGGGATTTGATGGAATTGAATGTCCTCATTGTGTAAATCATAAACTGAAGTCAATGCTTATTTAGATTCTAAAAATCCCGCTCTAAGATGAGAATAAACTCTTACCTTTAAGTGCATGTGCAGCATCTACACTACCTCCATTTTTCAAGGCCTCTTTCAGATCATCACAGTCAGGAAGACAAAATATGTCAGGCACTGGCTTCTTGTGGGGAGATGATACAGTACTATTTGTGGAGTCACTCTCCCTTTGAATATGAGCCCACTTTGCTAATGGACATGTCACAGGTTCCAAGCCGTTACCAAAAGGGTCTGAATCTTCATAGTCATCCAAGTTAGTACTAACAATGTGAGGGTCTTGTTCTTCAATATCAGTACAGATGTATCTGCATCATTGAAGCTGTTTGTGTAAGGTATTCTGAGAAAAATATGAGTTAGCCGATTTATAATACATTAAATGAGCAGAATCTTACTTCTTTTTCAGTTTTTTCTAGTCATTCCTCATACTCACTGCACTGCACTGCAGGCACAATAACCATGAGCAAGAATTTTTTAGTCTTGAAAGTCATTGTTTTTGATGCACACCGAGATTGTACTAAGCACTGAGCCAAAAAATATGGAATGGCAGGCAAATGTCCAGCTAGGTTAACCCAGGCAGCATCTTGGACAACAAATTCTTGAGTACACCAAGGAAATCCCCTTCTGAATGCAAGGATTTTGGATAGAACAGTATCAAAAGCAATTGCTATGAGACTAGGGGCATCCAAGCGAACATCAATATCCTTCTTTCCTTTACAAATATTCTGGTATGAGTGTCAGAAATATAGCAACACAGGAGAGATAGAAAGAGAAAATATACCCCAAAGTTGATGCCACACTCACTTTTCTTTTATAAATTCTCCTCATATACAGCTGATATCTCTAACATGATGGTCTCTGCAGGGGGTGGAGCATATGCCAGTTTAACCCATCACTCACACTCCAGACTATATTAAGCATGATATGCAGAGTACCCTGTTCTGGCTGGAACTTGCCAGTGGTTGTTGCCGTGATAAAGGTACTGCAATATCTGGGCCTGGAAGGCGGCCCATATGTGCAGTGCTACTTGAGGGCTGAGGCAAAAGGGGAATTACATGAGGGGTGTTGATAATAGCTATTAAATTTCACCATTGAGATATGATTGACACAAGTTCTAGTAGAGAAATTGGACTTACATTTGTGCTGTGCAGCATTTACACTTTGTCATATGATGTGAGGATCTGAAAGTGATTGTGCGGCTAAATGTAATCAATGGCATCATTGATTAAAAAAATACATAGGGATTTCAAGTGTACTTACAAGAAGGGCAAATTGAAGAGGGTCGGACTAATGTTGAAAGCTTCTGTGTATATCGCAAGTAACACGCTCTACAGACAAAGCAACCAGGTTGGCCAGGCACAATAGTGGCAATATAATGATATGGAGCACCTTTCAGTATCATGCTACCACAAGCGGGTCAACCACAGATACAATCCTCCTTGGCAATAGCATCCTCAGTAAACTGAGATACAAGTTCAATATTGGCCATAATGGCAGTAAGGAATTGTGTGATGAGGATGAGTTGAAGGAATACTGTTGGAACAATAGCCCTACAACACTTGAGAGACAGGCTTATATATTGGACCATCCAGGACAACTCACTGCTCTGAAATATAACTAAGCTCCCACAACAATAAGTTGCATCTAAGTTGAGGAATCTCCCGCAGCACTAAGGTGCGTCTAAGTTGAGAGTTGCCAAATTCTCCATGTTGGATAGTTGGAATCAGAGTCACCATGATTATGGTCACATTCAGTTGGTGTCCAACTAAAATAGAAACAGTGCATTCAACATCTAATGTGTTTGATGTGTCAGACTTATTCTATAATCTTGTGAGGCTCATTTGGTGTAGACTTGTTCATATTAGACTTTTTTGTCAGACTTACTATCGATGACCCGGTAATGCAAATTGATTCGCACAAGTGTTTCACAACTCAACCACAACACATAGAGCCTTGAAAGTTAGTGCAAATTGTAGCTAGAAGCTTAAAAATTTACTCACAAAAATCATGAATTTTTTCTGCAATGCTACACCACCAAGATATGTACAAATGCAACGGCACGTCTCTCTTCCTCAAATTTGCACCATGTCACACAATGTCACACTTAGTCATATGTTGCGTGCGTGAATGTGAATCGGCGCTCGTTTGAACATTCAAACTTCATACATTACAGATTCAACAAAATGACTACACTCATTACAACCTACAGATCAATTTGTAAGTGAAGTATCATGTAAAGGTAGGAATGTATGACATAGGGCCAGGCTGTGATCGAAAGAATGGTCCAGGAGCACCCATGAAACAAAGAATCGAACGATGATCATGGTTCAGCGGGGGATTAAATGCAATGCCTGTGCTTGGTCCAGTGGGAGGCTCGTATGGCATGAATCACCCATTTGAGGTATCGTTTAGCAGGTTAATCATGTCAAGATCTGGTGATGAGTAGATTGGTGATTCATGTTCAGGCTGCAGTCGAGGATCCAAAGGCAAGATGGGAGATAAGTTGGTGATTTCACCTAAGCGACATCGTTGATGTGGTGGCTCATGTAGTTCATCATCTGTGGGTGCTGGGAGAGGCCGCTTTGGTGCACGCTTACTGGTCATGAATAGTCCCTTGTAACGTGGATTGTGATGAAGGTGTGTGTTCTCACTGGCATTGAAAAACGCACTGACTCATTTGATCAACTCATTGTGTGTCCCATCCTCCGACATGTCCAATGTCCATGCAATGTCACAGAGCAATGGGAGCTTCTGGGTCTTGAGAGCACCACTGAAGGTTATCTTATCCCTCCCCTCCCGATTCCGTCGCTCATGCACTTCGATGGCACCATCAAGCTTCCTCTGCTGTCGTTCATCATCTTTTTGTGCTTTTGCCTCACAAGCCTTCTTCTGTTTCTGTGCTTCCATCCGACCTTCATCAGTACTAATCACCCGCGACGGCATAAGAACAGTGCATGAACCGGCACCATTTTTCTTTATCTTTGCATTAAGTTGGCCCTGCAGTCTCTGGATGTGACTCGCAGCAAGTACTGCATGTGCAGCAGCCTTGTCACGCTGTTCACAAGCATGGTCCCTTTGCTTTTTGTAATGTGAAGCCTTTGCTTTCAGCTTCGCAGGCTCAGATTCATGTTTGCTAATGTCACCATCATTATCAGAGTGATCAGAGAGTGAATCATTGTAACAGCCATTGAAAGGAGGAAGAGGCTTGATGTTGTTGTGTGGAGGGTTGATTTCATTGTCGACAGCGGCAGGTACAGTTTGTCAGGCAAGTACACATCTAGAATGGCATGTTGCAGGATGATGTGGTCCATCAGACTCGAAGTCACTGTCAGACTCGGATCCACTTTCAGATGACGATGGATCAGATTTGCCAGCAGGATACCCTTCAGGAAGGTTGAGTTGTGTCGACAATGAGACACTGGGAGCAATGTCATTATTTGTGAAGATTTCGGGAGTGCATTTCGGTCGGCCATTCTTGTCAATACCAATGCCTGACTTTGACCATGCCTTCTGGATTGTTGACTCTTTGAAAGATTCATCCCGTGCAGCTAGATACTCTCGTATGACATCACTTGCTTGCATGTGCTGCCCAGTCATCTTGTAGATGCTATCACAGTGGCTATACCAGGCTCGCTTCAAAGGTCCGAAGGCACCAACATCACATGGCTGGAGACGGTGTGTTGTGTGAGGTGGCAGTAGGTAGAGAATGATGTTGTTTGCACATGCAGCATTAATCAGCTTGACAGTATTGTGCGAGCCATGTCCATCATATATGAGAACTATTGGTTTGGATGTATCTGCATGTGCCGTCGCATCACGAATGAAGTTTTTTGTAAACCACTCAGCATAGACTTTGTCAGATGTCCAGCCATTGTCAGTTGTTGCAATTCTAGTAGGCACATATCAGCCATGCAACACCAATGACACAAAAAATCAATTACAATACACCATCAGCAGCCTTGTACCACTCTGCACTATGGTGCGTGCCTGAAAACACGAAGCAGAGTTTGACAGAAGCAGTTCCATCTGCACAGATTGTTTTGAGGATGGTGACTAGCTCAAGCTCATCACTTTTCAGCTTATACTTGCTCTTGTCGACACACAAGAAAAAGAAGAGCTCGCCATTGCTCTTTCAACCACTGCCAAGCTGAATTCCGATTTCGTCAAAGTTAAAAATGTTGCAAAGTGGAATATTGCCATCATCAAACACTTGTTGAATATTTTTGAAATGCTTATTGACGATTGTGAAGTTGAATTGCCATGCATGTTTGGGGTCGAGTCCAGAAGGACGGTGGAGTGCGCAGTCAGGATTACGTCAAACAAAGCACTGAACCCAACGTCTCGATGGCTTTTATCCACAGAGCTGTTCGACTTTCGGTGCAATGGTACACTTAGAGAGTGGTATACCAGTGGCTCTGAGCCACTTGATCCAGTTTTGTAGAACTTTCTCTTGCAAGCTATTGAGGAGCTGCTGGCACATATGGGCTTTCACATGTGGCTTCATCTTGCCAAGAAAATGCTGGTTCACAGTGTGATAGTACTTAGTGAGACCAAGTTTACAACATGCCATTGCAATGCTGAGGTATCTCTTCTCATGAACAGCAGTGACAGCCTCTTGAATCAGTGCCTCATGTTTCTCGGCCTTGAGACCTTCTGTGCAATACATTGCAGCTTTCGGCATGATTATTGAAGGAGATCCAGGGGTATACAATTATCTGTAGGAGTAGAATTGATGCGCACAGCACAGGTGAATTCAGACATGAGTAGACAATATAATGCGCGCAGCATGTGTAGTAGTGGGGTATACAATTATCTGTAGGAGTGGAATTGATGCGTACAGCACAGGTGGATTCAGACGCGAGTAGACAATATAATGCGTGCAGCACATGTAGTAGTTTTCGAATTGCAACATGACGCGTCAACATGGCGGAGTTTGAATCCATCACGCATGTGTCACACTCATGCTCCATGCAATTTGCACAAGTGTTTTGATAGTGCAGGAGCGCCTGTAATGTCAAGTCAGGTAGTAGGTTGGATAGTGGGAAGGTTCTAGTGTATGGTCTCATACTTTTTTCCAATTTTCTCGAGTATATACATGCTCTGTACTGCAAAATATGAACCGCTTGCACAAATTTGAACCTGCAGCTAGCACTATTAATTTTCTCGAGAACACTATACTTCATTAAGCGACTTGAAATTTTATATACTCACTCTCGTGGTGAATACCAGTACACTTGATTTTTACAGGCAGCAGTCATATGAAAGGTCGGGTGTGTAGTTTGAAAATTTGTATTACTATACTGATTTGCACTACCGGATCATCGATAGTATTCTATAATCTTTTGGGGCTCCTGCAAGACGTGCCTTAGAATATCTAACTATAATCTTGCTGTTCAAGTTAGTATTCAATTGCCTGACTGACCGACTCTTATTGAGATGTTTAGCTTGCCTATTTTATTGAGGTGTTCAGTATGGGGCTCAGTGCACCATTGGTATTCAGCATGCTTCTCTCTTATTGGTGGGTGTTCAGTAGCCTATTCAACTAACTCTTATTGAGGTATTCAGTGCACCCTTATTGTCTTATTGGTAGATATTCAGTGTACCTATCTCTGACTCCTATTGAAGTGTTCAGTATGCCTATTTGACTAGTCTTATTAAGGTGTTCAGTGCACTCTTATTGGTTTTCAGTGTGCTATTGGTGTTCAGTGTGCTCTTCTCTTATTGGTGGGTGTTCAGCAATGTTCAGTGCACCTATCTATTCAGCTGACTCTTATTGATATTCAGTGCACTCTTCTCTTATTGGTGTTCAATACTCCTATTCAGCTGACTCTTATTTCTGCCAGTACTTGCATTTGAGTTTTTAAATGCTGGCTGTATGGTGACTGCCACTCATACTACTATGCCTAACCAGAACAAGCCAACCTGTACTTATTTCTGTATATGTAGTGATTACAAGGCCAACATGACTTGTGATATCAGTGCCTCTTGAGGAGATCACTCCACATATTCTTCAGTATTGGAAAGCTCGTCAAACTGACAAGAAGATTATAGAGAACTTGTTGAACCACTTTGATATGTCTTACTATGGACTAGGGTCAGTCAATTTCCACTTATCAGTACTACCTTCCTAATTTTTGTGGGCAGGATCATAAAGTTCAAAGAGATATGCAATAAAATGGGTCTTTTGCATACCTGCAAGCAGAACCACTCGATTGAATCCATCTGTGAAGCTATGATTGAGCTTTACAAGGCATATTCAAATGCTGGTGCATAGGAAATGGTCATTTTTCTATCTCATGAAAAGGAAATGAATGTGTTGAGGTACTTAATTCAATTACCATTGATCTATAAGGGATTTGACTAGCTATCAATTAGAAATTTGGTGATATTATACTGTGCCGCCTATGAAGCAGACCTTATACATCGATGAAAAGCTGGTCGCCTTAAGCACAGGCAGTTCTGGGCTGCTGGTATCAATAACATATTTGCTGTTGATCAGCATGATACGTGGCTTTGATTTAGTCTTGCATTACATACTGGAGTAGAGCCATTCTCTGGCTATATCATGTGGATCCGAGTCTGGTATTTGAACCACAACCCTCAACTCATTCTCACATACTATCTCAATACCATTGAGAAACTGGAACGTAAGTTTATTCAAATAAGTATTCCTCATACTGTTACTTATTCAAGCTGCCTTGCTTGGCTGCAACAGATATTCCAATGGTGACTCAGAGTGATCCTAGCACTGAAAACTATGGAATCACTAATGCACATACAATGCTTCACCAAATGTATGATCTGGCACTACAAGGCACATTACAACACTGCTGGATGTGGACAAAGAAGAATGTTAAACTGGAGATCACTTAGTCTCAGTTACGATGCTAGTTTACTCCTGGTTTTGAAACACTTTTAGATGAAGGAGTGGAGAGTGGCTGGTACGATAGTGATAACACCCTTCAGGTGTAAGTGACCTTGGCTCTGGTTTGCTGATATTTTAAGTTTGCTTACAGTTGTGCATTTAGCATGATCTTCCGTTGGGTCTTCATTCCATGGTTGCAGTGTGAGCTAGATAGGTATTAGGACTATGTTAACAACACCCTCAAAAGGCCAAATCGTAACAAGGTATTTTGATGGTATTCATTTACATTCATTTAGCACTTACAATCACATAATTTAGGTACTTCCACATGGTGTATCTAATCTAATATATGAGTCCACAGAAGATTTTGGAGCCTTAGATTTTAAGATATATTTTATTTGAATGCTACTTGAATCGCATTATGACTAACTGGCTTATCATTCTAGGTAACAGTCAAACAAGATGCTATAGACCATATCTGCAATCTCTATGTAAACCTGATCATCCTGTCTTTGATTTGGTTCTCCAACCACTCAACGATTTTATTCAAGGCTGTTATGATGATTTAGGCCATCCTCCAGTCACTTGCCAGTTCATGTGGACAATTTCCTTAGATTTGTATTATTCTATGCAGTGCTCTGCACAGGTATCAGCCATTGTTAGGTCTCTTACAGATGTCACTGACTTGGACAAAGAGCCTTTGCCTCTCCTTGAAAACCAAAAGGACCTGTTTTTCATGGAGATACTGATGGTGCTTACTACATGGGTGGTATTCATGGCAGACAAGGTCTTGGTATGTTTTTCTTAGTTTGAATAAGGTTTGTTCTAAATTACTGTATGACAGATGCATCTGATCATCGCCAGCTGGATGAACTGGCTGAGCTGGATGAACCAAGTGCACACTTACTACCTACAGCTCCGATTGTAGAAGAGGAGGGTTTAGTTATTATGGGATTCTCTGATGAGGAGGACAATGATGAAACATATGATTAGTAGCTTACTACTGTAGAGTTTGTTTTTTTGTGTTCTTGTCCTTTGGGCTATAGCAGAACGGTGCTTGGCCACACATTTATTAAAAAAATTAAGCTAGCACAGGTGCACAGTGTCCCTGCATCACACCTGCCTAGTATGAGGTGTTGTCATGCTATGTAATAAGCACAGCTGTCCTTTCTAGTGTTGCTGCTAAAGCGAAGTAACTTTGAGGTAACTTCACTTCACTTCAAAAACATGAGAAATGAATTGGTTGAGGATGTCAGAGTTGACCATACAGTGACAAGAAAAGAGCCGAAAAGTATGCAACTATATGTAGTGTTGCTGCCAAAGTGAAGCGACTTTGAGGTAACTTTGTGACTTCACTTCAAAAATGTGAGAATTTGGTTGACTTCGTCCACTTTGAGAGGTGAATCAAAGTTATCACATAGATTAATCATCATCATTGCACATCTGAACTACAACTTGTGCTAGTCAGCCAAGTGTGTTAGAGTCCAAAGTTGTGCTGTTTGAATTATTGTTGGTTGTATTTGGTTTGTGTGGCGGCACTTGGATATACTCTCAACACACTGCTGATGGTTTGGAGTCTGTTCAAAAATGTGAGAATTTGGTCGACTTTGTTGTTCTGAAGTCAGTTGAAGTGTGACTTCGTCCACTTTGAGAGGTGAATTGAAGTTATCACATAGATTAATCATCATCATTGCACATCTGAAGACCTCTATGTGCCCCCTGTCTCTATCATATTTCAATCATCAGACATCACTGTACATACTATGTACATTCAATATAAGGTTTTTGTGCATGATCTTGAACATTTGCCAAGTTGGCTCCACAATGGAATTAAAATTTATGACCTAAAGACTAAATGTAGGCTCTCACTGTCTGTGTCTTAAAATAAAAAATTCTCTACTCCCATGTACCATTTAACAGCAGGTTTTCTTCCTAGTAGTCAGTCACAGTTTCCTTCACACTCAGCTGCACAGCCTACAAACAGTCATGGTCCATCAGTTTTGCCATTAACAATACCACATGGTTCTTTCAAGACTTTGTGAAACCTCTCCCCACCCCTGCATGCACCTCCTGGTAATCACTATGAGGCATCATATACTGGGCATAGTGATTACTAGGAGGTGCATGCAGGGGTGGGGAGAGGTTTCACAAAGTCTTGAAAGAACCATGTGGTATTGTTAATGGCAAAACTGATGGACCATGACTGTTTGTAGGCTGTGCAGCTGAGTGTGAAGGAAACTGTGACTGACTACTAGGAAGAAAACCTGCTGTTAAATGGTACATGGGAGTAGAGAATTTTTTATTTTAAGACACAGACAGTGAGAGCCTACATTTAGTCTTTAGGTCATAAATTTTAATTCCATTGTGGAGCCAACTTGGCAAATGTTCAAGATCATGCACAAAAACCTTATATTGAATGTACATAGTATGTACAGTGATGTCTGATGATTGAAATATGATAGAGACAGGGGGCACATAGAGGTCTTCAGATGTGCAATGATGATGATTAATCTATGTGATAACTTCAATTCACCTCTCAAAGTGGACGAAGTCACACTTCAACTGACTTCAGAACAACAAAGTCGACCAAATTCTCACATTTTTGAACAGACTCCAAACCATCAGCAGTGTGTTGAGAGTATATCCAAGTGCCGCCACACAAACCAAATACAACCAACAATAATTCAAACAGCACAACTTTGGACTCTAACACACTTGGTTGATTGGCACAAGTTGTAGTGGTGCAAAGGTTATATCTATTTGTCCCTCCAAAAAATACCTTCGAAATAGTCGCCAGTGCACCCAGGTGTGACATGGGTGTATTTGAATAAACCTTTGATATAATCATTATTGAAATATAATATTGATTATATAAATAAACTGTGAGGCAATTAGCAGCGCAGAAGGAATAATGCAAGGAGAACATGAGGCATAGTAGTCAGCAAGTTCGTGATAAAATGAGCGCTGTCATGCATGAACTACTGTTGTACAATGAGTCTTGCAAGTAGACTATCAAAAGTGATGCAGTGCCTACAAGATAATGGCCTGTCCACCTCAACCTTCATGAGTGGCATTTTCGAAAGCAGCCCATGATGTCAAACACCAGGACACAAAAATCTCACTGACATAGTACTTGAGTTTTGCAATGTCCTATTGTGTATAACAAGCATCAGTGCAGCTAGTAGATTCAAATGATATGCACCCACATTGAAAGCTTCATCAGTAGCATTTTCTGCAGAAAGATTGTAGGCTGGGAAGCCCAGCATTTTTGCTTCATTATGAGTTTTCTCACCAAGAATATTCAGAGGTGTCACTGAGGATAATTCCATTGTTGTTGAATAGAAGGGGGATCCAGAACATGAATGTTTTGCCTGAGCCAGTTGGAGAAATAGTAAAGACATTCTTCTTCTCAAGCTGATGCAAAGCCAACTGAAGTTGCCAAGTATGTCGCAAATTTCCAAAAGTGATTGTAATGAGGTATTCTTGAAATGAATTTGCAAGGAATTTTGCTATTTTTCAATATATTGCAATAATGTGGCAACCAAATTGCAACATGCTGTACCATTGCAAGGCCCATTGCAATCTGTTGCAATGCCATTTTAACTACATTTCTATGGCAATTTTAAGTACAACTCTATTATTTAAACCCATTTCAAAGGCCATTTTGCCTTGAAATGCCTTATAAGGCATTGAAATCTAAATTAGGAATTTCTGACAATTACAAGGGGTGATACTGAATGCACTGTGAACAATTGTCTTCATATCAGTCAAATTTGGTACTTTGGATTGACGGGCCAACATTATAATGCTTAAGGGTTAACTCAAAAGAATCAAAATAAATATGTGTTGTGTCACAGACGGTCACACTGTTAAATAAAACACTAGGTGACTATTTCAAAGGTATTTTTTGGAGGGACAAATAGATACAACCTTTGCGCCACTACAACTTGTGCCAGTCGGCCAAGTGTGTTAGAGTCCAAAGTTGCACTGTTTGAATTATTGTTGGTCGTATTTGGTTTGTGTGGCGGCACTCAGATGTACTCTCAACACACTGCCAATTAGTGTTGCTGCGGCTCCGGCTTATTGCTGGTTTTAGCCGCGGCTAGAGCCATGAATAGTCGAACCGACACCTGGCTTTAGCTTACATAATTTACGGTCTGGCTCGGCCCAAATAGCATGGCTAAGTCAATTTAAGGGCTTACAGCTGGCTCAAATATATATTTTTAAACTATGTTACAAAAATAAATTAGAAATTAGACTTACAGCCGAAAAGGAAAGCAACTGCATGCTGTACTATCTACAATCAACGCATAACGACTCAAGCACTTATGGGTCCCCAGGATAATGTATGTGGTCCCGTTGACGTCCGATCAAATACTAAAGTAAATGTTAGTTGTATGGCAGCGCTGCTCGCGCACGACAGCTACGAGAGCAGAGGAGCACGCGGATGGCTGAGGCACCCCGCAGAGCCGAAAGAGAAGCCATAACTCGAAGAAGGGAGAGAGGAGGAGGAGGAGGAGGAGGAGGAGGAGGATCGCCGTGGAGATCAAAGTGGCGATGTTGGTTGTTGAGGATGGTGGGTCGCGATGGAGGGCAGGATTAGAACCGGGCTGTTGTAGGAAGAGCTGCGTGTGTTAGAGAAGGTTCGGAAGAGAGAACGAAACGTTACTGTAGCTCAATGTACTAAGTCATTTGCACGAGAGAAATTTGATTGAGTCCGGTGATAGGTGCCACGCGCGCTCGAACATTCAAAAGTGTTATTTTTCCCGGACGTACGTTGGTACAAGCCCAGGACGTTGGAACCTTTGAAAGACTCATTGCTAGTCCCGCATGTAGAACCTACTCCAGCAATACCATTCGTGCATAACACCGTCGCTTAATCAAACCTTCATACTGATTCAATTTTTAGCATGCCCCCAAATTGATGGGTCAACAGCTCCTAGGAGCGCAATGCTGTTTGGTGGTAGCCGATCCATAATGCTGTCCCCGTCGACGTCACCGTAGAAGTAATCATCCCACCCCGTGGCCTTGGTACGGGCACTAAGAACTGCAAACTCAACAAACCCTCCTGCTCAAGGCAAAGAGAGGTCTTTGTTGAGTTCTGCAAAGCTTGCAGCATGCGTGATATATGTGCAAATCGATAGCTAATACCGAGCATCTCAGTGATTGCTAGGTGCATGCAGCACAACGAATAACAGTACCTGAAGCTGACACTACGTGAACATTCGAATGTTTCTAGGACTTCTCTGTCGTTCGGATAGTCCATCTGCAGTAGATTGGAACCTGAACCCTGTACAAAGTTAGAAACTCACCTCGGTACTGCCGAATGCTCCCGTTCCCTGTATTCGAAAGAGGGGTTTAGTGGGAATGCCTCTGTGCGCGCTCTGGACATCTGCTACAGGATTGGCAATCAATGTTATTTTTTCACAAGATGGATCAAGTTCTGAAAGGGCATCGTGGAGCCAGAATGATGACTAGTCACCGTGTGAGCTGCATCATAAACTCGATGTCTGTTAAACAGACCTTGAAAATGATCTTGAGGGCACTAAAGAAGGTATAAGGCAGAATGAAGGAGTATTTGAGGAGGCACTCAATGTCTGCTCAGCATCGAATGGGAGCTCTAAGTTCGGCTCAGAATCGAAAGTCGATATCTCACATGTCGTTGTGGGCCCTGATGAGTCTTCCGCACTGCAACATATCTGTACAATCGATCATGACAAGAGGTCTGAAGCTTACAGAACAAGCGTCAAGGGGTGTCCGGGTCCTGCATATGTGAGATGCATGCTCGTCCGCTTCTCGTTACCGCCGAAGTGCTGATCGATACGAATGGCATTAGGACGCCATGCATCATCACCCCTCTTGTCCGTACCCAAACATGTTGAGTTGCAGGTACGTTGGCCATGCAGCCATGATTTCGAGCTCCCAAGTGCCATCGCTGACTAGGTTCATCGCATTGGAGATACCCTGGTCATAACTCCAGTTGTTGAAAGGACCTTGAGCGAGGAACTGGGGAACACGACGCTGCTGCTTGTAGTTCAGATCTGCATGCACGACGACGCTGGAGGTGGTCGCGACACCACTCCAATCTACCGCAATGTCAACACTAGAAAAAAGAAGCAGCAACTACGAGCACTCACATTGAGATGTTGTCCCGTCCAGAAAGTATCAAAATTGCTGAGGACATCAGCGGGTATGGTCATAACATTCTCCTAATTCATCCAGTTAGACCAACTCAGTGTGAAGTTGCCCGAGTACCTGAACATATCCGTTCCATAGGCACGGTGCGTGAATGTATACGGATCCCATGGATCATTGGTACACATGAAACAAGGAATCGTTCGACCGCCATGCAGTCAAGTGTGTTGACCATGCTTGTATCGCTGCGACAGCCAACCTGGACCCAAAATACAAGCAGAAGTGCGAAGCATTTAGAAGGGAAGTCAAGGACTTGATCACACGGCATGAGGATACAGTGGTGGACTGGAATGGAGGAGATGGGTGGCTTGCCAGGTTCATCGGAAAGTTGAAAGACCTCTTAACAGGACGTCCAAGCAAGTCAGACATTCTTGGAGTCCTCACAAAGCGCTGCGGGATGGATGATAACCTAGCAAAAGATGTGATTCAAAAACTCAACAGATGACGGGAATTTTACCACGTTTACTCGTTACAATAGCTGGACACAGGGGCTGTTTCATGATGACCATGTAATACGACTGATAGGTGGGACTAAAATATTCAGTTCTGCTATCTTCCTATGATGTGAGACATGGAAATTCAACATGGAGCTCACTCACCTACAGCTTCACTGGAAGAAGGAACAAGCTGTGCAGCTCATTATCTAGAACTTAGAATAGTTACGAAGCAAAACGCAGATGCTTACAGCACAATATTAGAAACCTAGGGGAAAAATAGTCAACCATTGAAATCGATATAACGAGAGACAAAGCGCAGCAAGTACTAGGTAGTAGTGGTACATGAGATTATGAAAATGCAAAAAATTGTCAGTGATAGAGAACAGCAATATTGGGAACATTGTCACATTCATCTGCTGCCATGGCTTTAAGAAGAGCGTCGTATTCGCGACTGCTGCCGGTACTGCCAGCAGATGACAAAAGTTCCTCCTGGCACTTGTCATCCGACTCGAGTGTACACTGTATTTGAGTGTCATATTCCATTCCCTGCTCCGATGCTGCCCATCCTTTGGTAAAGTCGAGTCGCTCTTTCTTCAGCAAAAACTTCAGCATCTGCAGCGCCTCCATCATAGCAGGGCTGAGGCGATTGCGCTTCTTTGTACACGTCTCGCTGCTTGACGAGAAAATGTGTTCGCAGGGAACAGCGGAAGCCTGGATAGGCAGATAATCCATTGCGAGGCTGTAGATAGTTGGAAACAAGGACTTCGAGCTCTGGTCGATGTACCATCAATAATGAATATAAGTAGGTGACTCAATAGAAAAAACTCACATTCCAAAATGCGAGCACGTCAGTTCCTTGAGGGCTGACATGGGACATACTGTATGCATTAAATTCCTCGTCAACTGTTTGGACACCGGGGTCGTGGCATGGCAAGTCAATATCAGGAATACCGTAAATTTGTGCGCCTAAGGTTGCAGTGCGCGATTGGTGAGCCGGCGTTTCTATGGGTGGACGTTGAGTAGCATTGGCTCTCTTGTCCCGTAGCTGTAGGACACGTTAGCTTAAAGGTGCCTTGTTTGAGACAAGGCAGACGTACCAGACGCATAATAGACTCCCTGGCACTACGAGCTCATTCTTCAGCCCAGTGACCATCGATCCACGACAAACATAATGTAGGGTCAACAACTATGAAAAATCATGAGTTCGAACGACCTGTACCAAGACCAAACTCACACATCACGATTACATACGTGTTTGTCTCGCTCATCTTGTGGCCATATTTATCTGCCCAGGCTAAGCCTACATCAATCATGGGTGCACAGTGCTTGGCAATCCGGGCCACCCCTTCCCACCGCTCTATCATACCTTCCAAGGCAGAGACTGCCTTACTCAGCATAGGGGTACTCTCACTAGACATTGATTGCTGACAAGCATGGGGCACCTGAGACGAATTAAAATGCATCACGGGCTCTAATGATATTGACACTGACCTCTAAAATCACCTCAAGATCTTGCAAGACCATCCATTCCATTGGACTCAACCCGTGTTCGGTTAAGTTTGTGTGTGTCGCAAGGTAGCAATCAATAGCCTGCGCCACTGTGAGTTTACAATGAATGTTATATGAGACGAAGTCTTACCGGGTGAAGTGTTCGAAGACGATTGAGCATTACATATGTCGAATCCCATCAAGTAGGCTCATCGCATAAGAGTTCGACGACTGGAAGCTTTCCTCCTGGAAAAAAATTTCCTTCGTTGCCAATCAAGATAGCGTTCTGAAAGGCTTCTCATCATTGGCCCGATGCCCGGATCACATGGACCAGATTTTTGCCCCGTTTGACAGGTTGAAGTTTCAGAGCCTCTGAATATGACCCCTTTTTGATGACGGTACCGCAAGCTAGCCACTCAGCGGGCGCTGTTGCAACATCCACAGAATAGTAGGTGGAGATGATATGCTGAACGCATATATTGATTATGTGCGGGAAACACGGGATCTTGCGATCAACAGGATCAAACTCGATACCTTGTGCCAACAGCAGACGAGAAAGCTCGGCCATGGCAGTCTGATTGTTTGCTGCATTATCTAGAGTGAAATGTCCAACCTAGACCGAGTCAGAATATGCTACACACTGCAGTCAATCACTAACTTTGTCTGTCACTCCTGCACGGTCCAGGAGCCCCAATATAATTGTGGCGAGTGACACCCCATCATGAGAACCGGGAATGTGGGTGAAAGCTATAAGGGCGGCCTTGAGAATAAGCTTTGATGCTTGCTGGGTGATCCAGTGAGCCGTCAATGCCATGAATGGACGGTGATTCTCGTCTGACCAGAGGTCAGAGGTAAACGAGATCTTTCCCTCTGCTTTCTAAGAGAACATGAGATAATTTGTAAGATCAGATAGTTATACACTTACGGCCAATTCTTGCTTTAAAACGTCAAAATATTTGTACCATGTTTCGACTATCAACTCGTGGAGTTTTGTCCGATGAGGAATGTCAGACTCGCGTAGATCCTTTCGCAGAAGTCGAAGTAACTGTCAGAACTCAGGGCATTCCATTAAATTCATCGCCTAAAGATGTCATTCAATAACAGCATCATTGAGAGCAAATACGTACTCACTTGGTCATCGACCACAATGAATTTGACAAGTTGTCTATGCATCTTGTCAATAGTGAAATCCGGTATCTCATCTGCGAGCACTGACACCCCTAGCCTGGGTCCTGAACCAAGGACCCCCCCGCCAGGGGGGAACCAAATGACTCAAGAGACTTATCTGGGTTTTGGTCAAGCTCCTGACGGATCTGGGTGAGAGTCCACCCCATATCGAGAAGGTTCTGGATGGCTTTGGCCCCAACTTTCAGGTTGAATTGCTCCAGTGCAGTGACATAGACACGCAAGTGGAATTTGAGCAAATGACCGCGAAGAATGCTGGTACCGGTTGACGAACCGTATTTGGCAACATCATACGAGGTGTCTTCTTTCTGTATGTCCCTGGCGAATAGCATGAAAAAGAGAAAAACAAAAAAGACTCAGAGATGATACTCACGCGCAAGGTTCACATATGCGCTGGCCTGATGTTGCATCCTTAGTGAAAAAATGATGCACTTCCGATCCTGTCTGTTTTGTTCGACGCCCCGTGGCCAAGGGATCAGATCGGGCTGTATCTGCACCTGTGTGCATCTGAAGTGGGCCGAGGCCTGTGCGGGCTGCTTCTACTGGGGTTAGTAGGTCGTCCTCATCTTCCTCGTAGATATTGTCAATGTCGAACTCGCCGTCGTCCGCTGCACGGCTTGGACCAGCCCTGGGAGCTTTATTGCCTCGAAGCTTTGTGGTGGGCCATTGAGCTCTGTGGGGATTCTGGAGAGTTGCGGTCACTGCAATACAAGAAGCTGCAGCAAGGGAGGTTGCAGCAGGGGGAACTGCAGCAAGGGAGGCTGCAGCGGGGGGAACTGCAGCGGCAGGGGGTAAAGCCTGGTGTGTGCTGACAGGGGGGACTACAACAGCAGGAGGTGAAGTCTCGGATGTGTCGACAGGGGGAGCTACAGCAGTAGGGTATGGAGTCTGAGTTTTTTTTGGAGGACGTCGTCGAGGTGGCATGATCGCAAGTGTTGGGGATTTAATGAGTTAATGACTGTTCTATATAAACGGATGCCCTGTGAGTCCCAGGAAACACACACATGCAGTGATCTTGACTCACCTGACGTTAAATCATAATGCCGCGTACATGTAACTAGGTTCTCGCAAATTCGAGGGTGTGTCAGCTGCCACTGATTAGCAAAGGAAGATGCGGTTAGAACGTCACAGAATCCAGGGATCATCTAACCCCAAAATGCTGCAGAGCCTCAGTAACAGTAAGATCTAGAATTCAGGAGTTACCTTCATCGCCTGATAAGCGTGTAGTAATGCCCTCGTGCAGTGCCCTGGCCCCTGGACATGCGGTACAAAGCTGGTTGGCATCATGCGATCATGAGTCAGACGCTTAGGTCTGCCTCCTCCCTAGTTCACTATCAGCGATAAAATTGGCAGAATAAATGAAACAGAATTACAAACCCATTCTGTAATCGCTAAGTGACTGACTGGATTGAATCCTGATCACAAACGAAATTTCAACAGTGTGTTGGTAGAAGGTCCCCCGCATTTTCCGATTTGCACATTAAATCTGTAGGGGACAGTGGGACAGCATGATGGCAGAACGCAAGGTAGCATACGTGTTTGTATCGATAAGAAGTTGTCGCTTAGTAAATTAGTAATGTGTCACGTCACTCGTGTGACGATAAACGTACACAAACATGTCTCAGCGTCTACATAAAACATGTGTTGGGGTAGCAAAAAGAAAGAGAAATAGAATGATATAGTACATAACTAAACATTTTTACAACGTGATGTCTTAGAAGTAGTTACAGGCACAGGGTAACCATTATGTGGGCGTAAACTTGAAGGTTTGAGTTAGTGAGTCACAGTGGGAAGAGTGAACACAAAATACTCACACACGACGAGCCGATCGGCAAAGAGGCGTTGTGTTCAGTCGACCTTGCGTGCCAGTATCAAGGAGCTAGAGAGCTTCTCATGGTCGCTAGTCAACCATGGAAGGGAGCCACAAATGAAATAAATCAACATATATACGAGCGACTCGAGATCATCCCGACGACCAGGCACGACTCCCAGGTGGTTATTGATTGACGCAAACGCAGGAGTGCCAGTAAGACGTCAACCTTGACAAAATGGCATATGGGCTTGTGTTGTAGAGCTCCAGTACTCCTTCGCGATACCAAAATCGACAATAAAGACGGTGTTCTCTAAAGCGCCACGACCGACTAAGATATTTTGAGGCTTGATATCGCCATGCACGTAGTTGTGAGTGTATATGCTCCAGAGATGAGAGCTAGGAAATAAGTTAGCATCTGCCGCTAGGACCCACCATAAACCAACTTACCAGTTGGTCTCTGATATTCAGGATGGTACAAAGGTTGAATTTTTGATTGTGCACAAGGAAAATATCATGCAGTGATGACCCAAGGAGGTCAAGAACCAGTGCATCATATGCGGCTTCTCTACCGAACCAGACAGCATGCGTGATCCCAGCTCCACCTTCAAGTTGCTTCAAAGTATTATATTCATGTTCTAAAGAGGATGAGTTGTCGATAAGAGGCTCAAGTTTGACGGCAAATTCATCGTCATTGATAATGTTCTGTGCATGGTATACAACACCTAGTATACATTAAATTCAAATGCAACATATAGATTATACATGTAAATAACATACCATACGAGCCAGATCCTAACATGTCTCCCAGCCTGAATCTGCCATTGACTCAAATTGGGACGTTTTTCATGGTACACTAATATATTCGAAGATTGGGTAGACGGGAAACAACTGAAGAGGGCTGCATGCAAGCTGGCATCCAGTTGGTTGGAGCCAGCTTCAGCCAGCTCAAGCCGGCTCGAACTGCCTTTCACACATAATGGGCTTAGAGCTGGTTCATGCAGCTAACCGGGGTGAACCAAACTGAAAAATTAACTGAGCCAACCTACTGCCAACCGAACTGATGCATAACCGGTAAAAGCCGGAGCTGAGTCAGCCATAACCAAGCTACCCCAATACTACTGCCAATGGTTTGGAGTCTGGTTTTTGAAGTGAAGTCACGAAGTTACCTCGAAGTCGCTTCACTTCGGCGGCAACACTACATAAAGTTGCATACTTTTCGGCTCTTTTCTTGTCACTGTATGGTCAACTCCGACATCCTCAACCAATCTATTAACTTCTATGGTATATTTAGAGTTCTCGACACCCTCAAAACGCCCTTGCAATTGAGTCTTTGACATGTCGTTAACATGTCAAAAACTGATGATGTCAAAAATTCCTGAGTTTTTCACGGAACACTAAAGCGAATGCTTCGTTGATCTAGGTGAGAGCCGTTAACTCAGAAAGAACATAGAAGGCATTGCTTGACATCATAGATGTCAATATCATCCTTAGTGAGACCAACTTGCGTGAGGACCCTTAGGGATAATGGCGATGGGGCCAATGCCCATGTAGCGGGGCTCGACACCCTCACCAGTAACAATTCAACAGATCCTCAAACATACAGAACAAATAACAGATCGACGACTGCGCTTCCGACCCATTTGCCGAGAATTTCCATGTTTTCCTTCTCCGCACCCATCTGACCCTCAAGCCAATCATTTTTACAGTCTTATCTCGCTGTTAAGATTAGCTACGGACTTCCTTTATCCGCTGCCTGTATGTCTTATCTACTCTTAGTGTGTTCTTTTAGGTCTGAACTTCATCATTCTCTTGTCTAATTAATCTCATCCCCAACGCTATCCATATGCCGCATTGGACTGCTTTAGTCGCAGAGAAGAAACAGAGGCAGCTCAAATCTATTCCACAGGAATGGCTTGTGACTCCGCCTCCACCTTCTACCTTGGATGTGACTGGTTTTCCAGAGTCCTGTGGTCTTTTGAATGCTCAAGAAATTGAGATTACCAATACTTCGGTGGATGTCTTATTGAGGAAACTTGCAAGTGCAGAATGGACAGCTGTAGACGTGACCACCGCGTTCTCCAAGAGGGCCATTGTTGCTCATCAGCTTGTAAGCCATTGCCAGGCATTTGCTCGATGATGTGGTATTAACTGGCCGGCAAGGTTAATTGCTTGACGGAAATCTTTATTGATCGCGCATTGGCCCGAGCGGCTGAACTTGATGATTACCTGAAGAAGACCGGGAAGGTTGTTGGTCCCCTGCACGGACTGCCCATCTCTCTAAAGGACCAACTATGTATCAAAGGACTAGAAACCACTATGGGTAAGTCACAATCCCGGTCTAGACCTAACGCATTGTGATTCGCTGGGTTTTAGGTTATGTCTCGTGGATTGGACAGTATGCAGAGAAAAACGCAGTGTTGGTCGATGTTCTGATCGAGTGCGGAGCCGTGCCATTTGTCCGCACTAACATTCCACAGGCACTCATGGTGAGCGCACCCTGAAAATGAATCCTGCTCGTGTGCTCAAAGTAATTTCAGTGGCCAGAATCCTTCAACAGTGTTTTCGGCCGGACAACTAACCCACACAACGTCTCCCTGACTCCAGGTGGGTCATCAGGAGGAGAGGGTGCATTGATTGCCCTAAAAGGAAGCCCATTGGGTGTCGGTTCTGATATCGGAGGGTATGACAAGAATTTGGAAGTATCACTGGTAGTAACCCCCCGACAGCTCCGTTCGTATTCCCTCTGCATTCTGCGGCATATACGGCCTGAGGCCGTCATACGGGCGTGTACCGTACTGTGGTGCCCGCAACTCACTTGAGGGCCAAGACTCGATTCTCTCCGTGTTTGGTCCTATGACAAACAGTCTATCCGGACTCAAAGTCTTCATGAAAGCTGTCGTTGACTCTAAACCATGGCTCAAGGACCCTCTTGCGGTTCGGAAGAATTGGGCTGAAGACGAGTACCAACTCGCGGACCATGGGTCTGGCAAGGATCTGTGCTTTGCGATCATGTGGGATGACGGGGTTGTTGTGCCCCACCCACCTATCAGGAGGTCTCTGGAAATCACCAAAGCGGCTCTCCAGAAGGCTGGGCACAAAGGTTTTTCTCGTCTAATTCCCCTGCCGAGTTGTACTCATTGAGTGGCAGTTGTTGACTGGAAACCCATCAAACACAAATTGCTTGGAGACGTTGCGGTAAGCAGCTGTGTCTTTCACTTCGCCAATCTATTGACTAATTAACACCGTGCAGTGGGACATCTGGAACGCCGGTTCCGCCGAGGACTTTGCGATCACAACCTCTGTGACAGGGGAGCCGATAATTGCAACGATGGAACTTGAACACGCAGACACTACGGCGGCATCCTTCCGTCTTCAAAATAGTGGTATCACTGCATATCAGCTCTGGCAAGTGCAGAAGCTGCGTCAGAATATCCGGAAAGAATACATAGACCACTGGAACGCAACTGCCTCTGAGACCGGGACAGGACGGGCTGTCGATGCTATCATTTGTCCAGCCGCACCGTTTGCTGCAACTCCCCATGGGAAGAACAGGTGAGTATCTTAGTAATTTCAGGGTCTCGAACTTTCAATGAGACGATGCACAGGTACGCCAACTATACTACTGTTTGGAATGTACTCGACTATCCCGCTACGGTTTTCCCTGTGACTACTGTCGACCCCACTCTCGATCCTCGCGACCCTCCTCATAGATTCTATGACCAGTTCGATCAGGACGTTTACGAAATGTGTGAGTAGTGCCAGCATTGAATGACCCCTAGTTGATTACTGATGTCTGATGCCAACGATTGATTTAGATGACCCAGAGAAATTCAAGAACGCTCCTGTTTGTTTGCAACTTGTCGGTCGGACTCTGGAGGAAGAGGCAGTGATAAAAATGACAGAAATCGTGGATGCGGCGCTGGCAGCGGCCAAATAAGTTCGAGATATACCATTCGAGACTTGTTCGAGAAAGCAGTTATGAATATGTACAATACACATACACCTCGATCAAATACAAACAATTCGAAAACTATAACTTCGCTCCAAGAAGTGGTTGTGCCTCGTTCACGAAGATACCTGCCGCACCCATGCCACTGCCGACGCACATACTTGTGCACAACAACTTTTTGTCTCTCCGGCGGAGTTCTGTAAGGCCGGTGACAACTTGACGAAGGCCAGCTAATAGTTCGTAGATGAATTATCGAAGCTTCAAGACAACGATGAGACTCACTCATTCCCAAAGGGTGCGTCACGGCTATTGCCCCACCACTGCCAACTAAGTATCAGAACAGAAGTACTCCAGCTGGAATGACCTACTTCGGGTTGATTTTGTCCATGGAAATGCCAAGTTCTTCGACACAGTATGCAAATTGCGAAGCGAATGCTTCATTGATCTACGTGAGAGCCGTTAAGCCATAAACAGAAAGAACATAGAAGACAGTGCTTGACCTCATAGATGTCAATATCATCCTTAGTGAGACCAACTTGCGTGAGGACCTTAGGGATAGCGGCGATGGGGCCAATGCCCATGTAGCGGGGCTCGACACCTTCACCAGTGACAGTTCAACAAACCCTCAGACACACACAACAAATAACAGACCGACGACTGCGCTTCCGACCCATTTCCCAAGAATTTCCATGTTTTCCTTCTCCGCGCGCTCTCTTGTCGTGAGAATGCATAACGCGGCACCATCGCCAATGCCACTAGCGTTTCCAGCAGTGGTAGCTGCATCGCCCCAATCTTGGAACACAGGCTTTAGCCCAGATAGCATCTCCGTCGTCACGCCAGGCCGGATTGTGTCGTCAACGGATATCACAGTCCCTCGGATCTCGACCGGAATGATTTCCTCAGAGAAGATACCGGTGGTCATCGCCTGTTCTCATGAATAAGATGCAACATGGAGAAATATGGACGTACAGACCTTGTTTGCGCGAGTATGGGATATGAGGGCATATTCATCTTGCTTCTGTCGCGAGACTTTGTAGGTTTGAGCAACCATTTCAGACGTCCAACCCATAGGCTACAGATAAATCAGTATTTGATCTATATAGCTCGCCCAGACACACTTGAATGCAGTCGTGAGCACGGGGAATTTTGTCCACGGATTCAGCAATAATAGGCGTAGGACGAGGGCTGCGCGAAGATTAACATTAGTGTACCACAGACTATTGGAGACTCGCTTCAGTGTCATATTCTCCACTCCAATTGCCATTCCCATAGATATCTCCCCTGACTGAATAGCATGGGCAATGTTTCGGATGGCCATAAGGCCGGATGCACATAGCCTGTTCACTGTCGAGATAGGAACATCATGAGGAATGCCGGATGCGAGAGCAGCGGCCCGCGAGGAGTACATTGGAGAAGGAGGATGACATGTGCCTGCAGAGAGTTCAACAGAGATACATAGCAGGGTATGGCTTCCACTTACCAACACAAATATCGTCAAGTTTCGCGGGGTCCAGCTTTGTCTTCTCAAAGGTCGCCTGAGATTCAAAAGGTTTTATGAGTTACTGTAGGTAGTCCACAAACAGCCAGTCAACCTTGAGCAGAGCTTGCATCATTTCATCCACTGGGATATCCTTGAATTGACCCTTTCTGTTCCTCCCCATCGCGGTACGCTTTGCAAAAGTAATGACCACGTCATCTGGGTTCTTCTGCAACACCGCAGAGATGCCTTTGCCGCTATGTGTAGAGACATTACGCATCGTAGACAGGATCCTAGCACGTAGGACCGCAGCGCTAGCCAACATGAAGAAAACTGGGATCCTCAAAAGGCATCGAGTGTGAGATTCAAGTACTTATGGATCATATGGATGATTACGAGCGCCGGGCCGATAATATTAATCGGATCAGGAAGTTCGCGTTAACCTAATATATACGACAAAGACCGAGTACTCAGGAGTGCATATGTCGAAGACTGTGATCCCGCATGTGCAGTAAGTAGATAGCTACGCTCCAGGAAATTTCCGCAATTGGCTCTCTAGACTTATTGTCGCAACCGCGCTGTTCTCGAGTTCATCTAAATCATCACCCTCTAGTAACCCTCCTGACAGCCATTGGAAACTCGGCAATTTGGGAGTGTGTGGGACGTCCGCTTCTTCAGCTTCATCAGAGCTGGAGTCAGACTCGGAATCCTAGAAGTACTAATATAAACGAAGACTCAGAACACTAGGGGCGTTTACACCCACTGCCACGAGAGCATCATCACCGGTATCATCCGCAAATTTTGGATATGGAACCCAAGCTTGATTACAGACGATCAGCTAGGACAGCGGCGATGAAAAAGCACAGCTCACCCTCGACATGTAGATAAAAGAAACGATCCTCTCCTGGAATGCAAGGGATGATGGCGGCTGATCCATTGCTCTCAACCTCTGCACAAGGGTCATTCGCATGCAGCGTGTTGAATAACCTGAAACTGGACGGACTGAAGATACTACCGAGAATCCAGGTGCCAACGAAGCGAAGCCACATTACTGTGCGGTTAGGTAGCTCATGATATGCCATGCGATCCACGATGACGAACTGGCGCTGGTCAGGCCAAACCGCGACGAGAGAGATATCGGAGCTGGACATAGTATGTCGCAGGTTTACAGGAGAGAAAATAAAAAAGGAGACTGGATCCTGGATTGCGAACAGGACCAACGGTTGTCTCACATCTACTCCGTTTTTCTCGACGTCATGGAAGCACCATGACGACAGTTTTCGCATTGTCACGGGTGTTGTGTACGCGTATAGAGATAGGCTATATATCCAAGTCCTCATCCGGATCATCGTCATCGATATCATCGGCAGAATCAGGGTCATACAGAATCGCCCCAGTTGTTGTAACAGGGTTGCCTAAAGTCGAGATTAAAATGACGTAAAGCATAGAGAAATGAAGGAAGCGCCACCTTCGTGTGCATACGGTAGGGGGACTTGGGCCCGCGATCTCTCCTGTGATGGCGTGAGATTTAGATTAAACGATACGTTCTGTGTTGGATCAGGTCGTGCCTATAGTGTGGTCAGGTATAAGATGTCATGTCAAGATGGCGTTCGCGCTCACCTCCTCCGTTTTTCTCCTGGTCCAAATGCTTTTAAGGCTGTCGAGAGCTTGCAGGTCGCACGGTACATCTCCTCTCCAGCCCTCGACAATCCTCTCTACACCGCGCTTACCTCCACCCCTTATAAGGACCTCCACGACAAATTCCCTTGTGCCCTTGCTTACCCATGCACCGGCACTCGTCCCATTGCCTTCGGGGCCGTAGACCAGGCGCTCACTTTCATGTATACGCTCAGAGAAGGGGATGAAGATACTCCAGAATTTATCTGCCGGACCAGCTGGTGGAGGATGTGTAAGATATGCAGAGGCGATGTGTGTAATGATGGCCGGGGGATGCGCAGTCAGATGAATAAGTGTTGGTGATAGGGAAGTTTGAGTCAATAGTTCGAGAAGAGGACTGGGCTGGACGTGTAATGCGAGGATCGAAGGTTCTTGAGGAACATAAGTAGGCACATATATATCAGTCGTGCTGTAAACACACCAGAACGCGTTGTAATGAGCCCGAGGAGTGTCCGAATAAACTTGTAAGTTTTTGGTGTGGATCCGAGGTCAGATGTTAATGTATCCACAGAGTCAATGATCACATTCAGTGATCCCGGAGGTGCTACAAGGTTTTACTAGTCTGATTATCATGCTCATCAAATGCGCTGATGCTCACCAGAATTGATGCGAGCTAGTATCTCGTCCTGAGGACCACACCACGAATCGTCGTAGCCGGGAATTCGCTCAGTGAAGTCGAACGCAATGATATTTGGAGCCTCATCGACATTTATCAAGCTTGATGGTGGATGCAAGAAGCAAAACAGCAGAGTCTGGGTAGTCGGTCTGAAATTTGAGATCAGATTCCTCAAGATGGGATAACATGTCTGTGCGGAAGACGACTGAAGGATAATCAGTGGTTGATGTGGTTTTAATCCTGTTGGGTTGTTGATGATGGAAGATAATAAAGACATCTTCTCTTTGTGGTGAGTCCAAGTTGCTTCAACATGATATGGCTCAAGTCGCTGGAACCACTGAAGTCCTTGATATAGCCGTTCCTTATAACTACTACGACATTGTAAATAATTAACTTTACGAAACAACACCTTGTTTTTCCCACTGTGCCCTCCGGAGAACGAGCAGGTCAAGTTTCCACCCATAAACACCAAACTTGCCAATGGGCTTCTCCAAAGCAAACCCGGCGTCGTGGATGCACTTTTGAGCATACAGTATCAGGGAAGTAGTGGTCACCTTGATCTCCTTGACTGCATTGTCCGCTTTGAATGCATGCTGTATAGCATGTGCGAGCAAGTCCTTTTGGATTCCTGCTTGCCTATATGGCTCCTCGATATAAAAATGACGGATTGTGGCGACGGTTGATGTTCCCTGAGGCATTGTATGCTTCGACTTCAGGGATGAAGATGGCTTTCCCTTGTCCATAAGCGTGCTTTGTGACTGAGAGTCCTTGGACGCGTCGATAGCTATGAGACCGACGAACTTTCCGGCATATTCGAGAATGAAAAAGCCTGATGAGGGAGATCGCCGATAATAGTTTGCGATGTCCGCGACATCTGGTCTTCGCAACAAGTCAAGAGACGCATCTTCGAAGTGTGGGCGGTTGAACCTATCGAGTTAAATTATTGAGCGGTCCGTAATGTGTGCGTATCAACATACCAATCCATGAGGTAGAGTATAACGGCGCCCCAACATCCGAAAGCTGGAAAAGGTTGCAAATAACCAAGGAACCCGTACTCCGGTCTGGGCCACCAGTTGAGATACTGGATCATGATGCATGACAGGGCCACCCAGGCACTAAGCGTGAATGGGTGGAAAAAGGCTACAGGATTATTTGGTCAACTCATCGCGAAAAAGTGGAAGACGACAGTCACAACACATACCACTTCGATTCGCGACTGCGAGACCCTCCATTGAGGCCTTTCCGATACTGAACTTGACCCGTTTGTCGTCGGAAGCTTCATACAACCGGATGCGCGCATCAGCTTCTGTCATGATTGTACCGTGCAAATGGATGGGAGTGAGAATGAAACAGCTTGTAGTTTCACTGCCATGATTTGTAGCAACTTTTCATCGCACGTTTGTCTAGGCAGGCACAACAATAATGCGATCCACAGCAGTGCTGCCTCAGGATTCGGAAGTTTTAAGTGCAGGCCCATGCATGTGCGATGGATAGTGCTCAAAGCAAACAAGTTCCACTGAGGATGATCATTGATGGTGACTATGCTTGAAGACACTGAAGGTTTGACTTGGAATTCCTCAAACTCGCTTGCTTCACACACTTTATCGAACGTGGGTTGAACTGTTCTCTCGACCTACCTGAAGCCACATTGAGCACTTCTCTACGGCCATGCTCATCGTCAAAACATTCCACGACGTGCCCAGCAAACTCGACAACGGGCGTCCAATCCGTATCTTTGTGGTCTCTCCTGTTGTTCCAAATTACCCACGAGCAAAGTTTCCCGGTAAGTCGCATGTCATTATCACTCTTATTCTCTTGAAGCTGATCCAGTGCTTGCGGACGAGAACAGGTGTGGTGTGCTTCAGGTGGGTCTGATTTCGGTGGGTTGAACTCACGCACAATTGTTCACATTCGTCAGTGAAATCTATCAAGTAACAGGGCCAGTGGAAAGGTTCGCTGGTCAGATCGCGAGCCAGGGATATGTGGTCGCTTGCCCATCAAGCTACCATGAATTTGAGGGACCAGAGGCCATTCCATACGATACCGAAGGCATGTCTTGTTTTCTTCATCTTTGCCACTTCCATTCGTTGCTTATCATTGTCAATATCAGGAACTGATAGGGGGAACAGGTACAAGGCAAGCAACTTCATATCGTCACGGTTTGCATTCTCATCTATTTTCGTGTCAGATCGAGAAAGACGTAACTGCGTACGACGAGGTCAGCTTCCTGGTTCTGTTGTTGTCGACAGACTTCCGATTAGGTGTGGTCTAGGATGCTACGCTCTCCGTCGATCTTCTGGTTTCTTTGCCAAACTGCAACGGTCGCATTGCAGGTATGTCAACGAGCCTTCCGTTTACATACTAGACATTGAAATGTCTCTCAGCGACAGGAATGTGCTTAGGAGGGCATTTGGTGCGTCTGTCAGCCTTGCCTGCTGTGCCACATCTTTGAATATGTAGATCACAGGCATTTCGGGTAAGCGATAGGGCGACGATGCTACTAGCAGTTTTCGTTAACCCTTGTAAAGGCTGCTTTTGATCCCCGTGTACTATCCTCAGTCTGCTTCTTTGCGACTGATCTTCACAGTGCAACCCTTGGCAAAGGCAAAAATGACAACTCTCTTGCGCGTGTTCACAAGGGGGATATGACAGGCAAAGGTGAACTCGTGGTATGTTTGTTTGCGATCGAGAAGGGCAGTGACACCATGCTGAAACTTTTCATAGATGATATTCGGGAAACAGGTACGTGAAGCCATTTGGGAGAAGAGGCGCGTGTTTGAACTTAGTACCGCTAGGACACGCATGTCCCTCGCGAAGGTCGTGATCTCATCCGCAAGACTATTGAGGATGCTAAGGTGCCCTGCTCTGTAAGTTACACGATTTCACGTGCATTTTTAGAACGTTCACCACAAATGCAGTTTCTGGAAGTGCAGGCGCAACACGCGTTCATCAGAGATGAATCTTCTAAAGGTCGATGGGATGCTGCCCTCACGCGGTCCTTATTTACATTCATGATGGAGGTGTTTGACAGAACCATCGGGAGAGATCTTGGGCCCAAAGTCGACAAAGGAGAGCAAGTCGAGCACGTATGCTAGATCCGCGATAAATATCGTAGGCAATGAGATATGAATTCAACAAAGAACCCGTCAGAGTCTGGGAATTTTTGATACACGTTGATTGCGATGGAAGAGGGGACCCATGATGGATAAAAATATTGATACAATTAAGTCCCTTCGCTCTTATTCGAGACAATATCTCCGCGACATTAGTAAACAGGCGAGCGAGGCCACTGATCATGACCTCGCTGCCAGCTTCGTTAACCGTGCATACAAATGATGATAGTAAACACATTGCAGGTATGAATACCGTATGGGCGGCACCAGAGAGACAGCAAACAGCAGAAGGCCGGAAAGAAAAAAATATGGAAACGGCAGTTCTACATCTATTACTTCTTCTTGGTGGCCTTCTCCGCAGACTTCGTCACTAAAGAGAACACCAATCAGTAAGCTTATTCGCAGAAGGATAGCTGGAAGACCCACCCTTTCCGCCAGACTTGTCGGTCTTGTCGACCGACTTGATGACACCAACAGCAACAGTCTGTCTCATGTCACGGACGGCAAAGCGACCCAGAGGTGGGTATTCGTTGTAGGACTCGACACACATAGGCTTAGAGGGAACAAGTTTGACAATGCAAGCATCACCAGACTTGACAAACTTGGGAGATGCCTCGAGGGACTTTCCACTCCGACGGTCGATCTTCTCAATCAACTCGGCGAACTTGCAAGCAATGTGGGCGGTGTGGCAGTCAAGCACTGGAGCATAGCCAGCACCGATCTGACCAGGGTGGTTGAGGACGATGACCTGAGCATTGAAGGAAGCAGCTTCCTTGGCGGGGTCGTTCTTGGAGTCAGAAGCAACATTGCCACGACGGATATCCTTGACCGAAACGTTTCTAAAGATATATATAAGCGTGAAAATCAGGGGAACAAATGACAAATGCGGACTTGACGTTGAAACCGACGTTGTCTCCGGGGAGACCCTCAACAAGCTGCTCGTGGTGCATTTCGACGGACTTGACTTCAGTGGTCACGTTCGAAGGAGCAAAGGTAACGATCATGCCAGCCTTGATAACACCGGTCTCCACACGACCGACGGGCACAGTACCAATACCACCGATCTTGTAGACATCCTGGAGGGGAAGACGAAGGGGCTTGTCAGAAGGACGGACAGGGGGTTCGATGGCATCGATAGCATCGAGGAGGGTCTTGCCCTTAACAACACCGCCCTTGGTCTCCTTGGTCCAGCCCTTGTACCATGGCATGCTGTGTAAGACATGAGAATGCGATAAACTGGCTAACAGAAATAAAACTGACTTGGGGGACTCCTCCAACATGTTGTCACCGTGCCAGCCAGAAATGGGAACGAATGCGACGGCCTTGGGGTTGTAGCCGACTTTCTTAATGAAAGTGGAAGTCTCCTTGATAATTTCGTTGAAACGGTCCTCGCTCCACTGATTTCAAGTGTAAGTGGATATATTGTTAGAAGTGTCGATGGATACCTTAGTCGTGTCCATCTTGTTGACGGCAACGATGAGCTGACGGACACCGAGGGTGAACGCCAAAAGGGCGTGCTCACGGGTCTGACCGTCCTTGGAAATACCAGCCTCGAACTCACCAGTACCACCGGCAATGATGAGGATGGCACAGTCAGCCTGGGAGGTACCAGTAATCATGTTCTTGATGAAATCACGGTGTCCTGGGGCATCAATGACCTGGAAAATCCATAAGTAGATATTACTTGGAAAGTTGTCAAAAAAAACCTACGGTAACCATGTACTTGGGGGTCTCGAACTTCCATAGAGCGATGTCGATCGTGATACCACGCTCACGCTCAGCCTTTAGCTTGTCAAGCACCCATGCTAAAGATCGTTATCAGTGACGTTAGTGAGATGTAGATTATCTAGTCGCTTACCATATTTGAAGGAACCCTTGCCGAGCTCAGCAGCTTCCTTTTCGAACTTTTCGATGGTACGTTTGTCGATACCACCGCACTTGTAGATCAAGTGACCGGTGGTGGTAGATTTACCAGAATCGACGTGGCCGATGACTGCGATGGATCAGATCAGTGGGCTAGATGTAGATGGTGAGATACATACCGACAACGTTAACGTGAATCTTGTCCTTTCCCATTTTGAAGGATTTCTGTCCGATGGAGCGATCGTTAGTGATTGATCCTTCAACAAGGTGGATTGGCAGTGATCATAGTAATCAGAGACCAGGCGATGTAAAATCGCAGAATACCATCGCGCGATGATGATAAGGACATCAGGGCATGCATCGCGCTAGTAACCAGGATCTTTTGAAAGATCGGAAAAGAAAAAAGACTCACTTAAGTGTACAGAAAGAGAGAAAAAAACAGAGGAATGGGATGTGGTGGTAGGAAAGAAAGAGAGAGCCTGTTGATTTCGCCGATAGTTATACCTTCCCAAAGGAAAATTTTTATCAATCTGGTGATTTGATATGCCGCCGTGACTCCGCTCGGCACCGGCCGCGTGGCGCCGGACTGGCCGAGTCACATCTTACACTGCCGCTGAGCGCTGACTCCTCCTGAAGCAGACTCGAACAGACTCGAATGTCCCGATCAATTTGATACAGATATGATTAATCTACAAGAAGAGGGTTACGATGTGCTACTAGTACAGCCTATCGATAGCATTGCGTACTAGCTAGTTGAAACAGATCAATAGTATTATGAGGCCTCATGGCAGATCGATGCTGATACGGTGAGATTTGATGGTTTGAGATAAAAAGAAAGGACATAAGAGGAGAGATGTCCAAGATAGGCCGAACAGATCCTCATTAGGATCAGTGGGAGTCTGACAGACAAAATACCTGCCTCGTTGCCTTCGATCAAGTGACACGTGCTGGAAACGCGCTCGGTTGTGGAGATAGGTGTTGATAATTACCGCAGGGCAGCTCCATCCCCCAACCCTTTCCCCCGTTCAAAAATCGACACTGCAAAATGTTCTCAAACGTAGGTCTCGCACTCACTTCCACTTGCAAGCAAGCCCTGACGAGGGCTGCAGCATCTCCTGCTGCTCCACCTCCATCCTCCTCTTCTCCATCTTTCTCCTTATCATCACCGCAACGCTCATCCAGTGCAATAGATGCGTTCGCAAACGGCGAGGCCAACCCCTCTTGGGCCTCAGCTGCCGTGACGAAAGGGCATTCTCCTACGAGAAGGACGTATGCCACAACACCGAACGCCCATACATCTTGCTCCTTCCCGTGATATCGCTCCCCACGTAAAATTTCAGGGCCCGCATAGTCCAACCTTGATTGGGTAAGCAACTGCATCGACAAGTAGAAGCCGTGAGCATGGAGAAAACTTACGTCCCACTGAATGTGTCCCATCCGTTCTTCTTCACAAGTCCCGAACTTCCGAAGTCTATTAAGACGCATTTGCCATTCGGTCCAAGGACAACGTTCTCATCCTTTACATCTCGATGAACTGATGATAAATCAGTATATCACCAAGAGATTCTGGAGACAAACTGCTAACCTATCCCATGAGAGTGCAAGAAACATAGGGCATCTGCAAGCTGTCCGAGATAGCTGCGAATATCAAACGGTGAAAGTCCCTGGGGGTAAGTCTCGACGAGATCAAATAGATCTGTTGGAGGAGGCTCATTGGACGTCTTTTCAGGCGTGGAAGACGGTAGGACAAGATAGTAATAATGGTTGTCTTCGAAGAAATCCACCAGAGGGCAGATATTTGGATGTCCCTTGATCTCTTTTCCTTCTTGCCACCTTTCATCGTCGGCCATGTGAATACAATCAGGCTGAAAACGTGTCGGGTCCCCGTCGGTTCTAGCGGGAGGCCGTCGTCGTGATGGATCCCATGGCCGTACTGCGGGTAAGGTGTACGACGTTGATGATATAACAGACATGACAAAAATTTCTATTGGTATCGTGCCAAACCGCGGATGTCGTTTCCAACAGTCAGCAAGGATGCGAGACTTGATTATTTGTTTCAAGACCAATGGTGGCTTATCCCATTGTCAGACCGCAAGGATCAAGCGAAAGTCTAGTAGATAAAACCTCACCCCAAGGGATCCATCTGTTTTGTATTCGCGTGCTCTTTTGACGAGGCCGTACGCGCCTCGGCCGATCTCACCTTCGATAAAAAAGTCTGATATGGCCTTGCCATCAGGTAATGAGGAGGCTTCACGAGCGGGGGTCGGAGGACAGGTACTTGCAACGGAAGACAACATACTTCCAGTGCTTCCTGACCGATGTAGAATCTTTGGCATTGTAGGAGGCGGTGAAGGCGGTTCTATCGGGGCTATCATAACGCGACCTGCGATGAGGGACACCCGCTGCTGTGAAGACCTCCTGCGAGCTCGTGACAAGGTAGGGGAACGGGAAAGTGGGGGATGATGTGCTTCAGATACATTTGGCTCAAGTGGGGTTGTCGAATGCAATGACAAGCGCGATAGCGAACGAGACGGAGAGTCAGATATCGGAGAGTCCGTTAGGTTGGGAGTAGATGCAGATGGGGATAACATTAATGGTTCACAGTTTGGGGAGGGTGTTTGAGTTTCTGAAAGCAAACGAACAGGGACTGGAGAAACCAGTAGAGGCGGTCGAGTGGGCATTGCGGACTTAGAGTCTTCGAGCTTTGGAAGATCCTGTGGCGGCTTTTTCTCCAATGGACATTGAGGTTGCGATATGACTTCGACTTCATTATCATCTTTCGCAGACCAATCAAAGCCGCGACCTATCGATGTGACTCCCCAGCTACTTCCGACACTTGTCGACCTGTATAGCAAAGGAGGAGCTGTGGATAGCCAATGATCATCTTCGTCGAAGGCAAAATCGATGGGAGTTGCGGCGAGCATGAAATTATGCACCGATGATCCCTTGCAAGACACAAGGCGGAAACAGGCTGAGCAAGGATGAGAAACAAAGTGAGCGCCGGAATCACTTGATCGAGCCCTTTAATATGGCATGGCGGACTAGTTGTCATCCGCCACTAAGATATTAGACCGGCATTGTTCTCACGCTTCTCCGGCCCAGTTACGATCCAAGCTACCCCACACACTTACGTCTATTATTGTACTAGTACATTTATTGACCAAAGTTCATAAACAGGTACTTGACGCGAATGCGAAGCTATTAGGACAGATCTCAATACAGCAACCAAACATGGAAATGACAATCTGCCAATGATCATACGTGGTGAGTCTGTGACTACTCGCGCACTCACACCATGACGCCCTTTGCCAGTGACTGCAGTAGCTGGGACCCGTTGCGGCTGTGAAACATCTTAATGCAAGCGGTGAATTTTAACTGATTTCCTGCATTGTGACGCACAGGATATGTCCTAGCACCGGATGCAACACTGCTGTGGTGTCAGGGCCGCTTTCAACTCTACCCTAGTTCAGAATGGGCATGTCCGATATTCGCTGACCTGCATAAGTCTATTCACAGCATGGGTAAACCGACTGACCTGCTTCGTTTTGTGATTTAAATAAACTTTCCAATCTTGTTCAAACCTTGCATTGCATAAGACGCCCGTCGGACTCGGTGTACCACCGACTGGTCTAAAATTTTGGGGTTTCATCTGCGGTGCAGCCGCGGTGCCGCTGATGGGAGGTGCGCGTTTATACGTGAGAAGAGCATAGCTATCTATACTAAAGACACAAGAGAAGATCCGACCTCTCACACACAGCGGCATCCGGTGCAAGCAACGTTCTTCATGTGACATGCTCGTGCGTACATCCACATAAAAATGACACCGTAGAGAAAGATCACATTCCTTCCATTTGCTCTGGCCGAGAGGGATCAGGAAATGTAGTCTCCCTAGGTAGCCGTGGCGGAAGTAAGATAATCGTTCCTTTTCTAAATTACACGGAGACGGTGTAATCTGAAATAGTTGATAGAAACTGAGAGAGAGAATGCAGGAAGAGGCAGCAGTGCCATGTGGCCCAGAGTGAGTACTCGTGTATGTAGTACAAGTTTAGCACAGCCACCGAATTGTTTGGTTCTATTTGGAGCTCCCACTTCGCTGAGCAGAAACTAGTGGACAAGGAAGCCGTCGTTCCCAAAATCCAAAACTCGTCGGTGAGTCTCTTTATGCTAGTGTTCAATAAGTCCACAGCACAGTCCGATGTCGATAATATTCGATTTTGGAGAGTTTGAGCCCAAAGAAGTTAATGGATGGATGGATTCATACTCGGATGTGTTGATGATGTGGTCACCCTGGAATCCGGCATCTCCGCTGAAAGTCGACCACTAACCATTCCTTTCAGACCGCCATGGCCATCAAGATCCCCATCGTCAAGAAGCGCACCAAGCATTTCAAGTGTGTACAAAGCAGCAGCACTTCATAAACCAGGACTCATTTTCTCCAACACAGGCGCCACCAGTCCGACCGTTACCACAGCGTCAAGGAAGCATGGCGGAAACCCAAGGGTATTGACAACAGAGTGAGACGTCGGTTCAAGGGCCAGCTTCCCATGCCCAAAATTGGTTACGGGAGCAACAAGAAGGTAGAGATGCTCCTCCGCTGCTAGATGCGCATGCTTATGTTCTGTACAAGACCCGTCACCTTCTCCCCAACGGCCTTAAGAAGTTCCTCATCAACAATGTCAAGGAAATTGACCTCCTTCTGATGCACAACAAAAGCTACGCGGCAGAGATCGCACACAACGTCAGCAGCCGCAACCGCACTATCATTCTTGAGCGGTAAGTCTTGATTACTTCTGGGTCTTGTGCTCTTTAATATTCTGATGCGTCTTTTAGAGCAAAGGCTCTCGGAGTGAAGGTGACCAACTCTGCAGCACGGCTGCGGTCAGAAGAGTGATTTGTTGTCGTTTCTTATTCACGCCATTCCCATGTATTCATTTCATATGCTGGAGATAATCTCGACATGCAAGCATGCTTCAGGCTGAATGATCATGTATTGTCAATCTGTAAGATCGGTCACATATGCATGAGGATATTGTGCTATTCCTGTCTAGTTGCTGATAACCTGAGATTGCCTAATGAGGTACACAATCACATCGCTCATTGATCAAAGGAGGTGCACTAGCTATCACCTTTACCTGAACCACCCAGCATGTCTTTCAAATCCAGGCATGAAAACGTTCGTTCCATACGCTCGTAGCTAATCAGCATGTCCAACAGACCGGCTGTATTTGCTACCAAGTTGTGGTATTCAGCAGATGGTTCGTTGCTCCGCCAGATCACCTACTTAAGTACTGGATATCTTCTTCTCTCAAACAACAGGGGACACTCTCGACACGGAGCTCTCGAACTGGCTGGCTGGCGTTAAGCCTACTGACGAGGACGACTTTGCGCCGCCGGTCGCAAGCTGTAAAGCGATCATCGCTCCGTATGTTCTCGCTCCTGTCTCTTCTTTGTTCCTGAGTTAGAGCTACTAGCCACGCTGGTTACTCCTACTCTGGCCCTGCAGCTGCTTGGGCGTACAAGAGCATATCCACTGCTGGAATGTGAGTGCCTCACTCCCAAACAATAAATACCCTTGATGAGATACACTACCACGCAGCTCCCGAGTATTCATCCTAGGCCCATCGCATGCATTCTATCTCGGTGGATGTGCACTCTCGAAATGTGAGACGTACGAGACCCCGCTAGGAAACCTCACACTAGACAGGGAAGGTACGGCTCACACTAACAGTTAGCCACCCAAATCTAACCCTACACCCAAGTCATCGAAGAACTCTACAAGACCAAACGATTTGAGTACCTCCAACCACGCAGGGACCAAGGCGAGCACAGTATCGAGATGCACCTGCCCTACGTATACAAAGTGTTTGAGGAGTAAGCTGTACCTTATCCCTCCCTCTCCTCATCCGTTTCGAGCCTGGTTTGCAGGTCCATCGATAATATCAAGATCGTGCCGATCATGGTCGGCGCTATCGATCAGGCGCAGGAAGAAGAGTATGGGAAGATCTTAGCGCCGTACCTTGAAAGGGACGATACACTCTTTGTTATCTCTTCTGATTTTTGTCATTGGTACGTTTGTTTTGGTGGTGTCGGTGCATTAACATTGAATTAAGTGTTTGATGTGCGGTGCGGTACATAGGGGTCACTCGCATTATGGATACACATTCTATTATCCCGAGACGATTCCTAGCGATGTCCCAGGTGTTCATCTACGCCGTAGCGGTCCGCGCCCGGCACCCTCCCGACCCATCCACGCGTCCATTTCAGATCTGGACCACGAAGCGATGGATATCCTCGCCCAACAGCCTGCGTCTACTGCACATGCCAAATTTGTAGCGTACCTGGAGCGCACGCACAATACGATTTGTGGACGACATCCCATCGGGGTGCTGATGGGCGCGCTCAGTGCGCTGGAAGAGAAAGGCAAGCAGGCTAGAATGAAATGGGTGCGATATGAGCAAAGCAATCGGTGTGTGTCGTTTGATGATTGGAGCGTGAGTTATGCGAGTGCGTTTGTTACTTTTTAGAGGGGGCGTGCATAATGCGATTGGCGATGCCAGTGTATAACAACAATATATTTGACTACAGATCATTATATGCACGGGTGTGGAGCGCTGGGCCCAGACTGCTGACCCATAGTCTACCTGAGGACAGGAAAACACAGTTAGACACTATGCGCTACGAGTCTCTCTTAGCCCTGAGGAAGTTCTCCCAGACGGCCATAACGCGTCTGCGAGACTAGAATGGGGCGTGAGGTGTGAGTGGATGAGTGGGCGGTTTTATAGCTCATCGGCTGATTTCGGGTGGAAATGGATTAAGTGCGGTGGGAGCTGATTTTTTTATTGGACGCACGGTGACATGTGTGGGACCCAGATTGCGGGGAGATTTCAGATCACATCAAACGTTTGCATCATGGCAAAATAATATTGCATGAACCTCGAAAAAGACAGATTGGGAGAGGAAAAAAGACCAAAAAAAAAGACCAAACGAATCAGAGAAAGTGATATGTATACGAGCGGGTGTAATCAGCATCGGTGTCAGTTTCAGTCAGTACACATTAAATCAAGTCGTCAATCGAGCTATTCTGCAACCTTGGGGGCGCCTATTATACGCGTACAACTCCCCTATGAGAGTGAGGGGAATGCGGTCTCGTCGTCCACGTTGACGGCAGCTACACCGTTCGCAGCACCACCACGTCCGCGTCCCCCACGACCACGACCCCTCTCGCCACGGCTCCGCTCTCCGCCACCCCTGTCTCCACCACGACCGCCACGACCAGGACGGCTTGGACGTTCGAAGCGAGCTTCGATTTCAATGAAAACTTTTTCATCTTTCTTGGTGCGAGCCTTTGGAGCAGATTTAACCTGGTGGAGATGTGTGAGATGCGATTAACAGGTATAAGCAAAAAGGTACCTTTGCAGCGAAATACTCAGAATCGTCCTTCTGCAAGGGTGCAGCACCCTGGAAGACATCATCATCTGCACCGTCATTGGGCTTTCTGACGTCCAACTTTGGGACGAGTGCATTGTCCTTCTCGCGCTGTTGTGCAAGGTATTGGTCGAGAGTGAGAGTGTTATCTTCTTCTTCCTCTCTGTCACCGCGCCTTTCACGCCTTTCACCTGATTGAGGCTTTTCGGCACCTTCTGCTGCCGAGGGAGCAGCCCAGTCATCTGCAGGAGGAGCATCTGCGGGAGCAGCCCAGTCATTTGGAGAGGGGTCAGCTGCTGGGGTAGCCCAGTCATTTAGACTACCAGCAGCGTTCTCTGCCAAAGCGTCGTTTGTGGCAGCTTCCTCTGTTTTGCGTTCTGCTTCTCCATCATCGCCACCCCAAGAGTTGTGGACCTTTTTTTCAGAGTCGCTAGGTGAGAGGATAAGGGTGGGTGAATAATGAGCGTGAGGGGGGACTTACGTTTTACCAGTTTGACTGTGCCTGTCGAATGGACGACCACGTCCGCCACGGTCACCACCACGACCACGGCCTCTTCCACGGCCTTCTTTGCGCTCGCCATCGACTTTTATTTATTAGATATGGATTTAAAAGAAAGAAAGTACTCACATCGCCTTGGTTTTGGCTCTGGAGCTGGCTGATCATCAGTTGGAGGGGCAGCAGGGGGTGCAGCGCCTCCACGCTGGTAGTATCTACCCCCACGAGAGGCAGGGCCTCCGCGTCCACGAGTACGAGTTTGTTGTGATTGTGGAGCTGGCGCTGGTGCCGCAGGCTCAGCTGAAGGGGGAGGAGTGGATGGCCTGTCCTCTGTTAGTATAAGAAAGTAAGTGACTGAATGAAATGATAAAATCAAAACCTGCCGTCCAAGAGTGCAAAAGGGTTTCTTGTGGCCACCGACATGGCCGGTTTTTTAAGGATCAGTCAGAGTGAGGGATGAGATTAGAGTGCTAGTTGTGATGACCCCGTAAACACGAACTGGGGTCCTTTCAAGCCACTGTACAGTTTATGACACGTGCTAGGTATAAAAACCAGTCTGCTTCGAATTCAAAGGGTTACGCTTAAAACAAAACAGGTTAGTTTCATGCAGTCGGAAGACGAACGTCCTTCTAACTAAAATTTTATAGCCTTCAAAAGCATCTCGACGAGTTTTACCCGCCTTTTTTTTGGATGGTTGTAGAACTATGACCTTGAGACCGTCATAAATGGGCTGAAGAGAGATTTTCGATGGGACTTGGGTGCGGTACGTTCGTAGTGGAGACTATTCATGGTCACCGTTTGGGCGAAATTCGCAATGTCTCGTTGTACAAGCTTTGATGTCCGTACAAGCTTGTTTTTGATGCAATTAAACTCTCGTAAACAAGCACGTTAAAGAGTCTCACGTTCTCTCTCTTTCTTCAATGTCATGGCTGCAAGACGAATGGACATTTCATCGCTACTCTGCGACGACAACGACAACAATGACAACGACGACGAGCAACAGTCGTCGTCCTCACCATTAATCTATCAGCCTGTTATTCTAGCTCCACATCTTCGTGGTAAACACGCACGACAGGCCCCAACTCATAATTACATACCAGAATTAACTTCACCCAACATGCCACCAAGAACTATCGATGCCCTACTGCACCATCCTTCACCTCGTCCAGATTCTTCTCATTCTCATTCTTCGGTAAACGCTCTCCTAAATCCAGTTCGTTCGCCTTTCGTCAGTATTCCTCTTTTATCACACCCTTTATCTCTTAATCCTACACAGTCAATGTCACATCCTCGAACAGGTCTTGACGCTCTCGTCCATGCTGCATCAGAAGAACGAAGGCGCATAAGCGCAGGTTCATCAACAAGTGAATCTAGTACAAGTCCAGTCAGCTTACCCCCTCCCCGCCCTTATCCATTATACATCACAGACGACTCACCTCGTCCACACAAGAGAATAAGAGAATCTCGCTCTCCAACTCCACCACACCGCTCAGCCCCAAACCCAAGTCCAACAACAAGCGCTCTCAGCTCAAGTCTCACAGGGCCCGGAATCCCACATTTATCTTCTCCCTCCAATATACCCTTGTCAGGCCCAGGCATAACACCTCCACACTATCACCCACCTCTACATCGTTCTCCCACAATAGCACGCCATTCCCCTATCGTTCCCACCCGAATGTCACCCATCGTATATGCTGCAATGCGCTCTGACGTCCCCCGTCTCGGCAGGGCGGTATGGGATGAAGAGGAAGTTGACGATATCAGAAGGCGTGAAGAACCCCTCAGGCAGGAACGCCAGCATGATAGAGATGACTACCAGCTACGGCACAGACAAGAGCCCGACCCCCACCAGCTAGACTTCCAACTGGAGATCCGTCAGCGCCAAGAACTGGAGATCCGTCAACGTCAGGAACTCGAGCTCCGTCAACGCCATGCAAACGAAATCATTCTCAGACAGCGTGAAGAGGTCCCTCGACAACAAGAGCTCGAGCGCTGGCAGGGTGAGAGTGTTCTCCGCGCACAGGAAGACTCTGCATGGAAAGTGGAAGACATGCGCGGGCGGAGAGACACATTGCATCAATCCCCCCGGGAAGACTCCCAACGTCGTGACAGATCCTCACATCGCCAGCCATCTCTACATCGCCCAAAACGTGATGCCTCTCTCCATCCCGTGCGCGACCCCCTCCTCCACCCAAATGATATGGACCCTCGATATCGTGAACAGCTGATGAGACAGCTCGATCAGGAGCTTCAGAGGAGGCAGGAGATAGAGCGGGAGTTGCAGCGTCAAGAACGTGAGCGTCGGCAGGGCGAGGAACTTCTTCGACAGCAAGAAGAGTCCGCCGCTCGGCAGGTAGAGGAGCTAAGAATGCGTCAGGAACAACGCCGGCGGGAGGAAATAGCTTTGAGGCAGAGGGAGGCAGAGGCGAGGAGGCGCGAAGAAGAAGAGGTCCAGCTGAAGGCCAAGGCTGAGAACGAACGCATTCGTGCAGAAGCCGAGCAGCGTCAGCGTGAAGAACTCGCTCGAAAGCGGCAAGAGGAGGAAATCGAGAAGCGACGCCGCCAAGAAGAGCTCGAGAAACGGAGGGCGGAAGAGGAGCTCGAGCGGAGACGACAGGAAGAAGAAGCCGAGCGGAGACGGCAGGAAGAGGAGATTGAGCGCAGACGCCAAGAAGAGGAGGCTGAGCGCCGACGCAAGGAGGAAGATGCCCAGCGACGACGTGTCGCGGAGGCTGAGCGTCAACGTGTCGCAGAGGCTGAGCGCCAACGTGCAGAGGCTGAGCGCCAACGTATAGAGGCTGAGCTACGCCAACGTGCAGAGGCCGAACGAGCAGAAGCCGTGCGTGCTGAGCTTGAGCATCGTCAACGCATTGAGCGCGAACAGCGCCGCCGGGACGAGGAACATAAACGCCAAGAAGAGCTCGAGCGGATGCAGCGCGAGGTGATGTTACATCGGCAACGAGAGGAGGCTTTGCTCAGGCAGAGAGAAGAAGCACGCAAGATCCGGGAGGAGGAAGATCGTGCGCGCAGGCTGCGTGAACAAGCTGAGAGGAAAGAACGGGAAGACCTTGAGCGCAAGCGTCTTGAGGATCTCGAACTACAGGCTCGGCGAGAAGAGGCCGAACGTAGGCAGAAAGAGGAGACCGAACGCAGACAGAAGGAGGAAACCGAACGCCAGCGTGCAGAGCTCGAACGCAGAAAATTGGAGGAACTTGAACGCCAGCAGCGAGAAGCAGCCGAGCGATTGCGATTAGCTGAAGAGACTCAACGCAAGGAACGGGAAGCCCTCGAACGTGAGCAGCGGGAGGAGCTTGACCGCCAACGATTGGTGGAGGAACAGCGTCAACGAGAGGAGCAGCAACGAGAGGAACAGGAACAGCGTCAACGAGAGGAACAGGAACAGCGCCAACGAGAGGAACTCCAGTGGAAACAACGTTCAGAAGCCCTGCGACGACAGCAAGAAGAACTTTCACTTCAACAGCAGCAGGAACTCGAGCGCCGACAGCAGCTTGAGCAGATGCATTTGGACGAAGTCCAGCAGGACGAAGATGTTGATACGAGTCCAGACGCTGTGGAAGGCGAGGACGAGCAGCCACAGCCATTTATACCTACCTCCACATCCGGCTCCCCGACCATCCAACCTTCGCCCGATGATACCGCGGAACGTAACTTGCCTCCAATGTATCGTGGTAAGACAAAGGTACATTCTCCAACGCTTCCGCTCTCGCTCTCCCAACCAAGTAAGGTGGAGGAGCAAGAGACGCGCCTTCCTTCTCCCGTCCACGCCACTGCACCCTCTGCGACGGAAGGCCCACAATCCCCTTTATATTTATCTTCCACTCGTGTGTCTCCTACTCGTCCCTTCCACTCTCCCATACACAAACCCGACCCCTCTTCTATGGATGTGGACGAGGAACTCCTGAGTCTCATCGAGGATCGCCCATCATTAAATCACAAAGCTTCGCGTCTAAAACCCAAGCCGTCGCCTTCTCCACAACGCCCATCTCCTCCAGATGACGAGCTCATGCCCCCTCCCCCTGCGGCGCCTATCAAAAAGAAGGCAGAGCCAGCAAAGGCCGGGAAGAAGAAAGGCATGGCTGCTCCCAAGGTGATATCTTATTTTATTTTGTAGTTTCAGATAACCCATTTTCGTGTCATAGCCCCCTCCGAAACCCAAGCCTCCACCAAAAGCGCGCGCAAAACCTCCTCCAAAGACGAAAGCCAAGGAACCCACGCCGAAAGATGTTCTCAAAAACAGTCTTTTTGCAAAGCATGCTGCTGCCTCACGGTCACGATCTGCGTCTGTCATGCCTATCGACACAAAGGAGGAGCCGGAAGACGAGGACAGCGAGAGGGAGGACGATAAGCTGTACTGCGTGTGCAAAACACGATATGACGAAGATCGAGTCATGATTGCATGCGATCGGTGAGTGCTCTCTCTTTTCAAGAGCAGAGCTAATGTATCTGTGGTGTAGCTGTGACGAATGGTATCATACACAGTGCGTCAACATGCCCGATCTTGAGGTCGATCTTGTGGATCAGTTCATCTGCCCGGTGTGCATCCAAAGTGAGTCATCACTATCACGCAGAGATTCAACTTGTTCATTTGTTTTGGATGCGTTTGCAGCTAACCCCCACTTGCACCTTCAAACGACGTATAAGCGCCGCTGCTTTTTCGGGTTGAAGCATACAGACCCATCATCGTCGAATGCGTGCCACAAACCATCTCGAGGTGCATTTTCGAAGTATTGCTCCGACGAATGCGGCATCAAGTATATGCAGATGCGTATTTCGCAATGGGAGCGCAGCGGTGGCAAACGCGACAAGCTCTGGGAAAGCGTCAAGAACGCAGAAAAGCGTGAGGGCGTTGTCGTCTGTGCAGACGTGAAGATGGAGGTCGACAGTAAACTCTCACCTGCGCCTATTTCTGCACAGAAGCGCAAGACGGACCGTGAAATTGCATGCTTGAATTCACGCCTCGAGAACGTGGTGAGGGAGCGGGAGATGATGAAACGTGAGATGGATATGGTGTTGTGGAGGGAGAAGTTGGTGAAACTTGCTTCTGAGCGGGCGGAAAGGGTGGATGAGTGTGGGTGGGATCAGAGGCTTTGTTTTGGTGAGGAAGAGTGGGATGATTTTGGTGCGGAAGTGTTGGAGAGCTACGAGGAGAAGGCAAAGGAGGAAGCATCAGATGATGTCATGCAGGTGGATGGCGTCACGACCAGTCATGGGGAGTGGTGGTGTACGGGGAAGAAAAAGTGTGAGCGACATGCAGGGTGAGCGTTGATTTCATGAATTTTGACGTGGGGGATCTGACTGTGGCTTAGGTGGCAGAAACTACGCGTTGCCGAGGTTGCTTTTGATAAAGAAACGAAGGAAACGATCCTCTCCACTCTCACCACTCGCGAACGCGAAATAAGGAAAGGAATCGAAGATATTTTATACCCACCATCAACGAATGCCTCTCAGGCGCCGTCCAAGCCCTCACTTGCAGATCCGCCACTTAATGGCACTAGCAAACCTCGGATTAACGGGGAGACTATAGAAAAGGGGAAGAAGAAGAAATCGTAATTCACACCACTGTATTTTTAAGACATCTTTTCTTGTTTGTTGTCAGAGTATTTGACGTCCTATCTCGCTTTTTTGCAGTTCTTGATAATGATGTTTTCGTCTTTTTTTGTAGCCCTGGCCTTTACCCGGTGATACCGCACATTTATGCTAGATGGACTCAATAAACCAATACGCCCATAGGCGGTATGCATGAGGAATGAATAAACAGTACTAGTACGATAGTTCATCAATAGCCATCGCCCTCGCCACCCTCCTTACAGAACCCTTTCTGCTCGTATAAGACCTTGGATTTGAAATCTTCGCGTGCCTTCTTATGTGCGATATCCCTCTTATGATATGGATCAAGAACGGAATAGTCCACTTGTTGTAATGGGACATCATCCTCCTGATCGAGATCCTGCCAAGAGACATCAACAACGTAAATGCACCTGCTGCATGGCGCTCGAATACGTACAATTTCGCCAAGCAACACGACATTCTCCCCGCGTATGAGAAAAAGGCCGTGCCAGTGTTCTGCGAATGCTTTACCATGAAATATTCGCTCGACGGTGTCTTCGAGAACGAGGTTAGCTGAAAAAGCGGGCGAGTTGGAAGAGTCAGCAGACTATCGTATGCTTAACGAAAACAAACTTACCAAATTGATCATAAGAGCGTAGTACACCGTGTAATTTTCGCCCGTCTCTGAGGACGACCAACATCTTTCCTGGGACGGGCGAAAGAGTGCATATCATAATTGGGGGGTAAAGTGATCATGGAGACTTCAGGTCGAATGGTTGCCGTGCAGTTGACTGTGTAGACGTACTGTCCACGCAATCTACCAGTGATCCCGATGTCGTGAATGGGATTAAAGAATCCATGGAAGGTGGTTAATGCTGCTCCCGAGCAGCGAATAAGTACTACGAGATGTAAGGAGAGACCAAAAGCTGTAAAAGTTTGAGATTTGTTCTTGATATCGTTGGTGGGAGCGAGGTTATAATTTTCGATTTACGCACGGAATACAAGCTGATATGGCCGAGTCGTTAAGGCGAGTGATTTGAATACTCATCATCACTTGGGCATTGCCCGCGTAGGTTCAAATCCTGCTGTCAGCGAATTTTTTCGGTCTTCTCACATTTTGTTCGGTTAGGGTTAGACTCCGACGGCTAGTACTATGAATTATCAATGTACTCCCAGCTCTTCGGTATACCCACTAGTAGAATATGATTGAGACGATCTACATTGCTAGACATGGTCAGTGTATCTTTTAATTATTCCATCTGGTGTTCACCAAGTCTTAGGTTTCAGATTAAACTGGATGAACACTAACTGGTGAGCGGATGAAGGTCAGGCCAAACTATAATTTAACCCGCGGATACTACAGGAAGAGTCCTACGGGTCTTCCAAGAGATCCTCCTTTGGCTGCTTATGGAGAGGTACCATCGGACCGTTGGAAGAGATCATCAACTCATGCATGATTCTTAGGTTCAAGCACAGGAACTTGCTGACCACTTTCTAGCTCTTCCCGAAGAGAAGCGCCCCACCATCATATTATCTTCCCCTTACTGTGAGCATATCACTTCTTAATACTCTCAGGGCTAAGACTACCTTAGATCGATGTCTGCAGACGTCCAAGCCGACCTCCCAAGTTCTTGAAGTGCCCATCTATGTCGAACACGGTGGGCAAATCCAAGTGGCGATGTACGTATATCAGCTCATAGTTGGTTAGGATTGTCCGAATGGTATTCCCCTGTCGCTCCTGGCACTGGCTTGCACCCTAGGCCATCGTCCGCTACAGTCATGCAAACATACTTTTCAGAGATCGACCCCTCGTGGTCCTCGATCTGGTATCCCACACGGAGAGGCGAGGACGTCGAAGCCTTGCATGAGCGCGCCAACGGTGTATTAGATTTGCTCATTACGGAGGTAGAAACACGCTTTGGCAGTCAAGCATAAGAACATTCTTCTAGTCAGTCACGCTGCGACTGTTATCGTGCTGTGTCGGGCCTTGCTAGCACAACCAGATCTCCCTTTGAGAGTTGGCTGCTGCTCAATCTCTGAGTTTTCTCGTAAACCGAACGCTTCAGGTGTATTGGGAGCTTGGGAAGCCAAGTATTTGGCTTCAGGGAGCCACCTGAAGGAAGGTGCATCCAGAGACTGGGGCTTGGAGGACATCCAGATTGCGAATGGCAAGGTAAGTGTGTGAGCAGGTGGAAGTCTAAGTGATACGCTGACAAAGCGAACCAGGTTATATCGGACCAAGGTGTTCCCGCGATGCAAGAAGAAGAAGAAGACAATTGTGGGCCCCAGATACATCGCAGCAGTTTGTGATAACTCTCAGAGCGATATGCGGTGGTGTTTCGGAAACCTTTGACAAGTTAGACCAGGTAGACGAATCAGTAGAGTCACGCAGTGGCATGTTTTAAAGCAGTCTGGATGTGTACCATCAATCTATTTTTGCGAAAGTTCCCTCCACGACCACTACCGGACGTGGTCCAGCAGTGAGATATTGCCCCCGACAAATCCCTGAGTTATTGAGTGACACTACGATGTCGGGCTCGATGTATTGCCAAAGTACTCCCATTGACCAGGTGATGGCTTCTCTTCTAGAGGCTCCCAGCTAAAGAATAAAATTAATAAGCGCAGAAAGACATGCTAAATCTCAAAACGCACGCCTTCCATTCAAGCATATTCTCGGCCAACTTCAGTTCATCTTTAGCAATATCCAACGACTCCTCGATTTGCCCCTCATCCAGCTGTTTCTCCACACTTGCAATGTCTCCATTTGCACCCTGTACAATGTTGAGTTTGTGTTTGGTGAGTGCCTCGACGCCCTGTCTGTAGACGGAGGTCGGCGGTATTGAAGCAAGGACGCTGAGCGTCGAATTATAAGTGTTGGAGAGTTCTGGGAGCGGATTTTGGTGGACGGCAAGACCGACGATACCAGTCGTCTTCTTAGTGACTTGTTGCAGCAATGGACGCGTGAATCTGAACATGACGGTTGCTGTTTAGCAAGAGTGTTTGATTCACTGTCTGAATTTGGAGTACAAATCGAGAAGTCATTAAAAGTTACAAAAGTCTTTCTACACCGTCATGGCCTCATTAGCTCTACATCAAACGCGCTCGTTTATCTCTACGTTCAGGTCGTCATGGGCGCAGCTGCCAGCATGCTGCTTCTATAACTGCCAACTTGGACCTGCGGCAAAAGTCATTCAGTTGGGCTCTACCAGGCTTGCAGTCCCTACTTGAACTGCTTCCTCCCATTGTCCTAGCAGTTCCAAAGAGTAAAATTTCTCACTCGCGAAAGTCGATGCGCAGTGCAAACAAAGGACTTAAAGACAAGCGGAGTACGCCCTCAATTTTTTTATTCATATCCTTCCCCCAACTAACTGACTATTTTAAAGATATCGTTAATTGTCCAGCTTGCGGAGAGCCTAAGCTCGCACATCATGCATGTAAAGCATGCTATTCTGCAATAATGAAGCGTTTCAGAATGGAGACTAAGAGGTTGGCAACAGAGACGACGAAACGCATGAGCGGGGGGAGCTGGTCGGAGGTCAAGGCGCCGCCCATGATTGAGAGCCCTAAGGACTCATGATCTCTAGTGTACGTCCTCTCCTTATCTCCATGTCCCCATTATCTAAGTTATTCGACAGCATTTGCGCATTCCATGCTCTAGAGTGATCTGTGCCGTGGCCCCAACGCCAGTTGGGTAGATGATATTCACTGTACTTACTCGACAAACTCGTAATAATCACCTTCAAGCCGTTCGCATTGTTCTTCACTTAAACAGAACGTGACTGCGTGGATGTAATCTGTCACGCAATGGATCACTGGTCGCCACTTCGAGTGATGTATTGCAGCACGAGTACAAGAGCGAAGAAAAAGTTGAGTCTATTTTTCTCGTCAACAATAGAAACCGGCCAAAGGGCGTTGAATCTGGTCCTGTGGGATCCAGCACCTTGCTGGCACATAACGCACATGATTGGGCTTCGTCTGTATCTTCCTTTGACCAAATGTACCACTTGACATAGATGCTCTTCTAAAAGAACAGACAGTGTTGATGTCAGCGTTGGAATCAAATGGCAAAGGGTAGTAAGCGCATGTTTTAGCAGTCTTTGACGCGCGTATCGTCTGCTGGTTGTATCACACACAGGGTCCCGAACGACTGGGGCACCGCGACTTCGGAGATCATCTCGCTCAGAAGAAAGCAATAGCATTTCCAGCTCGTTGACGCCTCTTCACATTGTCTAGGATCACGATCGCAGTGAATCCCATCCCCGCGACCCTGATTCTAGGTCCCCCGCACCTCCTGTGTAATACAAAACGTTGGCACTGATCCATTGATGTGCTTTTTGTTCAACCGGGTAGTTCGACACCTCAAGTTGGAGGCTGGTTCTCGTGCACTTGGAGCTGACCACGGCGGATTTCATCGCGGCGGAAATATGATCAGCAAAGAATCCGGATGGAAGTTCTGACCCCAACTTCGCTGCAGAGTAGGGTTGCGAGTATTTTTATTGTGTTTCTTCTTTTTGCATTGATTCGATGTTCTCGGACATCGGCGTGAGTGCTAGTAACTCCAACTCTTTCTGGTCTTTGCGAGAGGTTGTCTATCATCAACGTCAGTGAGCAGACACGCCTCAGGGTGCCGTCGACATCGGGTATATGAACATGATGTTACATTGAAAATTACTGTAATCTAGTCATTAATGTCAACGTCATGAACTACAGACATGTCCATACTATCTATTCGAGTATGGACTACGAAATCAAGAAGCCGTTCCAAGATGGGGGTCGTAATGAAGAGCCAAAGGAATACTACAATCTAGAAGAAATGTTCGCCGATAGGAAAGCTCGAACATTGACTTGCAATGCATTTAACCTCAAATACAATGGAATAAAAATATTTTACAAATCCTCTCATGGTCGTTTGAGCGATGCGAGACTTGAGAACGCCGCGAGAGAAAAACGGCGAGTAGGAACCCTCGAGACAATGGACCCCGGAAGTCCCCTCGCGTCCGCGGGGGTCGCTGTACGAGGTACCTCAATGACCCCCTCAGCGATCGCTGAGACACGCTCTCTAACGAGGACATAATGCGGAGAGAGCATTGGCACAGACCTCCTGCGCTGTTCAGGACTTTGTGGTGAGATGCGTGGAGAAAGGCGTGTGTCGTATGACGGAGGACATGCGGAAATGACTACGATGCTCCCATCCGAGTCATCGCTTCCCGTGTGAGTGGTAACATCGAAAGCGCCGGCTTCGATGACGGCATTCCATTGACTTCTTTTGCCGCGCGTTACGAAGCGTTTAACGCGTCCGCCAATCGTCTTCGCCTTCTGCATGAATGTTCTTGACTTCATTGCAGGCGGTGCATTCGAGTTCACCACTCTCTGATTTAAGCCAGGGGGAGGCTGGCTCATGCGTTCGGTGTGATCTGCACTAGAACCAGTGTCATCATATGCAGAAGGAGTCTCTGGCATGGTCTCTCGTCTGTTCGTTTGGACTGTAACATCTTCACGCCATCGCTCGAAACTATCAATGCTAGATGGAAAGGCTGAAGTCGAGGTCGGTGCCAACGCCAGGCGTGCTGTAGTTGGTGAATAGGCTGAAGACATACAATTGAGAGAGGACGGTGCGGAGGGAGACGAAACCGGAGTACTGTTGAGGGATGCAGACATGCTCGGTAAGAGTGCTGCGGGGAAAGAGGAAGTGGGGGATGCGACACTCGAAGTGAGTGGGCTACTTTGGGGGCTTAGGGAAGGAACTGGACCAAAAAGAGCGTTGCGGAATATGCGGTCTGTTTCTGTATTTCCACCGAGGTCGCTGAGCCAGTTGGATCCAGCAGACACCCATAGATTATCTGGTAGTTTGGGTGGTTTGTCCATCATCAGCGTCATGCTGGCCTGAGGTTTAATTATTTTTGAAGGAGACGTATTTATGGCAGCAATGTCACGATTATCATGCGCCTCGGGAGTGATGGGCATTGTTGCGAAATTGCTAGGTGTTGGAGATGTCATGTTATTTGGATCGGATGAGAAGTGACTCGAAGATGGGGTATGCTCAAGACCAGGCGTAGATGGCATACTAGAGCTTGTGTGCTCATCTGGCGTAAAATTCTTTCCAATGTATGAGGCTGGCAGAGGGGGCAGTGAAAAATCTGTGCTGAACGGGCAATACGCCAATGGTGGCACAAAGACTGGTGTTGGCACTGTGATGCTCAGGGGACGGTCGCCCGCTGTACTCGTCGTGGGCATTTCAGGGGTTCCTTGCCCGGGCGAGGCAGTAATCACCTGGTCAACGTTTCGTATGATGGTCTGACCCTGGTTAGAACCTCAATGACACGGAAATTACTTTGAGATTACAATAATCACGTACCGAGGAGGAAGTAATGGATGAAGAGATGGCTTGGTCTAACCAAGCACCTGGTATGAGTTTTGTAGGAGTTGAAGGACTGGACATGAGAGTTAACATAGAAAGAGTTAAACCGCACCTCGAAAAAAATATGTAATTCAATTGGAATTCAATTGCCCTCGGACTTAGCACGCGACGTACGAAGGGGATCAACACAACCCAAAAAGGAACATCTATTTCTCGGCAGTTCTACAAGTCACCTCTAACTGCTGCATCCACACTCTTAGCGAAGTACTCGATGTTCCTACCATTCAATCCTGCCATCGAAATACGTCCATCCATAGTCATATAAATATGCGCCTTCTCCGCAAGGACTTTGCATTGCTCCTTATTAAGTCCGGTGAAGCTAAAAATGAAAACCAGTCGGTACCAGCAAGGGTAATATATAGTAGTACACTAACCTGAACATGCCAATCTGGCTCTTTACGTGGCTCCATTCTCCAGGTGTCCGGAAATCATTGCTCAACAGCTGGTACAAGCGTTCACGCATGTTGATAATGCGGTCCGCCATGCCTTTCACTTCACCCTCCCATTCTTGGTAGAGTTCAGGGTCCGACAAAATCGTGTTGGCAATGTGGGCACCATGCAGGGGAGGGTTCGAGTACATCGGGCGCACAATGATCTTCAATTGACTGTCCACCCGCTTTCTCTCCTCTTCATTGGCGGTCGTAAGAGAGAACGCACCAACGCGCTCTCCATACAAACCCATGTTTTTTGCAAACGACTGTGAGAGAGCAATCTGGTGGCCTTGCGAGACAAAGTATCGCACAGCAAATGCGTCACGATCAGTCGAGCCCGAAGCAAAGCCCTGATATGCCATGTCAAAGAAAGGGAAAAGTTTCTTCTCAGCAACGAAGTCCGAAATATCTTTCCACTGCGACTGAGTGGGGTCAACTCCAGTAGGGTTGTGTGCGCAAGCATGCAGCAACACAATGGAGCCTTCCGGGGCATTCTGAAAACCATCAATATGTATGACACAATTATACGAATCGAGTTGTCGTACTTGCAAGTCCTCCTTCAAGCCCTCAAAGTCCAGACCGACAGTTTTCTTGTCAAAGTACCTGTAATATTTAACCTCCAGGCCAGAATCCTTGAAAAGAGGTATGTGGTTGCCCCATGTGGGCGAAGGAACGTAAATGGTTTTGGAGTGCGGGTAGTGTCTTGCTAAGAAAGCACCACCGATTCTGAGAGCACCAGTTCCAGAGATAGACTGAGTCACGGCAATCTGAGAAGTTGCGATGTTAGCAATCATGACGACACTTCTGGGATTCAACCACAGCTTGTTCACCGCATTTTGGTTCCGTGGCACGCTATCAGCGCCATACGCTAGTTTAGCTGCGTTGCTCGTGAAGCCAGGCAACCCGGTAATTGGGAGGTACTCCTTGTCGAGCTTAGCAGCAGAAATCCTCTCTTCAGCCTTCCGAAGAATACACGGTTAGTGGCTGCAGAGAAAAGGCACTTATCATCCCGTACCTTCTTGACTGCGTTCAAAACGTACGGCTTGCCGTCTTCGTCTCTATATGCACCAACACCAAGGTTGATTCTACGAGGGTCCTTGTCGGCTTTGAATGCCTCAGTGATACCTATGCGAACGGATCAATCAACACTGTCAGTTTTCAGGTAGGCTAGTCCTACCGAGGATCGGGTCAGGAGGGCCGGCTGGAACAGCTGACCAAGTCGAAAGAGGTGCAGCACTGCGCAAAATTGCAGGTGCACGACGGACAGCGTTAATGGCCAGCATTAGTCTAAGGTTTGAAACTAAAACACAGAGGGAAAGTCAAGGAAGAGGATTTGAGCGGTTATTGGAATTTGGAAGATCAAGGAAAGTAAACTTTTATGGTGATGGCGAGGGCGGTGAAAGCCGATTTCGGCGGTAGAGCGCCGATTAGAACGTGGGTTTACTAACCCGAAACATGATGGCTCAAGCACTGCTGTTGATCATTTGGAGCCTCTAGCAGTACCGGAACAGAGACTAATGCGCATTCGTCGGTAGGAGCTACTAGGCTAAGAACCCGTCACTAGTCAAATTCTCGCATGTAGTCATATTCTGTCAATTAATACACACGGCCGAGGCCCAATAACAATTTCAAACCTAACCTCATGCTAGGGTTACAGTTGGAGCGTCACAACAATTGCATACAAATCACGTAGAGATAAGATCAACTTTTTGGTTGACTCGACTAGACTTTCATTCATCATCATGACCGACATTGTTGAACAGGGCGAGGAAGGTCTGACCAAGAGTGCTCTGAAAAAGAAAGCAAAAGAGGAGGAAAAGGCTCGAAAGAAGGCAGAGAAAGCTGCGAAGGTCAAAGAGGCTGAGCAGGTCAGAGAAGCTGCAGAAGGGCCCGTACGTTGATCGCTCGTTTCATGTGTTGATTTCATATCATCGACAATCGCAGGACTATGCGGCAGCGCACTATGGAAAGCTTCCTCTGCACCAGTCCCAGTCGCGCCCCAATCGTAAACGCACTGACATCGCGACTCTCAGCGCCAAGAATGATTCCGAACACGTTCTTCTTCGTGCTCGGATTCAAACTTCACGTCTTCAGTCAAACAAGATGGCGTTTTTCAGTCTTCGTCAACGGACCGACACGATCCAGGCCATGCTCGCTGTTGACGATAAACAAGTTAGCAAACAAATGGTCAAATGGGCTGCTAGTCTTTCCGACGAGAGCATCGTCCTCGTTCATGGGACAGTAGTAAAGTCACCAGAATCCATTAAAAGCTGCTCGATCGATGACGTTGAAATCCAAGTCAGCGAAGTATGTATTTTATCTTTTCTCCTTGTACCACTTGACTTTACTTCTGATTCTCCATCAGATCTGGTTAGTTGCAGGCCTTGAAGGTCGATTGCCATTTTCTCTTGAGGATGCATCCAGATCAGAAACTGCCCCTGAAGTCGAGGGGCAGTTCAGTAGAGTTTTATTGGACACCCGCTTAAACAACCGTATCATCGATCTCCGGGTTCGCTTCATTTTTATTCAATGATTGTTTGCTCACTCGATCTGTAGACACAAACAAATCAAGCAATCTTCAAGCTTCAACATGCCATTGGAGACCTATTCCGTGACTACCTCAACAACAACGGCTTCACCGAGATCCACAGCCCGAAATTGCAAGGAGCAGCTACCGAATCAGGGGCATCTGTCTTCAAGGTTGGGTACTTTAAAGGTTTGTTACTTGCTTTGACTCATTCGTATCATTAACATTAACTTGACCATATCCCAGGTGACGCGTTCCTCGCGCAGTCCCCTCAACTGGCCAAGCAGATGGCTATCGCCGCTGATTTTGAGCGAGTCTACGAGATCGGACCGGTCTTCCGTGCTGAGGATTCGAATACTCACCGACATCTTACCGAGTTCATCGGCCTTGATCTGGAGATGACGATCGAAGAGCACTACCACGAGGTCAAAGAGCTTCTTGACGGAATGCTCAAGACTATCTTCAAGGGTCTAAAAGAGAGGTATGCGAAAGAGATCGCAGTGGTCAGCAAGCAATTCGAGGCGGAAGAATTCAAATGGAGGGAAGAGACCTTGACTTTGACGTTTAGAGAAGCAGTGGACCTTCTCGTCGAGGATGGTGTCGACCGCGAAAATCTGGATGATATCAAGTGGGCGTTCTGAAATTTCAATGATAAATACGCTGACATCTGTGGGTTAGCACGGAGAACGAGAAGAGGCTTGGACGGCTTGTAAAGGCAAAGTATGATACCGACTACTTCATCGTCGACAAGTTTCCCTTCGAGCTTCGTCCGTTCTACACCATGCCTGACCCTAATGACCCAGTACGTAAACGTGTTATTTATCTTGGCGTGGCGCTTACTCTTTTCATCCAGACCCTCACCAACTCTTATGACTTCTTTATGCGTGGCGAGGAAATTCTTTCCGGGGCACAACGCATCCACGACCCTGAATTCCTCTGCCAGCAAATGAGAGCAAAAGGTGTTGATCCTGAGAGCATGAAGGGCTATATCGACGGATTCCGTATGGGATGCCCTCCGCATGGCGGAGGAGGCATCGGTCTCGAGCGGGTACTCATGTTGTTCTTAAAGCTGAACAACATAAGACGCGCCTCCCTCTTCCCAAGGGACCCCAAGCGCCTTGAGCCTTAGAGCAATCACGAATGATACATATATAGATTGACACGAATAAATGATATCTACTGTTTGCCACATTTGTAACATCACATCGCAAGTAACCCCACCCCAAATGCTGAGTGTTGTGTCGAATTAAATTGTAAGGTGAAGGCGAAAAGTGTCCATGCGTAATACATGAGATATGTGGGTAGTAGATGTAGAGCAAAGATTGACATTCGCAACGAATTTACAGAGCATTACACAGCACAAATGATACTGGAATATTCGCGCGTTCAGGTATAATTCGGAGTCAAAGCCCTTGGGACTCACCATCATAATCCAGTCATATAAAACCTCGTATGTCACCGTCTGTCTCGTCTGCTACGACGCCTCTCTGACCGCTCGCTGTTCCCCTGACCAATTGCACTAGGAGGAATACTACCCCCTTCCAGGGCTGCAGCGATCACATCGGCTGGTAAGTCAATATGAACGCCCTCCGCATATGTGAATGCATCCAACGGTGAATATGCTGGTGGATCGCGCCTCATAAACGTCGGAGATCTCGCTTCCGACGCGTCATCCGATCCTTCTGTCGATGCAGAGCTAGTGAAGGCCTGCAAATGAATATCACGCTGATTAGGCGTGGGCGGATTCGGCGAACGGGGCGAATCAGGCGGTGGATGTACCTGAATGGTCAAGTCGGAACCTGCGTGTTGCATCGCGGCCAGGAAGTGAGTAAAGGATTCGCGCCGAAAGCGAGGGATGCTAAAAAGGCTGCTCGCACCTGCGGCACCTTCGCTTTCTGGCGATTGTGAACGCGAGGAGGTTGGTGACTGGGAGGGGGTGCCCTCTCCGTCCTCCTGCTCGCTCTCGCCTTCTGGCGTAGGGTACAATGGAAGCGTGTGATTTGGTGGCGTGTGGAAAGGTAAATCTGTTGGAGACAGATATTCTTGGCCATTTGAGGGGTCTGTGCTGTCGGGCTCTTCGATGATGGGTGTAATCGGTGGGGGAGGACTACCAGGATCCCCAGTATGTGATGATATGGGAGTGCCTCTAAGTGGCGAAGAAGCGACAGGAATAGATGCTGAGATTGCATTGCTCGGTCTTCGAGAGCGGTGAGAGCGTCTGCGGGGCGTGGAAGAAGTGCCCGGCGGAGAAATAATTGGGGCGCTGGGTCGTACGCCACCTCCCACATCCAGTAAGATACTGCCTCGTTCGCTCCCATAGGCAGGTGGGGGTGCCAGAGTTCCCACGGTCGGGGCCAGACCCCACTTCTTTACGTTCGCCTCAATAAAGACGAAGCCAGCTTGGCCGAGGTTGACATGGACACTGCATGGACCATCTGCTCCAATTGTGGGAAATAGATTGTAACGATTGAGGCCGATGAATGCATCTTCCATCTTACGACCGTTCCTAGTGAAGAACACGGTTCCTGTGCGAGGACGATAACCAATGCCAAGAACATCGCCTTCTTTGAGTAGAGGACCGAATGGTGATGCAGTGAAGGGATAATTGTAACACTTGTCACCGTTGGAATGGTAAGCGACGGAGAAAGGGTTTAGACCTGGAAGTCGGAAAGGTGGATAGGGTTTGGTGGCCAGTCCAACGGCAACTGTAGTAGTTTCGGGAAGATCAAACATCTTGACTTCCCAATAGTAGACCTCGTTCAATTTGGGTAGGGGTAAATTTGACTGCACGCACGAGGCGGATGCAGGATCGGGAAGGAAGGTGATTTCCGTGCGAGCATGAACCAAAAGTGAATTAATAGTTTCGTAGTCTGGCTCAAAGGACCATGCTGAGACACCCTTCTCCTGGATAGAAAGGAATTGAGATAGCGTGATATCTGTAGGCTCCGAGTTCGGAGCATATTGCAATTGGTAATCTGAGCGAAGAAAGGTTGCATGAATATGGGATCAGGAAATTTTGAGAAACAAAAGGGACCTTTTGCTCTGAGATATGAACGTCGAACATTTTCAGAAACACTCTCGAGCCAGCGAGACTCCACGCCTTCAAAGCCTCCTTCCCCGTCTATAAGTTCCTCTCGACTCATGTCGGTAGGTCCATCACTGTCTCGCAAGACGATACCGCGTCGTCTTCGAATGAATATAACACATACTAGAAAGATGAGGAGAATGAAAAGGAAAGTGGAGAGCACGATAAGCAAAGGTAATATGAAGAGAAGAGCATCTGGCGCAGGCTGTGAATTGAAGTTATCTCTTGAGGTCTGAAAGCTACCCAGGGAGTTGTCGACGATGTGACTGATGTTGACGACGACCTGTGTGGCCATAATGACCAAGGAATTAGGTTGATTTTATGAGCAATAGCTAAGTGTGGTGTGGTGAGTACTCTAGCAAAGAAGTGTAGCTTAGCTTTGGGTGAACGGGCAGACAGGAACGTAATCCGGCATAAGCCGAGCCACTCCGGGTGATATTATTATTAATGAAGCGTGGGAAATACACCTTAAGCATTAACCTCTGCGATGAACACGACGCTCTTACCATCCGTAGCTCCCTCTCCGAAGACGCTCAAAAGAAAGGGATCAACGAGAAGACGCGCCCCCTCTCATATACCTCCACCTCAATCTCAGGAAACTCACGACGCTGCCCTACATGCCATTCGTAACCTCCTCAAAGGAAGAACTTCTTACGATGCATTCCCTGTTAGCTTCAGGCTCATAGTCCTTGACACTAAATTGAATGTCAAAAAAGCTTTACAATGTTTGCTTCTCAATGGTAATCCTTTAATCGCTACTATTCACCTTTCCTCACTGTCACCACAGGTGTGGTCTCTGCACCATTATGGAACAGCGAAAAGTCAAAGTTTGCTGGGATGCTTACAGTCTTAGATATAATACATCTCATTCAATATTATTACGACACAGCAAATTATGAAGCTGCTGCTGCAGACGTGGAGACCTTTAGGCTAGAATCAATACGAGGTACGTATACGGGCTGCCGCGGTATCGTATCCCTAAACTGATCATCTTCTGCTCTTAACTTAGATATCGAGAGGAGCCTTGGTGTAGCCACCCCTCCAATGCTAGCAGAACATCCAAATAGTACCCTTTACAAGGCTGCCAGAGTCTTAATTCAAACACATGCTCGCCGATTACCTCTCCTCGATTATGATACAGAAACAGGTCACGAAGTCATCGTTTCGGTCCTCACACAGTATAGACTTCTCAAATTTATCTCTATAAATGTAACATAACGCCCTGCCTTCACGTAAGATTTTCATTCACCTTACCTTTCTAGTGCACGAGAGAAATTCAGCAACTCCATCTCTCGCTCCGGAAACTCAAGATCGGTACCTATGTTTCATCAAATCCACCGCCCCCAGACCCGGAAAACCCGGAAACTCAGAATCCATATTATCCGATCGCAACCGCCACGCTCGATACCCCTGTATTTGACGTCGTCCATATGTTTTCTGAGCGTGCCATATCTGCAGTCCCTATCATCGACCAGGACGGCGTTGTCGTGAATCTGTACGAAACAGTAGATGTGATCGTACGTCATGTCCTATTATGTGTATACCAAATCTTATCCCTTTTGCAGACTCTTGTGCGTCTAGGAGCGTATCAATCCCTTGACCTTACGATATCAGAGGCCCTTAACCAACGCTCTCCGGACTTCCCGGGAGTTGTCATTTGTACAGCTGGCGATTCGCTGGGAACACTACTGGAGCTAATCAAGAAACGTAGAGTCCACCGACTTGTCGTCGTGGAAGGAGATGTAAGGCCTTGTTCTGACTTACACACTCACTATACCAATCATACTCTTACAGGAGGAGGAGAAGAAAGGCGGAAAGAAAGGACGCCTACTTGGCATAATCACACTGAGCGACGTTCTTCGGTACGTTATCGGTGAGGTGGGTATCGGCGAGTCAGTTGAGGAGATTGCGGCCCTGTCCGCTGCTCCAAGCACACTGCTCTCTCCAGATGTTATTTCATGATGATGGCGCACAGAAATGAGGGGTTCGTCGCCGAGTTTCAGGTTTTCGTTATCTTATGCGCTTTCAAATTCTCAGTTAGCTGGATCTGACTAGCAATTGTATGTTTTGCATGAGCTGTACCCGTAGATGTCATAGGTTATACAATAATGTTGCCGTCTTTGTGGGAGCAGCTGTGAATAGTAGTCAGCAGACGTGCGGAAGGCCTGTGGTGTGTAAACTTGTGGCACGCGACGGCCTCATTGTACACAAGGCACTATACCATCAACCACCATGACCGCTATCCAAGCCGTCTACGTACGCGGGCACGAAGAACGCTCCGATCCTAAGCCTCACATTGTTTACCGCATCGAAATTCAAGCCCATGTCCGCTCATGGCAAATGTGGAGACGCTATTCCGAGTTCGTGGAATTACACACAGAACTCACAAAGTCTACAGGCTCTTCACCCCCAGCACCTCTACCACCCAAAAACTCCCTCGCCATCCTCCGCGGACCTTTCAGAGATAGTAGTAGCATGACCGAGGAGCGCAGGGCTGGCCTCGAGACATACTTGCGCGCCATAATCAGCGCAAAGGATGATAAATGGCGAGAATGCTATGCCTTCCGCGACTTCCTTGGTGTGCCAGTCGGCCGCTTGGGCACCATGGCTGAAGGCAGCACATCCTCTAAACAGTTCTCTTCTTCCTCCTGGCTCGACGAGCACCTCGAGCTGCAGGCCAAGATTCGTGACATCCGCGCAGATATAAACAAGCGGGATGCGCTCTCTGACCGGGGAGACGTCAGTGCATCGCATACTGCGAATGTTCAAGCGAAGAAGAAGCTCGCGGAAACCCTTTCTCGGGTACGTACGCTCAAGCAGGGTCTGCAGGAACTCGGCATGGCAGCTATGGCGCAGGGAGAGCTGCAACGCCGTACAGATATGGTCGCACGCTTGCAGGACGACTGCGAGAAGCTGGGAAAGATGGTCACCATCACTCGACAGGCTTCTCGTCCTACGGCAGCCCCTTCCTCACAGGGCTTCACAAATGTTGCTATCGCTCCCGAGTCGGATCGGGCTGCACTGCTGAGCCTTAGCAAACCAGTCACGCGAGTGTTTGGGGCTAAGAAACCTCAAGAGACGGAGGTGACGAGACCGCTTGACGATCAGGGTCTTGTGCAGTTGCAGAACACTCAGATGGAGCAGCAAGATGGTCAACTTGCTACACTCACGCACATACTACAACGCCAGAGGCACCTTGGGGAAGCAATCGGTGCTGAGCTTGCAGTGCACAACGAGTTGTTGGATGAACTTAATAACGATGTTGAACGTGTTGGGGGTAAACTGAGCAGCGCAAAGAAGCAGCTCAACCGCCTGGGATGAGTGAGATCAGGGCGGTTTTCCAATTTTGAGTAGGGATGTACGAAGTGCTACACATATACCAATAGTTAACATCTAGAACACATTGAATTAATGTAGATGATGATGATAATGATGATGATGACGATGCATTGATGCTCCATGAAAATATAATATAGGTCTAGCTAGTCTTGCTCCTTCTCCAAAAATTTGCCAACTCCCTGGAATAACTCGGTAAGCCGTATGTTTTAACAGTGTAGAGTAACCATACCTCAAAACATGCAATCATGATCCCGCAAGCTGGGGCAATCTTGGCTGTACGAGGAAGAACGCCAGCAAACAAGGCAGCGGTGCCTTCAGTGCGAACGATATGAGCCAACAGCGGTATCGTAGCTGTAGTCTGTGATGACATGGTTCCAGTCATGAGAAGCGCTTGCCGTCGGGTTTTCAAAACATCGAAGGGTGAAGTTACTAATGACGCGGTTGTCCCACTGATAGCACCGCATGCAAAGGCAACGTATGCCCCCTTCTTTCCTCGGCTCTCGAAAAATCCTTTCCAAGCCTCGTAGCCCGCCCAATATATGCCGCTAAAAGGTACATCACGCCACAAGGTAGGACCAACACCACGCCATAGGAAGGAGATGCCTTGTTTCTGGACGATTGAACGCACGGAAGCAAGGACAGATGGAAGTGTATGTGGTTTGTCGGGGGATGCTGGAGTCGATTGCAGGTTGGTTCGTATGAGCTCTAGTGGTGAGAATAGGGAAGTAAGAGAAGCGCGAGCCGTAATACCAGCTACGAGAGGGATGAACGTAGGGGAGGGAATAAGGGGAGGGAGTACATTTCGTAGAAGATGGTCATAAGTGAGCATGTATATCGATGATGAGGGAACGCCGATGAGTCTATTGCATGATGAGAACTGTGACCAAAAAATGAATCGAGTTAGCTTACAGTGTTGTGCCAGCACCTTTCCATAATCCCCTCATACCTTCTGCTCGCCATACATGGCGGACAGCATCCAAGAACCCATTCACACGTTCTGTGCGGTATACGCCGTGATCGAAAATACAGACGACCTCTTCTGTGGCTAGCGGACGTGCATACGAGGACATGTTGCGTACGCAAGGTATATGTGCTGGCTGACAGCATTTATTAAGTGGTGGTGGTGAAAAGAGAGGCACCCTAGGTTGAGTCTGAAGACGGGTCTTCACGACGTCAAAAGGAGTCACTGAATATAATAAATATCAAGGAATGAAGAAATGATTGAAACATACTTGTAAGTGCGGTCATCGTTGACCCCGACGCCGCAGCTACGAGTTTAGCATGGAACGGATCCATGGCGGAGGAGGAACAGAAATTATTCTGGCTTGCCTGACGGTTCCCGGTGTGCCGGCGGTATCACGGAATACCGGCAATGACCGGGAAATTAATTTTGTGAACAAGTAAATAAACTTGTTGATCACACACAACAACCGACCCCCGGAAGCCTTCGCCAACAAGAACTGATTTCAAGCTTCATTCGATCCTTTGATCAATATCTTTTCAATCTTGTTAACAGACTTTGATAGTCTTGAAACTCAAAAGCAACAGGATTGCAAACCCCGCTCACTTCACCATGGCTGCTCTACCTGCCTCCTTTCAGCATGCTAACAAGGCTGCTATCGCCGCGGCTCTTGCTGAGAATTCAGAATCTATTGGAGCAGACGTAGAGCCTGGTGAAATTCAAGAAGTAGATATGCAAGCGCAGGCAGACGACATTCGCACCGTCTTCAGTCACCCTACCAGCTTCAATGTAAAGGTGAGCAACCGAATTGACTGGCCGCTTTAGAGTGTTCATTTTTCTCCTATACAGCATCCTCTATACTCACCATGGACCCTTTGGTTCGATTCCCCTGCTACTAAAGGCCGTAACCTCCCCCAAACTCCCATTTCTTCCTTCCCCCAAACTCCCGTTCCTCAGACTCCCAGTGCTGCGGCTGCACAGGGATGGATGGAGGATATCAAAAGAGTTGTCAGCTTCGACAGCGTTGAAGAGTTTTGGGGGCAAGTCCCTTTCTCCTATGTCGAAGACTGAAAGCTTACCAAGGCATAGCCTCTACAATCACATTGTACCTCCTTCACAGCTCCCCCAGAAAGCAAATTACTACCTCTTCAAGGTACTTATTTCGTATAATCGTGTCTTTGTTTACCTAACAGCGCTTTCAGGAGGGTATCATACCTGCATGGGAAGATGAAGCCAACAAGAATGGAGGCAAGTGGAGTATACAGCTGCCCAAAGAGAAGAATCGCAGTCAGGTTGATAAAATGTGGCTTTACACTGTACGTCTCCCTTTCATCTCTTGATCTTTTTATTTTGACTGCTGCATAAAGATGCTTGCTGCTATTGGTGAAACCTTCGATCCTCATCTTACAAGCGGGGAGGCAACTGAACCCAATACTCAATCGCTTATCACCGGTGTGATCGTATCTACCCGACCGCAGTTTTACCGTTTATCAATTTGGACGCGCCTTGCGCCTTCTGGAGATGAGGACAAGTTACGTGAACGCATCGAGACAGTTGGACGGCACTTCAAGATTAATGTACTAGGCTATCCCGAGACCCAAAAACTGGCCGGTCCTCTCGCAACCGAGGTTGAGTTCCTTTCGCACAAGGATTCTGAGAAGAAGGGCAAGGCAGCGAAGAAGCTTGTCATTTGAGTGGGTGCATAAGTTTGCTATTATATCGATTGAGCAAAGTTATAAATAGATTTGCTGGATATGCCTCATTCATTTGTATGGTGTCCGGATGAATATTCTCATTTCAAGCTCATGCTGCTGCTGCGATACACAATATTGAAATCACTCTGTACCTGAAGCTGTGCATTGCTGTGCACCCTTGGCAGTGCAACTGCGTAACGCTGCGTGTGACGTAATTGATGTGACTGCGTATCATGTCTCCTGTATAAAGACCCTACGACAACAGCTCCAAACGCAATAAAATCTCTCTCTAACCACTCATCTTCACATCCTTAGGCTATTCCACTCCATGTCGGTGTCAAGTTTCTTGTCATCGTTTGCCGATAAGGCACAGAGTGCCATCAATCAGACCCCTCTCGCTGGCCATATCCCCGGCACCACCCCCGGCACCACCGCCGACCAACCATCTGCCAATCAATCCGCAGCTCAGGGCGGCCATCGTTCAGTGGCTTTGGAGGCACTGCAGCATCAATTTCGCACAATTGGACAACAATATACCACCACCACACCAGTGCAAAGAATCATCACATCTGAAAAGGGTGTTGCAATCGATTGCGATGCCCTTGCTAGGGATGCGAAGGTGCAAAGCAAGGAATTGTACACATGGGGTCAGGCACAGCCAGAAGATCTTAAGGATGGTAGGCCGCCTCTTCCCCAATAACGCGATTTGAGCTAATGAGAAGTTTGACATTTAGTAACGGACAGATTGGCGTACTTGAACTTTGTTCAGGGATCTCTTGCATCATCTGTTGCGATAAAACTCAACAATGCACGAGCGCCGTTCAAAGCTCTTCGCGATGCCGAGGCTGTCCTTGGTCCAAAGCGCAACTTCCGTGCTGGATTGCGCACCCAGATTTCTCGTATGGAGCATAATGTGGAGAAGGGCATGGAGCAGAAGCTTTCTGAACTAAAACAGACACTCGCCAAGGCTGAACGTGTCGACGAGCCCCTCGAAAAGGAACATGAGATCTTGAAGCGGAAGGCAGTTCGTGAGAGTGAATCGCAGAAGTGGGACGCTATACGCGAGGTAAATTACTTTGTGCTGCTATGAAGGTGTACTGACACATTTTTTGCAGTTTGGAGAAAAACTAGTCCTATTGTCGCAGGCTTCCAAGCCTATTATTGCCGTCTTGCCACCAATTCCCCCTTCACCTTCAAGTCCTTATACAGGAGCTCAGGAAACAGCCGCTGCTCGTGCTGCGCTTCAGAACGCACTGGAAAATTATACTCCCGGAAGCACATCCTTTGCCACACGGCCCGGTGCAAATCTTTCGCGCGCCGACACCCAATCATTTGGGGAGAGTCACGCTTCGGAACTGCACAGTCTCGCATCCAACCCTGAAGCAAACGCTGGTCATCCAGGTGTGCCCATCACACCTCCACCTCAAGACGCAGAAAAGTTCGGAGACGCGTCGCACTCTCCTCCTATTGACCCGAGGACACTCAATCTATCTCCTGCACCAATTCCGGAAGATCACTCGCTTCCTCCTATCGCAATCCCGGTAGACGCACCTACGGTGGCTGAAACTGGTGTTCCCGTACTTGCGAGTGCATCTGGTCCAGGCCCTGCTAGCGGCTCTCTTCGTGACATACGCCGTGCCTCAGATGCTGCGGGACCACGCAGTGGCGGTCTGCCGGGAAACTCACCATCTGATGATCTATATGGACAGCCACACGAGACTGCAGCAGAAGAGAAGAGTCGCCTTGAGCGCGAGGAACGCGAGCGGGTATCCGCAGCGGGGACATCCTCTACTTCTGAACACGAGTCTGCCGAGGAGGAGAAGAAAAGACTTGAACGGGAAGAGAGAGAACGTGTTCTTGCTAGCGCTGGCACTGACAGCGGAAATGCACACAGCGAGGTCAAAGATGGTGATGAGCTTCCCCCATACCAGGACATTGAATAAGTAGGGTCTGATATTATTTATCGTCAATATCTCAATTACTTTGTGGATTTTGTTCGTATGCATTTACAAGTTGTACCATTCTTATGCAATGTATTCATTCCATTCATATACCCAAAGTTTGGCAAGATCAATGGAGATTGGAAGCTTCTAATCTGCAGGGAAGAGATCACTTTTTGAGATAATCAGTGATTATCTGGTGGACTGTAACCTTAACCCTAATAAACCCCAGACAAAAGGTATACTACGCACGGTCCTCCTTTCCAACTACTCCAACATTACCTTGAAGATGGACACTACGGATCTCGAGACATATCAAGTTCAGCTCTCTCAAGTCGAGCTCGCACTCCAAACAGATACTGAAAATGCCGGACTCCTCTCCCTCCGTTCGGAACTACAAGAACTTATCTCTCTCACCCAACAGTCGCTTGCGCAAGCCGCTTCCTCATCACGTACAGATGCTGTCCGTAAGACAGCAAATTCAACACCTTCACACACATGGACTGCAGGAAGCGACTGTCTCGCCAAATACTCAGGTGATGGCAATTGGTATCCTGCACGCATTACCAGCGTTGGTGGCTCCGCAGAGAACCCTGTATACAGCATCATGTTCAAAGGCTACAATACGACGGAATTGATAAAAGGGTCAGAAATCAAGGCACTACCAGCAAATCACCAGGAGAAAGTATCAGCGCCGAGCAAAAGAAAGCTAACCAAAGCAGAGGACGAGGAGAGAGATCGGAAGAAGAAGCGCAACGAGAAAAAACTCGAGGTCAAAGCTGCAAAAGCCAAGGAACAACTCGCAAAACAGGCGACGTGGCAGAAGTTTGCTAAGAAGTCTGAGAAGAAGGGCGTCCATATTGCCGGTGTGGCAGGCACCAGCATCTTCAAGACGCCCGACAACCCATTAGGCCGTGGTGCGTATCGTTTCAGTTTGTTTGAACGCAGACTTCTTGATTTCTGATAACGGCCTTGTAGTCGGCGTTACCGGCAGCGGAAAAGGAATGACGGAAGTGGCGATTCGAGGCAAGCATAAATTTGCTCCAACCGACGAACCAAATGCGTAGATGGCGCAGTCAGGGTCCTCTCCTCCATAAGTATGTATGTATCGTACTCATCGCCTCGGAAGCGAGGGGTGTCATGATTCGTGTGATGCTAATTGTCCGTCAACAGCTCGAACTTGACGTCGTCTTATCAAACTATACTAGATGCCCGTTGATGATTCTGTGTTTCCCGTCAATAGCAGGTTTCGCGGACAGAGACTGGTGTCAATGACGCTTGCAGGTATTGATACCGATAATCTATGTGATGCATTTCCCCTCTTCTACTTGTTATCAGGATCTCATCACCGCTTTTCTTCTTTCTCGCCTTATTTATCAGAGACTTCGTTGCTGTCGGCACTTGCGAAGCCGATGTCCGTTGGTGTAATCGTACGTTTGTTATGCGTTATTTTGTGCAGAATACGCTTAGACTCACAACTGTGATGCGTGAAACGGTCCTTGATGGTGCATATGCAGAATGTTCGCATAATGCACCATATGGCGACAGCATGATGCGATACGCGAGAAGGATCTAGAAGAGGATGACTGTCAATGGTGTATCTCGACGTTCATCTGACGATTACTTACTGATGAGTGGCTCGTATGAATGCCGTTCTTCATCGTCACCTTCAAATTGGAATGCGTATCGTAAACAGCAATCGGTGGGCCATTAATATTTTAATTCTTAGTGCGCAAAGAAGTTGGAGTGATCTGTGCAGATTGCGTTTTGATTTGAACGATCTGGGTGAGCTGTGCTTCTTTGCCGCCTTCCACTTTAAATTGAACCATGTTCGCTTCTCGTGATTGTGCGTGACACCGTCGCTGGCATGTACCTGACCACCTGCGTCGAAGATGTGATATGGCGCTTAACCAGTATCAAGTAAGTATTTTGCGAGGTGGCAGCGCAAATTGATTTTTTGCCGACATTACTAGCAAACCAACGACTTTCATATCAAAACAACCTGTCATTTTATTCGGTTGGGCGCTTCTATCTGCGAAGTTGGACAAACACAAAAGGTCCCGTTCAGTTTTCAAGACGGTAGCACCACCCATTCGAATGGTGGTGGGGAGCTATGTCAACCTGTATGAATACCAGTGTTGTGGTAGGATCAAATTATGGTTAATTCTGAGTACTGCGCGCGGTTCTGTTGCCAGAGGATCTCTCAGCTGGAAAGTCAGAAAGTCCGGTCGAGATAAGCGGACACTGGATCAATATACACGATTAATGGTCACAACGGCTGGTTATGGGAGTTCTCGAGAGTGCACCGCTTGACGCATTTGCCGGTTTTAGAAATGATGAGACCAAAGTTGTCTACGACGTAAAAGCGGGTGCCCCGCTGACAACTCGAAGGTGGATGAAATCTGGTCCGAGTCTGTCGATATGAAGGTTGCTGTCAGACTCATCTTCCACGGAAATGAGCCCTTGGAGAGAAGGCCGCTCGCTGGACAATGTACGCAGTACTATCTCTTCATGCCGTTAGCGATTGTTCAACGCTCGCAGAGGCTCGTTGACTTGAATGTGATGTTGGATTTTGTTCCTCGAGTATGCATGGTAGACCCTCGAGATGTTTCACATCTGAAATGGTGAGGAAGTTCAGTGGTCTTCAGCGGCTTTATCAATGATGAGATTTTCAGATCACGATACCACGGCTTCTTGATCACATGGGACGTGCATTCGTCTTTTACATAGCGCTTGTCGTCCCCTTTCTCCGACGGGCTGAGTGTCCAGGGCTTGACCAGGTGTGGCGTTGACCGGCGACTTGGTTGCTGATTGATTGATGTCTACTACCGAGTCCGAGGGGGAGGAGGGACAGGACGAGTTAGGTATTCTGGACGACTATAATCTGAATGATTGATGCTCCTCGACGGTCCTTCTGGCGATTAATTGTTGACGGGGTACATGGATTCGGAAGTAGGAAGGGAAGGGAAGGTGAGTGTGCATTCTGTGCCTTGCTTCGGATGATTGGCATATACGTGTAACCATGAACCCAGTTCAGAACCGCAGTTTGAAGACGTAGGTAATGGAGGAGCCATACGCGCTTGCGATATCGCTTGAGCTGACCGAGGAACGCCACTTGTCAAGCGTATGCTACCAGTCCCATAAACGGAAATGGTCCCTATGAAATTCAATCTGTCGGTTCGCCTTCGGCGGCCTTTTTTTAGATTCGCAGGTGCATTGCGACTTTAGGAACGCTTAATTGCTCAACGATGAATGTCTTCTGTATGTCTGGAACTGAGTATCGAGTAATGAATGTGGTGGGGGATGTCTTTCTCGAACTGAGTATTGAGCAGTGAATCGAAACGATCACATGGGTACGAGTATTGGTGCCGAGGCGCCGACCCCTGACCTGCCCCATCCATGACGAAGCATGCGCCGCCAACTACGCGCACCAGATTGATTAAAGACGCGCTCTACGCGCAACTATTGTCGATTCTGGGTAGCTGGAAATCCTTCTGGACGTCATTAATTAGGCAGACTTTGGTATGTAGGAGCGGCATCTGGGGGCCCAGTGATCTTGCGCGTGTGGGTACAGCCTGCGCCGAGAAGTCGGGCCATATTGCTCGCTAGAGGCATGGTCACTCGTCTTGTATCGGCCCGGGCAAGGTGTGGTACCATGTTCTGTAATTGCAAGTAGCACGACTTGTTTGCATAATCATTAATCAGCTCCATGAGGCGCAACTAGGCCGCTATCGGAGACCTGCTCAATTGAGTTCATCATAACAGTTGCTCAGATTTCCTCAGACGACTTAAAGTTGCCTGCAATGCTCATATCTAAATACATACAAGAGGACCCACAAACTGTAACTACTGAATGATGAAATACAAAAGAAATCAATGCGACGGAGGTGTTACAAGAACAGGCAGAATGAACGGGAACCAAAAACGACGTATACCGAATAAAACTGGTATCCAGAAGGCAGAATGCAACGCCGTTATCTTAGTCGGAGGGGAGCTGACGTTGGTCAACACCGCTCAACGATATACCGGTTCCTAAAAATACGCGATCGCTACTAGTAGTAGTAGCACCGATATTCGCGGAGTCAGATGGGTAGCTGCTAGCCGTCTGATCGATGACATCAACCGAATGTCGTCTCATGGGAAATCCTGCCCCGTGCGCCGCCATTACTTCAGCGGAGAGATCCAAAAACTGCGGAGAGATCGTCAGTGCTCCACAGAGGAATGGAAGGAGGGGTTGACTTACCACCTGCTCCTCTTCCAGCGTATTTTCATGAAGGCGGCGGTTTGTGTTTTGCATGTGCACAAGCAATGTTCTGATGCTGCGAGAGCTCAGACCCCGATAGGTAGAAACGCGCTCGAGGTCAAGCGGAGCTGTGTTGACGAGATGCAATTGCTCGTGCAGATATAAGACATAATGTTCGAGACACTCCAGATAGTGGCGTTTTTTCTCGTGTGACGAAATAGTGTCGCTGGAAAATATCGGTCAAGGTCTGGAGTTGAATTCGTTGAAACAAAACAACTTACGGATCGGTAGGAATAAAACCTATCTCTTCGGCAACGGCACGTTGTCGTGCCTTGCGTTGGCTTTCTGTCTTACTCGTGTTAGGTGCAGCAGAGGTAGGAGGCTCAGTGCTACGTTCACTGCTCTGAGACTGCTCGCGCTGTGTCTGGTGAGACACGGACGAGGAGGCTGAGAGAGTGGTGGGGATCTGAGCAGACGGTGTTGAAAGGTCTGTAAGAAGTTCCGAGGGGGTTGGGAAAAGAAGTTGGGGGGCGTTTGCATAATAATTGAGAATGTCGGTATTGATGGTTGTGGACTGCGGGGGGGCTTGATTTAAAGAAGGGGTGTATGGGACGTGATGGTCGTAGTACGTTTGCTCCACGTATGGTGGTGTGATTTGACGAGAAAAGTTTGGCATGAGAGGTGGGCCGTAGGGGACTGGGACTGGAGTATGCAAATGCATCTCTGGCTGTGCCTGTGTGTCTGAGTAGTCGTAAGATTGAATAGACGGGTAGGAATAATTCAAGGGGATCGAAGGATCTTCAGGCAAGCCGTAGGGGTCGCGTCTAGAAGTGTAGTCTGAAGATGGAGCAAGATGCAAGCTAGTAGGGTCAGTGAATTGTTGATGGTATTGAGGATCAAAGTCAGTAGATGGGATGGGATACATGATTGCTGGGGTTCGAAATGAGCGAATGGGGAGGCTAAATAGAGAGAAATAATATTATAGAAATGAAAATGACATGCATATGCTGACTGGTATATAATTGATTAGATTTCGTTAAATGGAAACTAGGAGCCGAGGGAAATGAATGTTCGCCGATGAGAGGCAAGGTTCAGGGTAACTGAGTCATCTACTGGAGTGAGAAACGTTTATGGGTACTCGCAGATCATGAGCCGTAATACCGCAAGACTGGTTTGTGTCTGAAGGCTAATTCAGTTGGATGATCAACGTTGTACTAACGAGATGGTAGCCTCAAATCGATTTCGTCCGAGGGTTAAGCGTGAGAATATTAGACGGGTACTCGCGGACTTGAATTTAGATTGTCGCGGCCGTGTTATCTCTTTCGTCCACCTCTTAAGCGCCGCGGGCCCGGATCGTGGCGCCAGAAGCCTCTCCCGGAAAAACTGCGGCTGAGACCTACCACGACGGAGAAGTAGTAACAAGATTGGCGATCTTAATTTAAACCAGTTCGGCCAGTCCAATGTTATATATATAATATATTTCTACCTTCAATATTTCCTTCATTCCAATGAATTCTACAATCTCCATCTACCCCATGTCCACATTCCTCCTACTCATATCATGACTCGCCGCCCCCTTACCATTACTCCCCATATCTCTTTCCACAACAGAAAGACCACTCTTCCTTCATAAAGTCTAGATTATCCGAGAGCCCCGTATCTACAGACCAATCTTCTGATACCTCCTCCGTCGAACACCCATCTCGTGATAATTCACATAGAGCATCTCGTTTCACTATCGCACACCCATACGCCCGCCTTTACGCAAAGAAGGACGGTTCCAAGCGACGAAAAATATGGAACCATGTCCTCGAGAAACAACTCTTTTCTCCTCAGGAATTGTCCGTCTTCCATTCACTTCAACTCACTCACTCATTAATTTCGCTTTCAGGTCAACCATGGGCGCACCGCACAGGCGTACCATTTACATCGCCTCTCTCGAGGCGCACATCGATCGGTTACACAACCAGCTGCTCGGGATCGGCCTTTATCCAATCCCGTTTCAACGCCTCGAGCCATACCGGGGCCTTAATTCAAAGACGGCCAAGGTAACAATTCAATTTATATTTACATTTTAAACCAGCCGCTCATTTATTTTTACAAAGAGTATGGTAGCTGGATTACAGCACGATGCTACCCACACAAAGCTCAAGTTGCTAGAGCTCGAACGTTCGGTACATTTTTCGTTTATTCACCTCCAAAACCACATATTAAACTAGCTTTATCGTAGAATAATAATCTGCACAAGCTGCTCGGCACCCAAGCAACTTCAACTTGCTCCATTTCTCTTGAAGCAGATGTACGCCGTCACTCTATGGATTCACCCGGAATGGCCTTAAACGCAAGGACCGCCATCAATTCCACAGGCCCGATGATCATGGATTCCCTTGCCTATTCGGCAAGATCATAGTCCCCTATTTCGCTGCATTCCAGGGTCATGTGGTCATTTATACAACCAACTTATGTATTTCTTTAATCGCTTGTTCATCGCACCTGTATCGTACATAATCGAACCACGGCATTCCCTATACTTATGCTACTGCTTACGAGGCTACCAGTATATAATAGACCTCCCATCTGCAAGGTTCAACGTGTACAGTAGATATATTGTTCCCAAATGTGACTACCTCGGGAAACGCCTATAATGTCTCTTCGCCTTCTTGTTCTTTCACCCTCTCCCTAGAGGAACTAATCGATATCTTTCGTAAGCGGCAGCCGCTAGTACTGGTCCTAGTTATCGGCAATTAATGACACCCTTTCAATGCTCAGCCTACTAGTGCACGGGTACAACCGTCTTCGCGGCCCCGGCGCTGCCTTCATTTCAGCTCGTTTGAAATTCATATCCATCCCCTCGATGTGCCACCCGTGAACTCAATCACATGCCCTCGATGTGCCACCCGTGAACTCAATCACATGCCCCCTAAGGTCCCACGCCGCCCGACTTTCGATACCGACTGCGTGCCACAAACGTTTCTAGGGACGTACAAAGGACACTCATTCCCAAAGTTCCGACGATCGATTTTTTAACCCGAAGATCACCACTAACTCCTTAAGACAGTATCGCCGCCCTCGTGTTATTGCCCTACGAGGTCAGGGGATCTTTTTCCATTATCAGCTACGACGATCCCGAATTTCGAAAGTGAACAACCCTTGTAATAATGTGATAGGAACCCGAACAGCTTTGGATCATCCGTTTCAACTCGTAATTCGACATAGGGTCTTGACAATCAATCTGATTTTCTTTGAGAACATTACTCCCATATTCCGCTTTTGTCAAGTTTGACCCGCGTGTCCTGCTTGGCTTTGCTTCCTTGCGGCCGTCCGGCTCTCTGTGCAGCACGTTTTGTGTGATACTTTTTTTGCTGGCGCGAACGCTTGGCGAGGTCAGATGCGACCCTCTCCCGAAAAGCAGCGTCCTGTAGGCTCAGAGAAGCGGCCATCTTTGCCAAGCTATCAGGCGAAGGCGAGCGGGAGCGTGGCGGTGATCTTGACAACCGAGACATGCGGCTGTTGGGCCGAGAAATTGGGTCCGGGGAATCGAACGTGTCAGTGCTTGGCCCAGGTTGTGAACACGATGGCACTTTGGTGCTTAGAGGGGTTTGCATGCCTTCAGGTTCTTGCATCTCCGATTCACTGTGCCCATCACCGGTTTCAACCTGGACGTTGTCTTCATGGCTTTCCAGAACGTCGTCAGCTTCGCCCTCGTCATTTTCTTCCTCCTCTTCCTCCTCTTCCTCTTCATCGGAGCTGTTTTGATCTGCGTCATCCTGGGGTTCGTTTGCTCGAACAGCTTCCATATACTACAGCGTTATTCATAAGAGCTCGAAAGGTGTTAGGTGCAAGGGCCCCCACCTCCTCTAAAGTGTTTTGGTCCTTCTTCGCAAAACCGCTAGCTGCAACCATTACATCCAATCGGAAACCATCATTTTCACCATTTGATTCGGCTTTGACAGTCTTGAACCTGGGGTACAACGCACTTTCGTACTTGAAACGTCGGCGGAAAAAGGTGCGTATACATTCCACATCGCGATTGAAGTACCTTGATGAACACATTAGGCTGTGTTAAATAAGGTCGAGTACTGCGATTGCGCACCATTCGGCATTTTCGTGTGACGTACTGACCATCTGTGGAAAATCAATGACTATCGGTTCGCCACTCTCTCGTCGAATCAGGATATTGAATTCGTTATAATCGCCATGAATAAGCCCCGCCCGCGCAAATCGTACAATGATATCCATTAACGTCGAGTATAACTTGCCCGGCGACGGAACGTCAGCGATCTGTCGTCTGAATCTACCATGAGAAACAAAGAGAGTGGTAGATGAAAGCGTGTGCTTACAGCGGATATGCATCGATTGCTTCCATAAGGATGCAATGCCTAGCTTGATCAACAGGCCGGGGGACCGGGAAATCATGTTCGTGGAGGATCTGCGGTCATTCCGTCAGCGCCACGCTCTCAATAGATTGCATCATAAGTCCTGCAGCTAACTGACTTTCATAAAAGCCCATTCTTTCTGCGCTGCTAGTCGCGACATATACATCCACGACGCCGACTTGCGCTTTCCCATATAATCTCTTTTTTCCTTGATGGCACGAAATGAAATACGGCCTAGCCTGATTCCATGAGTGCAAAGTCCATGGAACCTGGCCTTGTCATCAGCTTACCTGTGTAGTTTAAGGACCAATTCATTGCCCTCCGCGTCTGCAACTATGTATACATCTGTGCCGTGTGATCAGTCGTTCCATAGGTGAATATATTGAGAATCGCTAAAAGCGAACCCACCAGCCTCCTTCCCGACTCCAATCTGGTTTCCAACAGAGTACATCGAGTCTCGCTTGGATAATGCACGCATAGCCAGATAATCGTATCCGCCATACGTTAATCTATATCCATCATCTATCACCGAAAGTCAGGCTTACAAGGAAGACTAAACAAAAGGGCATATACTAACACTTCGAGTTCTGCACTTTAGCGACTAAATTGCGTTTCGCCAAACTCCCGATCAGCTTGTTAACGCCCCCATTTCGAAGGCCGGAGATTTGTACGATGAGGGGAGTTGGGACAACTTCGTGGTTCTTCGATCCAATTTCCACCTGCGTTCGAGTGTTTTGAGATACGGCCATCATCAGCTTGACGAAGGACCCCCTTACTTACTGAAGTCAGTACCCGAAATTCATCCGAGGTGATGTATCGCAGATCTGTTGCGTCAAGCTTCATATTTTGCTTGTTCTGCTGCTAGCCGCGAGTATGGCACAAAGTGAAGTGAGTGAGACTCGGTACGCGAGCATGTAACTGCGATGTAGAACGAACTTGCAATCAAAAATCTCCGCGAACTAATATTGCCAAATTGGAAATTACGGCTTACAAGTAACCTTTCATCAAGTAAATTATTCTTGGTTACGAGTTGGTGCGTGAAGACTGCTCGCGGTGTGTTCTCGGTGTTGATATGAGACGTTTTCGTTATCAGATCGTTCAATCACTCAGTGACCTCGCATAGAATGCGGTCTAGTGCAGTAAATAGAGCCAACAAGGTTTTCCGCGTCTTGTTTGACAGAAAACCTTACTCGAACCATGCCTTAGGCGACTTCAGCACAGCTCGAAGCCTGCATCTCGACATCTAGAGAGTTGAATGGCACCAGGTATGTCTAATGTATTGTAAATTGCGGCATGTTTGTTCACATAACCATACGATTAGATTGCATTTCGCCGTGAAGACTTCGTCAGAGCTGTCCGACGTTGAATCCGAGCGAATATGGAACATCTTCGAGTCCAATATGCACCTGTTGTAAGCTCATGCGATGCTTCATCTTCAAGTATCTCATGATTTACCCCGCTCAGCTACACGACGTCCTCATTTGGCTGGGATCCTCGTTCGAAGAAAGAAGAGATGTTTCACCCACACGCTCGGCTCGTCTTATGTGAGCGACGCGATGATACGCCCTCAGGTAGTGAATCAATTCCGTCAGAATCTCGGATAGTCGCATATACTATCTTCCGCTTCGAACGTGAAGCCAAACAAGACGTGGTGTATTGGTGGGTACAATGCTACAGGTTGCAGACTCCTAGCTCACCGATCGATGAAAGTTATGAACTCCAAGTGACCGAAGAATCTCGAGGACTCGGGGTTGGAAAGCTATTGATGAGCTCTCTGTTCGACATTGGCTCACGATGGAGGATGAAGAATGTTATGTTGACCGTTTTTAAAGGTAAGCTCCGATACACAGCTTCAACTTGCCCTATCCTCATAAATAGTAGCCAATGATGCTGCGTCTGCTTTCTATAAATCTTTGGGGTATGTTCACTTCATTTATATCCCTTGCACCTCCTTGACGAATGAATTTAGCTTTGATCTCGATCCGAGTTCACCTGGATATGTGGAGGATGACTGGCAAGATGAGGAACTAGACTGCGACTACGTCATTTTGTCCAAATCTATACCGTGATCGTTGATAATATCACTCTTAATTATAGGAACTACTCATGTTATAGATCCAAGGACGGAACTCTGTTCTGCGGAAACAATTCGCGTAACTCTCATGTGTGAACTCGCACCTCAAGCCATCTTGTTATGCACTCCGCCGCTACATTGCGGGCACGTCGCGCTAGGTGCGAATACCCCTACCGCGGCACATGTGGCACGAGTGCCACTATAGATAGGTGACTAGGTTTGGTACACAGTACCAGTGTGTTCCTGGTGACGGGTCACCCTCTACGCGGCTAGCGCTGACCTTCCGAATCCTATCTCGATTTTCACTTTTGGTTGTAGAATGGTTTACGGCCGACAACTTTCGACGGCTTGCGCCTTCTTTCAATGTGTGAAGTTCGTGCCTTAGATATTCAGCACGGTAGATTTGTTTGGTTGGCAGTTTTGCGATATTCGTAGGCATCACAGCTTGGGCGCAACCCATTTTGTCATGGAGGAGCTATTCCTGCCCGGATGCTTTACGCCAAGCGTTCACATGACTATCAATTAGGGGCATGCACAAGGGTTCTTCGTCATCCTGGAGCAGAACGTTGACTCCACCCGGCGCAATATTCGAGTACACTCCTCTTGTAAGTAAGGTAGCAGTCGTGCCTACCTCACGTGATTGTGACTGACTGACGCCGCGCAGGATAAGTGTGTAAGCAGATGCCGAGCATTTCTGATATAACTACTCCATGTCTATTAACAGAAAATATTCGCAGTATTACTACCAATGCAACTGTGTAGCCGTTTGATGCATAAGGCTCCTGATTAATTGATATTACAATTTTGTCCTGAGTCACTTTTTCATCACACTTGTCACGTGAGGCAGGTAGAATCCGCACGACTGCTACCTTACTCCAAAGCAAGACTTATGCCGTTGAACGATGTCTCGAAGATCTTACAGGCGCCGGAACGCTTCCCAATCGCGAACATGATCCAGAAGACGCATGCCGTACAGGTTCAATCAGCTAGATAACATGCTTGGTCTTATTTGGCAGACTTTGCTACTAGGACATTTTTGCGAGCACGTAGACAAGTCGAGTGATCTGTGGCGCGGCTCTCGAAAAACATCAGATTTTGTCCTTCTGTTCTCGATGGGATTTCCAGAATTCAAACATCGCATTGTACTGCGGCTTATATCATGTCAGATGAAGGCGAGCCCTTTTAATCATCAAGCTCCGTCACAGCTCCTTTGCTAACTAGTAATAGCCTGCTTTTGATTCATGTAGATTGAGATAAGATCATTCTCATTCGTCGCTCCGTCAGTTTGAGCCTTACGCCCGTGATGCATTCATTAATGTTTGAACCCCGCCTCCGCTCTTGCCCCAACGAATATAAATCCTGACGTACAATCAGCAGAGGAACTCTTTGTAGCGTGGAGTTCGCATGTCAGCTTACTTGATTGATATAGTACATTTGACATCCTGCATCCGAGGCTCAGTTGAGCCGAGTGCGATATATACTTCAAGCTAACACAGACTTCAATGCACCCTCCTCCTTTGTATACCTGGTCTTATCCAACGATGCTCGATAATGGACCCGGACTTTACTTGGCAGTGTCAGCCTTGATGATAGCTGTCTTAAGCTACAGTCGAAAATATTGGCTCAATCATTCGCATCCTCCCCTGCCGCCTGGTCCTACCCCCCTTCCAGTACTGGGAAATGTTCTCAGTCTTGATTCTGCTCGGCCTTGGCTGACCTTCAATGCCTGGAGATCCACATATGGTTGGTACATCATGGCTGGGATCTGTTCATAACAGCTCATCTTGTTCCTTAGGTGACATTATCTATGCTCGTCTCCTCAACAAGCCTGTCGTGGTCGTTAATTCTGAGGAGGTCGCTAAAGACCTCTTTGAACGGCGTTCAAGCATATATTCAGATAGACCCCAATCAATTGTTTACGAAGCGTGAGTTGCATCCTGGGTTGTTAGTCGACATCAATCACTAACATGTTGTCAGTTTCGCTTCAGATTTTAACACGGGGTTCATGCCATATGGAAACAGGTACATAATTGCGTCATTCTATGATATGTTGATGGGTGTCTGATAACAAGCAGGTGGCGCCTTCACCGACGAATATTTCATCAGGCATTTCATCAAGCTGCTACACCTGCTCATCAAGCCGTGCAACTCCGTTCCGCCCGCAAAATGCTGTCCAGTTTTCTACAGGACCCTGACAATTATCCAGACCATTTTCAGATGTCGGTCGCGAGAATTTGTTCAGTCTAGCGCTGAAGCTGATTTTTATCAGGTTTACTTTGACATTCATGCTGTCTATAATATATGACTGTGAAGGCAAAGCTGAGGACGACCACGTTGCCCACGCAATCACAAAGTATGGGGAACTTATAGTCGATGTTTTCGCGCCAACTGCTATGACATTGATGGAAACATTCCCTTTCCGTACGTTCGCACATCCAGTAATTGCATATAAGTAACTCGATAATCCTTCTAGTTTTGAAGCTACCTACTTGGTTTCCCGGTGCCACATTTAAGCAAGCATCACTCAAGTGTATCCAAGCAGGCCATGACGTGAAGGAGATACCCTTTCAATATGTCAAAGAGAGGATGGTGAAGTACCCCACTAGAGGAGGTACATCGAACTAACGAATCATTGATAGTCTGCCAATGACATGGGGCCGTGCTTGGTAGCTGATGCCTTGAACAAGACCGGTCAAGAGGACGTCGTCTATACAACTGCAGTTAAGGAGGCTGCTTCCGTTGCATTCACAGGTATGCAAGTTGATAAACTGTTTCCTCTCGATGCTTATTTTTGTCCTCAGCGGCGACTGAGACAGTGAGTTTGTTGTGGTCTTCGTTTGCCAATCATAATCAGTTTGCAACCCTCGACTCAGAGCACTGCCACGTTACTTGTGTTCCTTCTTGCTATGGTGCTCAACCCGGAGATACAAGCCAAAGCGCAGGCAGAGATTGATCGAGTCGTTGGCAAAGATAGACTTCCTAATTTCAATGATAGACCAGCATTACCTTACCTAGAGGCTGTTTTGCGTGAAACACTCAGGTGGCACCCAGTGGTTCCAATGGGTTCGTCCTAAGCACAGATCATTTCCAAATATCCTTTGACAATATTCGCAGGTATCCCACACGCAACAACAACCAGTGACATCTACAATGGCTATTTCATCCCTAAAGGTTTGTCTCATGCTGATTTAATAATAGCCGCTGACGACTAGTTTGCTAGGTGTTGCTGTATTTCCAAATGCATGGAAAGTCCCTGCTACCCTTATCCTGATATATCCAAATAACGAAACCTTTAGGGCAATGACACACGATACAACGAAATACCCCAGTCCCAACGAATTCAAACCGGAAAGATTTTTCCAAGCAGACGGGTCTCTCAACAACGACAATATGCATTTAGGCTTCGGTTGGGGTCGCCGGATTTGGTGAGTATCTATTCTTCCTTCGCCCTCCGTTGAAAGCAACTGGTCACCGGCAGTGTGGGACGGTATGTCGTAGACGCCTCACTCTGGATCGCGATGGCAAATTTCCTGGCATCTTTCTCGGCCCACAATGCTCTTGATGAACATCCCAGTCGTTCCGAAGTTCACCACTGGTTTCACAATGTTTGTAGAATTTCATCCAGCCCCGAGAGTGGTATGCTGAGCTCTTGTTATTTAGTCGTCCGGAGACATTTCCCTGTCGCATTCTCCAGCGATTCCCTGATGCATCTTTGAAGACGCTGACGCGTTCGACTAACTTAGGTTCGTTCTATCGATAACACCCGGTATTCTCACATACTGACATACAGTGTTAGAGTAATCGTGATTGTGGCGTGCGGTGCGGGTAATACGCAGCCCAATAGCTTTCTACTTTGACTTTGTTGTCTGTGTAAGATGACATTGCGACTACGTTAGTCTATGCCGCGATGTCCATTGAATTTGTTGAGTGTAACTACAACCTGTGTACTCTGAACATGAAGAATTGCCTTCCTTCTGCTAAGTATATATGGTCTGACTCCTGGTAACGGAGTTTCTGGTCCCTGGACCCGTTCGGAGTACAGGTATATGCAAAAAATCACTGTCATTCTTGACCGGAAGTAAGTTTAGTCGCTCTTGTTGTTCGAACCGTCGATGTCTATGTCCCGCTTGTGTCACCTCGGCCTCCGAAACTTATACCACATCTTTCGGGCTTGCCTGGAAGTGATTCATCCTCACCGACATCTGGAAGTTGCTCTATGTCTCCTTTACCGATTCTGCTGCACCAGCATGGCTTTTCACAATACGACATACATATTGTTCCGAGTCTGAGATGCATTCGTGCGGATCCAGCCATAAATTATAAAAGATATGGCATCTGATGCTTTGCATTGGCGCCCAGGCTTGCATCAATCAGAGAGATAATACTTGAATGAGACCACACGTAGTCCAGGATCATCATGGTCTCTTATTTGCTCTCGCAAATTGCAATCCAGTCACGAAACAAGTGCTTACAAGCGGATACCTCGGATAACTGAAGACTACTGTTTCTTTTGCTAACTTCTCTGGGCTGCTGATTTTTTTCAGTATTGTGGATCATATTGCTGCTTTCTAGACATCGTAAAGAAATATTGAGGCCTAGGCAAAATTAATACTGCATGAAGGCAGAAGTGCCCTTTGATAGGCGGCCATGAAGCCGTGTTTGCATCTATTTAGACCAATCCACCTCGAAATTACCCGAGGTACACTGGAGTCGGTCAACTTCAAATCATTATTCCTCATGCCCCCGACCTCATCTCTGCGTGCGCTTCAAGTGAAAGTACCACGCCGCATAACAGGCAGGCGATTTGCATCCCATGGCCCACCACAATTCAACGAGCCTAGCGGTTTGCTTTTTGGCGAAAAGGTGATGTTTGTAACGTTTGTTCAGGACCTCTGGGAAGCTGACAAGATGAGTGCTTTAGCCCCCTGCACCAGGACAAAAGCGAGTGAAAGAGGAGTGGGAAAACATCTGGTATGTAGGGATGTTCGGGTCTATGGCAATGGCTGCAGTATTATTGTACTACAAGCCTGACACAAGGTGGGCGACGTATCTCTTCTGCTGAGCCAGCTCGTTCATCAGTCAACTTGGTCTATACAGCATACAAACGTGGGCCCTAAGGGAAGCCAAGGAACGTATGGAAGCTCGTGGAGAGAAATACAAATACGAACCATCATCATGAATTTCATCAACTACCTTACCATCTCATTCTGACAATCCATACTGGTACTCGAGATAGAATGCATTGCAAGAGCTGATGACGTCTAAACATCTATGATAATATAAGTAATAACAAAGGTATGGCAGTTGAGGCCAGGTCTTGTATTGTTGGTCAAACTTAGTCTCCTGCAGGCAGACCAAATAGAAGGTAGATAGTCACTCCTTCAGTATTATGATTTACGCTTCCCAAGTCGCTTTGTAGCGCTCGAGCGTGAGCAGTGCATTGATCTGTTACAATAAGCTGCTGTTAGAATCCTTACAGAAACGTGTGAACCACTCACTTCCTCGGGAGCAGAAAGTTTGATTTTACACAGCCAACCTGCAAGCCTCATGTTAATTACTCTGCTATAACTCAATCGGATGTGCAAAATATTACCTTTTTCTTCGGGAGAGCGGTTTAAGAGCCCAGGTTCAGAATTCAAGGCCTCGTTCACCTCAGTGACAATGCCAGATACTGGTGCATACTGTGTAAACGAACATTCATGAGCTATGGGCCAAAAAGCAATCAGTGTCTCTTAACTATATCCGAGGCTGCCTTGACGCTCTCAACTGCACCAATCTGGTCTACAAATGGGTTTTAGCGCGTTGTTCACCTGTTCACAGAAAACGGGTACCTACCGCCTTTTGAAACTTTCGTGCCTACGGCAGGAAGCTCCACGAACACAACATCTCCAAGACTCTCCTGCGCATGATGCGTTATAGACACAGCACCCAACCCAGTCTCATCGTCAAAAGCAACGACTTCGTGCTCCTCGGTGTACTTTTTTGCTAGTCGAGATTGTTAGATAAGGGTTCACTCGGCGGGTGGTGGGTTTCACTCACTAACGATAGTCCGACAACCGGGAATGCGCATGATATTCGAGGGACTTGTCCTCGCAGTCGTCAAGGACATCGTTCGCGCACGAGCAGCTTGTCTGATTGTAGAGAACATAATTAAGTTGCTGAGGCAAGCGAGCGTAAGGTAGTTGATGCAAGTGAGGGTGTGAGGTGTGAGACAAACAATCTTGGCATTGCATTTTAGAACCTTGAAACAACCGACGTTTACTTCAGGGATGACGGGTGACACCGGTGACGGACAGCCGTAGGGAAAATCGCCAATAGTGGCTTCAAGGCGGCCACATAGATAAACGACAGATGTAGTGCATAATGAACTCTGAGTCTACTTTTGAACATGATGCTGAGGGGGGATGCAACAACACTACAAGTGAAGAAAAGCAAGGATTACGACAGAATAGTATATAATAATCTAGTATCATTCATGCATACTCCAGGATCTTCGTGACGATACCAGTGCCGACTGTATCGTGGTCGTTCAGCTGGGACCTGATGGAGTGTATGAAATCAAAACTTACTTGTCTTGCCACCTTCACGAAGAGTAAAGCGGGAACCAGCCTCGGCGGCAACATCGTGGACCAGCTCACAAACCATCTCGACATTATCTCCGGGCATTACCTACAAAAAAAGTGTAAGCAATAGATCAGAAAACGGCATAGTGCATACCATTTTCTCCTCGGCGTCAGGAGTACCCTCGGCGAAAGTTAGAGCAACGGTGATATCAGCAGTCCGGAGGAAAAGCTGAGGACGATAGTTGCTCATGAATGGGGTGTAGCGACCACCTTCATCCTTAGTGAGGACGTAAATTTGAGCTTGGAACTTCTTAACAGCCTTCATCGAGCCTGGGGCAATGATAACCTGGCCACGGCGGACTTGTTCCCGTTTGACACCACGTAGGAGGCAACCCATGTTGTCGCCAGCTTCACCCTGAAAAATGGATAAAAATAAACATGACGCATATCACAAGACAGAGTGTCTCATACTCGGTCAAGTTCCTTGTGGAACATCTCTGCAAATTCATGAGAAATCCAAAAATTGATGATGCATTGGTATTGATCGTACCGATACCAGTCAACGTGGTTTTGAAAGTGTTGCCAAGACCAACGACCTCCACCTCAGCACCCTTAGTTGCAATACCACGCTCAACCTGTACAACAGGTGAGCTCAGAGGATACATGTTCCTAACGCGAAGCTCACTCGTCCAGTAGCAACAGTGCCACGGCCAGAAATCGAGAACACATCTTTGAGGGGAGCAAATATGTCAAAGCCCTGAGAACAATGATCTTGATATTACCTTCGATAGGCATCAAGAAAGGCTTCTCCAGGTCACCTATGAAAAAAGAAATCAGCTCTCCTAATGAAGAACCATATGTAAAAGAAACTGACGAGGGGGGACGTCAAGCCACTCATCACAAGCCTGGACAAGACTAAGGATCTTTTCCTTCCCTACGCTGTCATCCCGACCTTCCAAAGCGGCCAATGCTGAACCCATGATAATGGGAGTGTTTTCGCCGTCAAAGTTGTAAGTTGACAGTAGATCGCGCATCTCCATGTCAACAAGCTCGAGCATTTCTGGGTCTTGAATCATGTCAACCTTGTTGATAAAGACGACCAGTTTCTTAATGCCAACTTGGCGAGCAAGAAGTAAATGTTCACGGGTCTGAGGCATCTGACCATCCGTTGCCGATACGACAATAATGGCTCCGTCCATTTGTGCAGCACCAGTAATCATGTTCTTGATATCTATGAGGATTAGCTGTATAAAACTGGAGACGTATGTGAGCAAGGAAGGACAAACAGTCAGCGTGACCAGGACAGTCAATGTGTCCGTAGTGGCGCCCATCAGACTCATACTCGACATGCGCAGAGTTGATAGTGATTCCACGAGCCTTCTCCTCAGGCGCCTTGTCAATCTGCGAGTAGTCCGTGAACTTTGCAGCACCCTTGTCAGAGAGAACTTTGGTGATAGCTGCAGTCAGCGTTGTTTTGCCATGGTCAACGTGACCTAAAGATCAAACTAAGTTAAAGCGCGTTAAAATGCAAAAAAAAACATAGCCTTACCAATGGTGCCGATGTTCATGTGGGGCTTTTCGCGAGAGAATTTGCCAGCGGCTTCAGCATAACCACGTCGGTTGCCTGTTAGAATATCTCAGACACGAGTAAATTTGCTCCAATAAGCATGACCATACCCCAGCTTGCAGCGGAAGGCAGAAAAAAGCCAGACGTTGGTTTCCATGTTGAGCACCGGCAACGAGCATACAGTGAAGAAGCCCTCAGAGCTTGATAACCAGGAAACGTTAGACATGTAGAGAACACGAGGCAGAGCATGAGATACCTCTTGAAGAGCCAGCAAATTTGTTCGCTATTCCCCGCTGAGCTGCCAACCTAAACATACTTGTTGCAAAAGAATTCTGGTCCAACGTCCTGCAGGAAAATTGGAGACGATCGGAGAATGAATTCGGAGCGTAAGGAGTAGACTTTCCTAATCGGCATAGTATTCAAAGGCTTATAAGTTACTAGCACCATGGCAGACACTGATAGACGTGAACTCGTCCGTAATGCAGTTTCGTTCCTCTCAGAGTTTACGGTGTGCAAGTCATAAATTTCTTGAAGTGTACAACACTCATTGGTATATCAGACTCAACAAGCGCCGCTTGCCCAGCGTGTCCAATTCCTTGAAGCAAAAGGCCTCAGTGGACCAGAGATCGAGGAGGCAATGAAGCAGGCGGCGAGCCAGACTACGCGCTCGCAGCCTGCGGCACAGCCTCATAATAATTTCCAATCACCGTATGTAACATATGGGCCAGCCAGCTATCCTTCTCAGCAATGGGACTGGCGCGATTATTTCGTGCGTCGTTTCACTCTCCTTGTGGTGCAAGTTGTGACATAGTCACTATAGATAACTGCTGTGATATCAGGGTCAGTGGTGTATGGTGCCGTTTCGCTGTTCAAGGTGAACGACTTGAATCACTCCGTATTTCTTGCTTTTACCTTGGCCCTAGAAATATCTTCAACCACACCTTATTCCTCCAGCAGCGACTGCATATGAACAAGACCGCGATGGACTGACAGCACAATTTGATGCTGCAGAGGCTCTCTTGAAAGAAATTCAGGCAGAAACCGAAGCCGTCAAATCTGCGGTGTATGAACAAAATGAACGGGTGAACAAAGTCACCAAAGACGTTGAGTCGGTAGTGGTTGAAATGAGGGAGGGCGAGTCAAAGACGCGGGACGAGATGCGTGAAATTCGTGACGAAGTGGAAAATATCCGAGAGATGCTTCCCAAGGTAGGGCTCGCGATGTCGGTCATTTTCGCGTCTCTCATATTTCAACACAGATGATTGAGAAGAACAAAGAGTCTCAAAAGGAGTCTCTTTCTGAGCTGCAGCAAGAACTCAAATCCCTCAAGGCTCTGTTGCTTAGTCGCGGGTCTGCTCCACTGACGAGCTCTCCTTCGACACCAATACCCTTGTTGGCCAGTAGACCATCGATACCTTCATGGCAATTAGCTAGCTCGGCCCCGGTGCCATCTACTGCAGAGTCACTACCGAGCTCAACTTCACTGAATGGGTCGTTTACATCTCTCACCCAGTTGAATGGAAAGGAGAAGGAAGCAGAGACACTATCGAATGAATCTTCATCGTAAAATCATGTATACTATTTGTTCGTTTTATAGCAAGTTGTACTCTCAAACTTAAAATATGCAATTTGAACGTTTCCTTTGGCATGCTCACGTGGGAGACTTGTTCGAGAGCCGATCATTGTCCAGGACCAAGTGCGACGGCCACCACTACCTCTACAGTTAGGTTTGAGTACTTCTGGTATCCCTAATGTTTTCACAGTTTCGGCAGGCAGTGGAAAGCTTTGCGCAGCCGCAACCCCGTCGGTCTCAAGACCTCAACAACGATGATAACCATTTCAGAAGTGGTTCACCTGACGCGCAGTCTACGCGACAGTCGCAGTCCGCAAATCAACTCGCGGACGCTGCACTGATTAACATGCGCAGGTCATTTGCATCACAGCGCCCTGGGAGTCCGCGATCCTCTAGTCCTGTCTCTTCGTCTATCTCAAAGAGTAACAGTACGAGTGATCCTGGACTACGCAAATTTACTCTCGAAGAACGTCTACGCGCGTCATTCTCAGTTGGAGATGCATCTAATACTACATCGCCTGCTATATCTTCGAGAGCTTCGCCAGTTTCGAATACAGTTGTTGTCACGCAGCATCCACTCTCCCCCACATCTATTCCTCTGCCAGCCTCCCCTGCATTACTTCCAACAGCATCTCCTCCACCGCAAGTATTTGACACCCACCCCAGCGACCTCCCGGCAGATCCTTCACCATTGTCCCTCGCCGCAATTCACCTCCAAGATGCTAGTGAAGAAGGCCCTCATGCTACCTCAACAACAGAGGTTCTTCAAGCTGTAGTTCAGGTTCCACTGCCACCGAACGTAGAGGAGGCACCTGTGGCAGAATACCCTGTTAGTCCCCCAAAACCCGTATCAGCATCTATCGGGATAGAAGAAAATCTCCAGCTGCCTAATGATCTTCCCGCTGATACAGACACGGCACTTCCGTCAGAAGTCCACAGCTCGGATTCTGGAGACATCGATGGCAACGTCGATGTTCTCATTCACACAGACGTATCTGCTTCCTATGTAACAGAAGCTCGCGGTTCTGACTCTGGAGATATCGATGGCAACGCCGACGTTCCTATTCATACAGATGCATCTGCTTCGCATGTGTCAGAAGTTCAAGACTCGCAATCTGGAGACATTGATGGCACTACCGATGACCTCGTTCATACAGATGCATCTGCTTCTAATGTACCAGAAGTTCACAGCTCGGATTCGGGAGGCATCGATGGCAACGCCGATATTCCTATCCATACGGATTCATCTGCTTCGCATGTGTCAGAAATTCAAGACTCGAATTCTGGAGACATTGATGGAAACGCCGATATTCCCATTCAAATAGAAGTACTTACTTCAGACGGCGATGGCGATGGTGAAAAGACGGAACAACCTCCAGAAATCCCTCCTACTGTGCCTTCGTCAAAGTGCAGCGAAGCTGACGTAGAAGCTCTTCAAGAACGTCTAAGACTCGTTGAACAACGGTTTTCAGGTACGTTGTTGGTTGGACTGTACGTTGGGTACATGCTTACTCTTTCAAGATGTGTCGACATCTTTTAAAAAACTTCAGGCAGAACGGTCGGCTGTAGATGATGTCATTCGGGAATTGACTCCTCTGGAGGATGCTGATGATGCAACTGTACTACGTGACTATTTGTCTAACATGAATATGAAGACTGAGGTGACGTACCACAATGTTTGCTCGGTTCTAGCCTCTTAACCATTTAAGTAGCTCACACAAGATGAACTGCAGCGTCTCAACGGAAAACTGACACGTAATGAACTGTTCGTATCGCCATAAGAGAATGCTGACTTTCGTTAAAACAGGTCAAGAGGAACGTATCGAGGAGCTCAGAGATACTCACAGGCTTGAAACCAGGTCTCAGTTGGACCAGATTCACAAGCTTCGTCAACAGCTTAACGAAGCAGAAGCCCTCGTTGCAGCCTCTCAAACTTCAGCTTCTCTTATGGAAGAAGAAACAGGGAAGCAAACAGCCGAGATCGAACGACTTGCAGTCGAAGTTGCCAAAGCGAAAGAAGTAGCAAAAGAAGAGGAAGAGAAACGTGTCAAGGCAATTAGCCTCCTCAAGACTGTGCGTCAGAAGCTTGTCAAAGCTGAGAAGGATAGAGACGATGCGCTGAAAGAAATCGGGGAATCTAAGGAAAGGGACAGGCAGGAGCGAGACAAAGAGAGGCTTGAACGAGCAAGGCTACAGTCGGAAATCGACGCAGTCAATGCAGAGCGAGAGAAAGCGGTAACAGGCTTAAGGACCCAGTTCGACAAAGAGGTAGCTGCTGTCAAGGATCGCAGTGAGAAGGAGCTTTCTACCACCCGCGCACAATTTGAAGTTGAAATTGCAGCGCTGAAGGTTCGTATAGATGGTCGCAACTTCGTCAATGATCTAAGAAATTGCAATATAGATGTCGCATTCAACGGAATTGACTCTTAAGAAGTCACAGATCGCTACATTGGAAGCATCTGTCAATAATCTTTCTAGGGAGAATAGGACATTCTTTGAACAACTCCAGATTCGGCAGGCCGAGTTGGAATCCTCTCAGCACCACGTCGGGACCCTCCAGGGTCAACACACTGAACTACAGTTCCAGCTCAGGGAAGCACAGGATCGCCTTACTCTTCTCGCCGAGGAAATATCAGATCTTCGAGGGGAACAAGAAACGCGACCGCATGGGCCAGGCGCTCCACAGGAAGACGTTTCGCAGCTCATCTCCACGATGGAAGCCAAGTACGAGGCCAGATTAGCAGAAATCAAGAGGAACTTGGTCCTCGCAGAGAAGGAGCGGACAGAGAGCGAAGCGGACTGGAGTCGCAAGCTCTCCGATAAAAGTAGAGAAACGGACGAGTTGAAGACGATTCTGCAGTCTTCTGCGAAGTTACGGGAAGAGAAAGAGAGCACTACAGGGGTACTGAAAATTGAAATCGAGAAGCTAACAGCTGAGGTGCAGAATCACCAGCGTCATGCGTTGGAACTTCAGCTACAGGTTGACCGTATGAACAATTCCGAGGTATGGCTTGTGTACTATGCGCCAGAATGCTCTTTATGACAGGTGCCATACAGGCGTCGTTCCAGCTTCGCATCTCGGACGCTCAAGCAGAAGCCGAAGGTTACAAGAGCCAGCTTGAAAACCTGAAGGCTCATGAAGTACAGCTGCGTGGTCACATCAAGGTGATGACTATCCGAGCTCTTCACTCCTTTTGTCTCATAGCACTTGCAGACGCTCCGAGAAGAACTCCGCAAGGTGCAAAACTCAGCTGCTCTACTTGAGCGTCAGCGCAATCCAGGAGTGGGTTATTGGACCTCGCGGACCGAGAACACTGATTCTCGCGTGTCGGTATCGCCTGGCTCTGATCTTCCATTGCGAGCTGCATCTCCTAGACCAACATCGCCCGCCCCGTCCAAAGGCGATGAAGACATTAACCTGGAGTACCTTCGAAACGTGATATTGCAGTTTTTAGAACACAAGGAGATGAGAGTGAGTGCAGAACACCGAATATGTTCGTGCTAATAATCCATTGTTTCAGCCCAATCTCGTTCGCGTTTTGTCCATCATCTTGCGTTTTACACCACAAGAGACCCGGAGGCTGATAGCGAAAGTCTAGTGAGGAAATTATTGCAGTTATTCGATGAAGCTTTAGAAGGACGATATCTACGTTGCCGAGACGTATTATGTAGGATGCTCTTAGAACTTGTGAATCTCGCAGCTTCCTGTTGTGGTAACACCGCGCGACAACACATACTAGTAGCAACGCTCACAAACAACGTCAGTCACTGTGAAGGTCAGCCAATACTCTTTCACAAGGCCTTTGAGTGCGAGAAGATAACGCGCTTGTACTCTGGTGTCTCCATGCCTTCTCTGATTCGACGGTGTGCCCTAAGAGCTGACACATTTGATGACCGTCAAGTGCGCTAGCTTCGGGGTACTGGCCATTCGCAACCGCAGCTTCGGTGACAGAGACGAAACGAAATATGGGTCACGTGCCAATTACAATGATGCATGCAATAGTCATGGCATCGAGGGGGGAAGTGATCTGAGCTGCCGTTTCTCTGATACGCGGCAATCGTATAAGCGAGACGCACTGTTGAATACTGTTGTCTTGCAAAAACATTGAAGCAAGACCATCGAATAGACACACATCTGTTTGTGCAACTCGGCAGACATCACCACATCGGATCGTAGATGAGACACTGTGGCATGTGTTGAGAATTAAGCCACTTTCCATGAAACCGAGTATGCGGAGTTTCCAGAGCGCTTGAAGGACAAGCTACTAATACGAGTCACAGTGACAATGGAGATCCTCGTTTCGAGCAAAGTTAGCCGTTTGTAATAGCATAGCATATACATCATGATAGTCTAGCCTGGCAGTGACTCTCCAACAGCTGCATGAAATTTCTCCCTTTTTCGTCACTCAGTCAAGATGAAATAAGTATGTATAAGTAATGGTTAGAAGTTGAAACGTTGAAACTCAGTCACTTCCCTCCCCGCTGTATAGACTTCACACATGCACACCTGCAGGCGTTCAAGGTCATCACGTTCATCCGACACTTCCTACGATTCATCGGATGATGATACAATCGCACCTATACTCCCTCCTTCCATTCTTCGTGATCTGTCTTTTTATGTGAAGAGTGCAAAAGAAAGACCCGCGCCCTATAAGAGAGTCAGTCCCAACATCATAGAGCGTTTCTGCGGTGAGGAGTGTTCGGGATGCAATGGCTCCACGAGTCTCCTGGATAGTCCAAAAGTATGTCAATCTATGTATGTCGGATATTACTATTACTTATTGATATCGTTCCAGGACAAAGCTCGACTGGAACGTAGAATGCAGAGCCTATCTCCTGAGGCCCGTGCTCAGGCCGTAATTGCGATTGGAGCTAACGTTGAATGGAGACGCGCGCGTGCTGTCGCAGCAGCTTTACAAATCGACGCCATTGTGGAACACAAGAAGTTTATGTATTTGACTCTTGCGAGTGAAGCTACATCATATGCCAATGCTGTTTCGGAATCACTCGAAACTTCGATTGAGACGCTGGTTGACGGTACGCTCGACGAACTCGACGACCGCGAGAGATGTAGTGTTTCCGTCTATGAGCTTGAGGCGGCAGCGTTCACTAATGCTGACAAGGAGCTTGACGTAGCTGAGAGTTTGACATGTGCGTACTTCCATGTACCCGCAGACAATGTCATTGCTGGATCATCAGTTGCAAGCAGTGCACCTCATGGACGTAGACGCTAGTGCTCCGAGTTCAGACGAAGAGGTCAAGGTAGCCAAGATACTCGGAAATGGCGTCTAAGACATTCTCGTCACCGACAACGGAATCAACGAGTGATGAATCTATACCCGCCAAGAGTAGTTCGGGGTTTTGTTCAGGCGGCTGAGTCGTGACGATATATTGTATGCGATGAGTACTACCCTAGAGCGGACAAATGTTTGGAATACGATGACAGTCATGGGTGAAGCTCTCTCACCATTTGGTGTTTACTTGAGAGTTGGAAATAAAGGGCGCTTTTACATAACCTGGCCACATTCTTTTTGTCTCTGACATATGGCAATATATCAAATCCTATGGAGATGTGAACTGATGAGAATTACAAGAACTAATCATTTGGGCTGCCGCGTCGGCAACTCGCAAGTCATGGACCACAGGCTCCACAGCCACAAATTCCTCAGCTCGATCTGCTACTGAAGGTCGCGTAGGCTATCGTCCCTGCGCGTGAATCCTTACGCTGCTTTATTTCTACATTGACGCAGTATTCCGCTGAACACGTCGTGAAACAACAAAACAAACCAAGCAAATACTAAAGGGCGGCAACAGTAGTTCTCACCTGTAACATGTCACTCGCTGAGTTGACGAGGAATTCGTTTCAATGCGGGGTATCTCCGCAACAGGTGAGTAGTTTCTATCTGTAGTACTACATGCTATAATGGTGTACCGGAGCTTCTCAGTGGTTGGGATTATGCAGACTGCTTGTACAGCAACATCATGTCGGTGTCGACTTTAGCACCGCCATTAGCAGTATGTGGCCTGCATACTGATGATCCAGACTCTGCATTGAATACCTGTTGACCAGATACTATCCTTGAACTTTATCGCTTGTACCCCGCAGACCCTACTCTTCGCGAATACCTTCAACTTGCTCTGAGTGACGGATTACTCTCGAACGCGGTCTTCGTCTCCACATTTATACGCGCTGCTCGGGACCCAGAACTTCAGAATGGGTCTACCCTGGATATGCTTTGCCGCTTAGCTCTTAATACACATTACACATCGGGATCATCACCCGCAGGATCCATCATCCCCTTAGCGGACTCCCAGGTTTCTGTACTTTCCAAAGTACAAGATGCGCTGGCTCTTTTGCGGATTGCCCACTCTCTTCCCCCTTCTAACTTCCATCAGCTTATTATATCAGCTTCTGAACTCGCGATCCTGCTACTGTCGTGTGTCACTGACATGTCGCAGTTAACAGCCGCTCAAGCTATGATTTATCTCGGGGATGCGAATGATGTGCTGCAGTCGTTGCGCCTTTCGCAGGAACTCCGGCAGGTATTAGAGGGCTTCGTGTTATCTTTGAGCTTGCTCATGGGAGATGATGCAAAAGCTGTCAGAGATGCACAAATGTTGCACGCTATGCAGTTGACTATGGGAAAAAATGACGTCCATGGTGTCAATGGTGAAACTGATACCGTCACCTGTGGTCTGCTATTGCAAAGCCTTGTACGTATTTCAGGGCTGTAACTCGAGCACCACTCATCCTTTACAGGTGGCATGCCGTACCTGTGACTTTGGAGCGGGAAGTGATTTAGAAGCTGTTGCAGTATTGACAGGTACATTGCGGTGGACGTCATGGGCCCCGAATGTCTTTTGTACGCAGCTACTCGTGGCTGCTCTGACTTGCGTCGCTCAAAGCTCTGCTAAGGATGATCATGAATCTTCCTTTTCTCTATGGAAAGCGTTTGTGGTTGGTCGTGTAAGTTTTAGTGCAAGGCCACCGTGAGTATCATTACAGCTTACCACCAACTCATGATCTATAGCTTCCGCGGCTTCTATTTGCCCTCGAAAAAAGTCTTGAAGCTCATGGAACAACCGAGGCAGATTGGGTAAGCGAAATCTTTTTTGAAAGTCGTGAAGGCTTAGTATGAACTACGATTCTATCAGCGAGCTGCAATGCATGCTGCATTGTTATCATTATCTCAACGGTCTGATCTATTGGCACAATGTGACGCTGTAGCCCGACAAGGCAAAGGACCCGATTCCAGTCAGGATAATAACACATCGTATGTTTAATCGTTGTTCCGCGTCCTTCGTGCGAACATCTCATTCTGAAGGTATAGATCACTTATTCGCGAATTCATTCAACAACTTCTAGCTGTTGGGATTATCGAGTATGCATTTGCGGTCTCCATGGACCCCATGATGGTAAACGACCCCAGGACACGTTTACAGTCAGAAGCTTTTGATCATGGCTGTTCCATAGAAGTAAATTATCACACCATACTTTCCTTGCTGATGATGACGGGACCTGCAGACTTATCTAGATTCAAAACTCACTTTAGATTCAGATCCAGAAGACACTTCGTTACTGCTGGAGAAAATTCGCCAAGAACCTGGCAGCCACTACTATCTTGCTGCTGTGGTTCAGAAAGTAATTGCGAGGCCATTCATGATTGATCCCGTCCGTTAATCAGGCACTTTTCAGCGATTTACGTCACACTCTACGTCCCTGGATCTCGAACACTTGAGTCACCTAACGCGGACATTGTACCACCATGATTTCGCCTTAGATATACTATCACTGCATCTCAAGATCTCAAACTTGATTTGTAATGCACTGGAGATAATCTCGGAGTATGATTGCGAAACAGTTGGTATGTTCGCCACCGAAGCTTACAACATTCGTGCTAACAACGACTCATAGGTGATCCACAAACTGCAGTGAGCCATTTGGGCGATATAGTTCTATTTGCAGAGATGGTCTTGGCAAAATTCCGGGTATGTTTTTTATCATCGGAATACGATTGTTCCTTGACATTCTTTGTCAAGATCTCATCGCCAATCATCAAAGACGGAAAGATGTACCGCACAGAACTTCTCCGATGCACTTCGAGAGTTTATCAGTTGGATGAATTAAGCCTAGAACACAAATCCGCATTTGCCACTTGGTACAAGGCGATTTTTGATAGCAATAGCGAAGGGATTGACGACGCCTTACTCCGGTAATGTGTTCCCGCCGTTGCAATGAAATTTGTTCCTCATTTCCCTGTAGTACAACAAAACCCCAAATTCTCCTGCAAATCTCCGCCACACTATTCTCGCAGGCTGCCCTGGCTCGTCAAGAAAGCCGACTTGATAACGACACGCTGCAGACCGGTATGTCATACTTCCTTGGACCGTTGCTCCGGTGGACACTCGTTGGCGTGATCCATGCTATGTTATTTGAAATTGGGCAAAGAGCGTAAGTGCAATACCAGTATCAAATGAACTCATCGTCGACACATTCTCGCTGCAGGCTTATAGCTCCCCTTCACCTCGCGATCGTACAAACTATTTTATGCTCTCCCCATTGTCCCATCGTTGTCCGCCGTCTCTGTAGTCCGAGCTGTCTCAGACTATTATCTAGTAGACGGATCCAAGCTTTCCCCCAGAGTCCAGTTCTGGACATCAGCGTTATACGAGCCACGTGCTTCCAAACCCTCGGAGTCAACAAAGACCGTGAGTAACAAGTTCGAAACAATCATTTCCTCCTGCCAGCTAAATTGATCATCTGACACAGCATCTTGCAAGGCGTTGGAGGATCATCAGATCAGCCCTGCCACCAGATGGATGGACTTCCCAAAACAAGAGATCCACGAGGCACTCGCGTTAGCTCGGCGCCACAAGGCTCCTCGCATTGACGTTACACGGTGTCTTTCCGCCACTTCACCCTCTAAATTCCTTAATCTGCTCTGGTCAGAGCTCAGTGTCGCTTCCAGTCTAGGGGAGATGGAAACCTGCAGGCGCCTAGCGACATTCGTTTTAGCCATGCCGCGTCAGCTATCATCGGCGCCACCCCTCCTTCCGATATTTATGTACAACGTTCTCCCCTACCTTATCACCACCATAGACCAACAGCAGGCAACAGAAAAGGGTATGAACACGCAGCTCCTGGTGACAATCATTTCATCCGCCCTGACCGCCGCACTACACATCGAATGGGCGGTGCAAACAGTATGTGAAGAGCAGCGCTTTGTACTTGGTCAACCAAGTGCCGCTGTCGCAAGGCGGCTTGCAGCTGACCTCCGAGCGCAGAAGCGCGGTTCATCTACTAGTGCAACTATTTTGCAGCGTCTGGGATCATCCCCTGCTTTCGTCACCAATTTTCCTGTGTTTGTGATGTAAAAAGCTGTAATAATGTAGACGAAACTTCATGATAATCTATCTTGCGAAAATCTAATTACGCCTTGCCGTCTAGCTTCTACACGACCATGCATTACATACTCGCCAGAACCAATTCCGCGCACACCAGTGGCGTGCAATATCACGATATATACAAGGGTCTGAAACACATAAATAGTCATGTTACTGGTGCTACACGCATGGGTAAACGTTTTTTTAAACGCTTGGTACGGGCGGAGCTGGCAGCACAGGGTAAGTGTAAGCGATAGTATGACAGATAGATGGAGGACTCACGGCAGCAAGCGTTTTCTACCGGATCACAGTTTTGATCCGCTGGACACAGTATCAAACACGATGAGTCCATGGATGACTTAAGGGTAATCAGCCAAATGGGGATAAGTATAATCGACGCAGGGCACCCACCCTAAGTTGGTCTTCTGGAAACATGTTTGGGTTGCGAGTATGGTACTCGGGTTGAATAGTACTAGAATGTATGCCGTGGTAATGAAGAGCTTTTCTAATTTCTGCTGCAACAGGCATGAAGTCATGGTTTCGTGATGCCATCACGTGTACCGAGGCGACGATTTTGGATTCTGAGAGTTGCCACACATGCAATTCATGCACGGAAAGAACCCCATCTACATTCAGAATGGATTCCCGGACCTCGTCCAGGGATATAGCCGGCGGTACGCCTTGGAGGAGAATGAAAGACGCACTCTCGACTGAGACAGATGAGTTGATGCCAATGATACAGGTAGGAAAATCCACACACCCAAAGGCAGAGCAGACGAAAAGATAATGGCCGTGATCACAAGACTAATGATAGGGTCGAAGTAAAATTTATATTTCCATTCCGTAAGCCAGATGATCAAGCCGGTAGCGATGACTCCAACATTCCCTAGGGCATCGCCTAACACATGCAATACCAGGGCGCGCATATTCATAGAGCCATGCGCGTGACCATGATGGTGGACTGTGTTACTCTTGGAAGACGGCGCTTCGGTTATTCCGGATCCGAGGAGTGGGAGGCGCTCGTCGAACACGTGGCTGGAGGTGCTTAATCGCCTCGTGTGCGGAGAAGGGGATGCTATGTCCTGAGCAGCTTGCACGACGGACGCACGCGTCGCAATGGGGTGACCATACATCGAGGAATAGGAGTCAGAGCGCTCATGGCTACTAGGCCCTCCAGGTATCTTTCTCGGGGAGGTGACGTCATCATTTACAACTTGTTCTAACTCAGATATGCTCGAGGAACGTGTTGGGGCCGGAGAGGTCTTATGGTCATGACTATGTTCTAGACATAGCGTGGTAATGTCTGAGCAGCAATCAGCATGGTGATGACATCAAAACTGACCATGGAAGAGGAAGAGGCCAACAATATTAGACGCCAGACCGAAGGACCCTACGATCACAATCAAACGAGGATTGGAAATTTCTGCGGGAGCGAATGGTGAGAAAATGTTTCTGGATGACATGGGGAGTCACCCACCTGGAGTGCTGAAAAAACGCTCCAAGGCTTCCATCGTAATAGAGAAGCAAAGCGCAAGGAGAAAAACCCCATTGACAAGAGCAGCGAGAATTTCAGCTCTGTGCCACCCATAAGAATATCTAGAATCGTTGGCACTTTTTTGTGACAACTCAAAGACAAAAGAGAGGTTATGAATTATTCAATGGCCTGAAACGATTGGCATCATACCTTAATGGCGTAGAGAGCAACCACAAGGCTTATCACATCGCTGTTGAGAGAATTTAGCTACATGGCAGAGTAAGTTGAAGGAATCCAAACTTCAGCATGTGGAAACTGTCGGCGACAAGGGCAAGTGAACCAACAGCATAACCTGCGATTCTCTTAGGAGGATCCTGGTGTAAGACTACAGAATGTCAACTTACCTGCAATGAGCTCGATGAAGAAGAATATAACGTCAATAATAAGCAACAGCGTTATTCTCCCTGAGCGAGACATCCCGAAGACGGACATCGAGTGGTAAGTTGTAGAGGCTGGCACTAAGTAATGCCTACTAAGCCGTTCACCGCGGCGGAACAACTCACCACCGCTGCTTACGTAAACTCATTTTATGCAACATTTTTCGGCTGCCGTCGACCATCGTTTGAAGCAAAGACTACAGTAGCATCTCGGTCCAAATCATAGACCATCAGAATCGTTTACATAGGAAACCAAAATGGCCGCTCCATCGATGGCTGCAGCTCTGGCTGCCTCACTTCCCGCCCCTCAGGCCGCACCAACACCTGCAGCCCCCACGTATGAAGCCATCCCTGCATCCATGTCCAAGGCGATCGACATCGAGGCTGAAATACCTCTTACATGCGTCCAGCTTGATGGAATAGTGCGTAATTTTGTGGATCCCCTCTCCCTTATGTCCCCATCACTTACCTATGGACGGTTCTACTACTTCTACTTTTTAAAGTTGCCCGTTGAACTTCTATTTATGCTATACTGACTTTTGAATCGCAGGTTATTACCAAAATTTTGAAACACAGTCGCGAGGCGTTCTCAACAACCGCGCATGGGCTTCTGTTAGGCCTTGATCTTGATGGCATCCTCGAGGTGTCCAACTCGTTTGCATTACCGAATCATCACAATGACGACGATGAAAAGGCGACAAAATCTATTGGTGGGTCCCCCGTTATTATCTCCACGGATCGTAAACACTAATAAAACGTTGTTGATGGTAGCCCGCTACCAGCAATCCATGCTGCGATCGCTAAAAGAGGTTCAAGGAGACGACAACGTCGTAGGGTTTTACCAAGCAACCTCGCTTGGTGCTTTCTTCAATCAATCACTGATAGATACACAAGCAATCCACCAAGATAGGCTTAGACATGGCGGTGTTGTTATTGTTCATGGTAATGTCACGTGGCTCGACATGCAGACGCCACATGCTGACAGCAAGGTTAGATATCTCACAGACGGCACGCGGAAATGCATCGTTCCGTGCATTCAAGCTGACGCCAGCATTCATGGATGCCTACAGAAGAGCTAATTTTAGTACAGCCGGGTATGTTTTCTCGTTTTGATCACGCTCCTCGATCGATTTAACTGAGTGAGATTTATAGGTTGATTAGCCATCGATTAACTTTTGCTTCCATACTTGAAGAGATCCCGTTAAGAGTTAGGACAAATGCGCTTCTGAGTTCGTATTTGAACACGCTTGCGATTCCCTCGACTTCAACGTTTTCGGATGCTCATCCGGGGGTGGCAACGACGTCAGCGTTACCTCCGTCCTATTCAGTGCTTGATATAGGCAATGTGGGACTGACGAAGAATCTGGAACAAGTCGCCGAAGCGATCGATAATTACCGGACAGAAGAAGGCAATGTCGCGTATTTGTCGAGGCAAATCGCACGGGAGAAGCTTCGCGCGGAGACGTATGTTGCGAAACGGAAAGAGGAGAATGCGCGGCGGGTGGCGCAGGGATTGAACGCCCTGCCCGAAGAAGATGTAAGCAGGTTGTTCAGGATCCCGCCTGAGCCGAGCCGGTTGGAGAGCATGCTCTTACTAGGACAGGTGGATGCTTACGCGAAGAGTCTCGAGAGCATTGCAGGTGCGGGGTTAGTGAAGATGTATGCAGCCAAAGCTAGCTCTGGTGTATAAATTTCCTTGTATTATACAGGGGCTAGACCAATAATGGATTAGCGTTTGAGAACAATGCGAGGTTACATGCCATTGTTTAGGGCATTACAAGCGTGACCTGTCGTTGTTGGTACCTGTCAAAAAATAGGGTGATTGTGACCGCAGCCAATAAATTTGGTGGATACCGGAAAAAAATACATAACCTTTTTGTTAAAATGATTACTTAATATAATTTGTGGGATGTATATTAACTGAGGTGCTTCCTTCGTCTTTTACACATTATCTTGGTGTTTGACTTGCTTCTTCTTCATCGTTCTTTCCCTGGTTGTCGGCTGTCTTTTCTTGTCCACAATCTTTATTTTTTAATAGCTGGTACTGCTACTATAAAGTCACCCGTCGATCCTTTTAGTCGAACCAGCAAGAGTCTTCTCCCCCGCTCATTACAATGGCCCCCATCACGAAGTGCCTTGCTTTTCTCTCCCTTGTACTTTCGGCTGCTGCCCTCACTTCCCCTCACATCTCCAATGATGTTTTTAACCACCGCCGCGCTCTCACTCATGTCAACGTGCAGGCAGTCACTGGTGGTCAAGTCGATACTCCGTCAGCTCCCACACGCAAACGTTCTCTGAACAAACGCTGCGCACCTAAACCATCTGGTAACTCCACTGTATCTTCTTCGCCATCGACCTCCCCGTCTGCTGTTGCTACAAGCGCCCCGGTTAACGTTGCTCAATCACCTGTTGTCACCTCTTCCCACTCCTCTTCCCATTCCTCGTCTGCTTCGGAGCCAACCCAGGAAGCTTCCAGTCCTACTCCCACTCCTACGCCCACACCCACACCCACGCCCACACCTTCCCCAAGTACCACCAGCAAGGCTGCGCAGACTACTTCTGCATCCAGTGGTGGTGCACCAGGTGGCTTCCTAAGCGGCATTAATGCTGGGCAGGGTAAGTTTTTCATCATCATTGTCCGGTCCTCGGCTCATTTTTCATGGTAGGCACATACTACGCGACTGGTCTTGGAGCGTGTGGTATCACAAACACCGACAGTGATCACATCGCTGCTGTCTCGCACTTGTTGTTCGATGCCTACCCGTAAGTATTATACTCTCTGTTCCTAGCCGAGGTCTTATTCTGGTGAACTAGTGGCTATAATGGTGTGAACCCTAACGACAACCCTCTCTGCGGCCAGCAAGTCACTGCTACCTGTAAGCCTCTTCTGTCTCTTAACGATCATGTTTTGACTTTATCTTCAGACCAGGGCAAGAGTGTGACAGTCACCATCACTGACCGGTGCACGGGCTGTCAGCTTAAAGACCTTGATTTCTCGCCCTCTGCATTCAGCGAACTTGCGAATGAGTCGTTGGGACGTATTGACATCGACTGGTCATGGAGCTAAACATCTCGCTCCCGTTACGCCTTCATGCTTTCGCGCCGAATGGCCATCACGTCTTCTATGTTTTATTCGTTATTCTTGCGGTCAAATATGCTTCAAGGTATATATTTTTCGATTGCTTTCGCGCCAGTCGCCTTTCTGCTAGCAGAGAGCTTGGGATCGCTATCGATTTTACTCATTCCCGTATACCCACACACACGTGCTATGTACTTGTGATCACTGGATGATTCCTATTTACGTAGTTGATGGGTTGGAATGAGCAGTTGCTGCTTGCTTGGGTCTTGCAGCGCTTTTCTTCTTGATAGGCTTAGCTTTGGTTTAGGTCTTATTATTGTGCAGTTTGTAACATAAAGTGGAATATAGATGCCTGCTATGTAACATGTACATCCCGTTGTTGAATGACTCGTCGCAAGTATACGCCATCCTATCATACGGCATCCGAAATCAGTCGCCATCGATTTTCGCATCCGCACTGCCGTTAGGCTACATTTTGACACTCCAAGTCAAAGCGAACAGTAGTCATGCCCGATACTTCTGCCCTCGGTCCTAGAATCGAGGAATCAGATTAATCGAATATGATCTTTCATTTCCGCGTCGCTGCCGTTATCCAAGCATTGTAATTACCACATGAACGTAGGTAATATGATTGGTCCATTCGGTAAAGTCTGGCTGAAAGGCTGTGACTGACAGGCTCCCTTGAAAAAACGTTGCAAAGACACCGAATCACGCCAACGGGAAGGCGCAGTATCCCCGCGGTTTCAAACGATGTTATGGCCCTATGGGTAGTAGTCTGATCATGTGATGTAAAAAAACCACTGTAGGCCGAAGGCAAATATAGCCGCATTGCAGGTCTCACGACAGCCCTGTTGCTGTCATAAGTTGCTGCCAATAGCCTTCTTCGGGGGTACCTGATACTGCACTACCCACTGCGTTCATAAGATTCTCTCTCTCCTCTCCCTCCGATCTCGTTGAGACTGAGAGAATCGTAACTACAAGGTCCACTGCTAACCTTCGGATAAGTAGTGAAGAAGTAGGGATTTTGGTGAACGGGCCAGGAAGCCGACCGCGAACAGGATGCGTGATCATGAAAAAGGGCGTGAGGCGGGTTTGCAATCCGATGATTTCCTATAAACACACAAAGGAACGGGATCATATGTTCGTCAATTGCCCGTCGTTCCGATCAAGGACGCACCTCATGTTTGATCATGATGGAGCCACGTTGGAGAAGACGTAACAATGATTTGATGACTATCTGAAACCAGGACGGTCAGCTGAAAAAATGGCAATAAGCTCGACTAAAAAAATTACCTCGGAAGTAGCCAGGTTGTGAGGACCTATCTCCCAAAGCGTCTTTGGGAGGTGCAATATCCATTCTCGGAATTTTTCCTGCTCCCCTGTATTGCGCACATCGAAATGTCCGCAATAGTCTGACTCTGTTTCGAGCTTGGAGTGATGTCACCCATTCATTTCATTAGAGGGGGGTGAGGGAAAACACATACCAAAAGAATCCGAGCTATAAACTCCACAGTGAGCGCCTTGACAGCAGACTTCGATGTCGTCCTAATCGCTTGATCAAGCATCGCGGATAATACGGTGTCTGTGGGGGCCTCGCCTTGACTCCGCGTGTGGCTCTCCTTCGGCTGGTTTAGAAGAGCCCATATCGTGGGTAGCAGCGCGATATACATCGTCGGGATTAGCGGCCTTGAAATCTGTGCCCCAGAGTGGTCTTCCCCTCGCAGAAGACTAGTGACGTATGTTCTGACCAGGCCGGCTTGTAAGGTTAACTTGCCCTCATATTTGACATGAGAAAAAAAAGCGTTTGATCGAGAAGTTGGAAAGCGGGCTTTGCGTGAAATATCTCCTGATGGTCGGCGGAAGGATACGAGAACCAATAGTGCTGTGAGCTCGCAGTAGATTATATTCAGATCTTGGAATGCATGTTCCACCTGATTGCAATCAGCTGGGGAATCTTTATCCCAGATTGACAAATCATTACCTTGAAATCTCGGCGCGCAGGCCTGAACGGAAAGTACCCTGTCATATAACCAAGCAAGGTACTTAGCTCGTCGCAAAGGTTTTCCTCCTCGGCGTGGCTTAAGGAGAACCTGTCTTGCAATATCGATCCATAGAGCGTCTTCATGATTCGCGCCGTCACGGTAAGAAGGTTGAGCTCTGCTTCAGGAGGATTCGCGCTAGGTGAAAAGACAATGGGAGCGCAATCAAGATACGAAGCTAGTAAAGTCGAGTACAGCGTTCGAGCCAGGTGCTATGGATCATGTGGCGTTGATGGAAGACTAGACGATGAAAATAATCGGTGACGCACGATGAGAGAGGAAGTATTACTATTTAGATGAGTCAATGATTCAGTTTGAGCAAGTGATAGATCAGAAAGGTCATTTAAAGACCAAGCCGTGGCTAATGGGCCAGTTGCGAAGTTCGGCATACATATAAAGTCATCGTGAGGGTGCTCGGCGTCCAGCTGAGGTTGACGATCAACCGACTCGGGTCGGAATAATCGTTGATAAGCAATGAATGGCCGAGTAGAGCGGAAAGAAGGAGCGAGGAACCATGTTGGTAATGGGACTGCGGCCGGGTCCAGGTTAGAAGTTGCATGGTTTGACAGTCGCAGTTGTTGTGATACCGCATGAGTGAGAAATGCCGAAAGTGACTTCAGTACGATGAGCTTCGACTGCAATGCATGTCAGTATTGATCCTGTAGCATGCTTGATGGTTTAGCCATACCTGCGATGAAAGAACTACACTAGCAGTCGATGTTGCCTTTAATTCACCTTTGTGGGATGAGAAGTCACATGAGTTTGCAAAGCGTTGTAACCCCTACCTTCGGTATCACCATATTTGGTTCCTGCGCTCAATATCCCTAAGTATCCCTCTAAAACTCTTTTGCCGTGTCCAGAGTTTCCTTGGGTCCAGCCATCGACCACGCTTTCTGGAACTATCTCAAGAAACAAGTCTAAGAATCGCACGGCATCGATCCTGATTTCTGGGTAGATATGGGTCTGGGCTGATGTAGTGAAAAGAATGAGCAGTGGAACATGAGGAATCAGATCCTCCTGCATAAAAACAGCTTAAACATTTGAGTGATCACGATAAGTCATGTAGTACATCACCTTCGAAACAAGAGGTAGCAGCCAACTCAAAAATGAAAGCAGTGTCTTTCGAACGCCTGCATCCTGTAGATACTTAAATATTTCATTTCCATGAACGCGTCACTGGACAAACCTCATCTCCAATCAAGCGGACACAAGCACCTAGTAGTATGGTCATTGAGGATTCTACAATGTCAGGATGCAATTCAAACAACTCCCGGAAGCTTAAGATGGCATCTGTGAATTCAATAAGCTTTTGTCGTTGCGAACGAATGACACATACCTTTCCGGGTATTTGCATTGTAGTGTTTCATGAGCGAAACGAGGTCATCAAATGACTGTTTCCTCCTGGTAGTAGGAAGTGTAACATCCTTCTCTATAGCAATACTCTGGGTGGGAAGTACAATGCCTTGAACCATAAGATACATCCCGGCCCACAAATGCAACCGAATCAAATACTCACTACGAGCTTTGAATGAAGTATCCACCGCATTGATTGGTAGCTGCTTGCCTTTACCAAGTTTCAATTTGGCTTTCTGTTTGTCAAGTTTAAAAAATAGAAAGGGTCGGGCGAGTGAAAACTCACCGAGAAGTCGACTGCTTTCTCTTTCTTCTTTTTGGAGCTCTTTGGCATGATGTCGAATAGCGAGAATGGATGAAAACGCGCTTGATCTTTGCTCCAAAATTCATCACATGACTTAGTTTTCACTATTTAGGAGCTTATCAAAAGCAGAAATTGATAACAAGACTGATACATAGTTCAAACGTTCAGGTTAAACATATTGTAGTACAGGCAAAAGGATATCGTTGTGAGATGAAGGTAACTGCAATCTACCACCCGAACCTTGGGAATGGGCTCTTCATGAAATTAACTTGAAGATCCAAGCACAGCAAATCCTCATCCTCCACAGTATAACCTCTCACGGCGACGTTGAATTTGGCTGCAAAAAATTCAGCAACTGGCTTAACTATACTATACATAGACTTGTGCGCACCCTGAGGAATCTCCTTTGGCAATGCAACCGTTTCGACTACAGTGTAATCACCCCCTTCGACTGGACACTGGACAGTTGCATTTGCGTTGCGTCTATATCTGATTTCAATCAAAATCCAGGACAAAAACAACAACCAACTTACGCTTCTTCACAAACATCAAAAGTCTTCGAGAGAAGTTTGATGAGTCCAAGCTTTACAACAACGTCGGCATAGGCTCCATCCTGCGAATAGACATGATATTTTCCGACATGTAATATTAACAAAACCAACCTCAATTCGTTCTTGAGCAGTCCCCACGACTGTGACAGTCAAGTCTTGGCCCGGCTTGGGTGGGTCGGGAGATAGACTTATTGATTTCAACTGAACAACGTGTGCTGGGGAGCCTGAAGAAACTTAGCATATATCTTATGCGCTTCTATCAAACAGGTCTCACCACAATCGGACCATGACCAACTCTCCGTTGTATGCACCGGCTGATTCATAACTTCTTGTGTTGGAGGAGAACTTGCGGAAGCAAGACCTGCTAACATGGCGAGCAAAGAAACGGAGAATATATGAACCATGGCGCAACGGTAATTCGAGCAAAAGCTGAGAGAAGATAGAGTACTTGTCCGGAGCTCAGCTAAAGTGGCAGTATGGCGTGGGAGAATTACATACAGGACGGAGCGATCTGTGGCGATGAGCGCAAGTCACTGCGCACTGGTGTGCACCAAGGCAACTCGCTTCCTTTCTCTTCTCGACCAAACACCAAGGCAATTAACAATCGTGCAAAGCAGCCAGAGAATATTGGTAGCTTGATCCTACCAAGCAGCGTTTACCTTCAGGGCCATTTTTCATTGATATCGTCCCCGGGTTGTGCTGCCGAAAATGAAAGCTAGAGAGTATTGCTGTTGCGCAATCCCCTTGGTCAAAGCTGGTATATATACCACGCTGATCGAACAATTTTCTCTTGGGATTATCATAGGCACCCTTTCTGTTGGAACGCCTTCCAGTGAGTCGCTCCAACTTCTGATTTCTAGTATGTAACCCGTCTCTGCGTAGTTGTTGGAGCAGCAACTCCTTCATACGCGCCAGCGCTTCTTGCAGCAGTATGCTACGTGGGCGCTGCAATTCAAGTTCTTGGCTTCATAGGTGTATTCCAGGTATGATGTTCTTTCAATGCAGCTGCCGACGCTGAAATTTGCGTCGTTAGGAAAAACACATACTTTTCCGCCGTTATGCCACTCTTCACTCTCTCATCACCCTTGCCGCTTTCGCAATTGCCGCGGCGTGGGTCATACTCTCAGCCACTCGTCACTCGACTTCTCTGACCAACTGCGAGAACAAATACTATCCTACAGCGTCCAACGGTAGCAATACTACCGAGGGTCAAACCGTCTGCGGCATCATCACCTGGGTTGACGTTGGGTTGATGGCCGGTGCTTGGGTTTTCTTTGCCCTTGTGCAGGTAGCTTACCTACCATCTGATACTCCAGTAGACAGCTGATCGTTGCTCCACAGGCATATCTGCTCTTTGTTGTTTCATCTTACGGGACCGCCCAAAGACAAGATTATGAGAAGTACGACGCTCTCAATGATACCACGAAACCACTGACGGATAATATTCCGATGTCTGATCGTGGCGATCCTTGGGATTACAGAGCATCTACCGAGTACGAAGACGGCCGCGGTCATAGGCGAAATGCAAGTACGGCATCAACCATGAATGCTCCATTACAGAAAGAAAGATACGCCGATGGTCAATCTTATCTCACGCCGACCTATCCCCCCGAACCGCAGCCGCAATTTGAGCGGCAGCAGTCGACGCGAACTGCCCCTTCAGGCACACAGAGCCCTCAGCCTGCACCATATGCTAATAACTACTACGGCCCTGATAGTCCGACTGGGCAATCTGCACCTACACAGGCTCACCCTGGTGTGTATTGATTCCTAGGTCGCTCATCACAATCGCCATTTGTGGTCGACTTGAATGAGCGGGTTTGTCAGTTCTCCCGAATAGCGTTATCATTATAAGCTGATTCCTTTTTCCTAGCTTAAGGGTTCTTCGGTCGCCCAACGCCACAGATGGTCAAAACCACCACATTCTTGTAGCAGAAGGAAATTCTCTGATTCCATCATTGCTTTGTGGATTTCTTACGGAATATGTAGTATTCCTCCCCCATGAACTTTTGTGCGAAGTTTGTAATATACCTTTAGCGAACATTCCTCTACATGGACTGATCTATTTCTACGACTATATATTAGACGTGGTATCTCTTGCTCCACTTTCAAAATTATGTTTCCTCCTCGTCTTCCCAGGGTCCTATCTTTAGTGATATGTGCCGTGCAGCGGCAATGTTCCTCCACCTATCTTGTCGGCCATGCTCGGTCATTAACTGACTATGAAATGAGACATGCGCCACTTTATGGGGCAAGTGCCGAAGCAGAATTCTCTCCTCTATCGTATCACAAATAACTCGCTCTTCTTCAAACAGGGGTAGAGCATACCACGCATGAGTTATTTGTAACTTGAGCACTTGGAGCGAGGGACCCAGAGCTAGAATAAAGTTTTCACGTAGCTCGTTGACAGTCACCAAGGATAGAGCAAAGTACTCTAACGTGGGCAAACTGCGGAGGCATGAAGCGATGGTTGCACTTGAGAGCCGGCTACTGCCCAATAAGACGAGTTTACGAAGGCATGACCCGGGCCCCGCGAGGAGGGATTCCAGATGAACGTTTCTGATTTCGAAACCAAGTCGATGACCTTGTGCATGGATGAAGGAATCGAGTTGACAGTTGGGAAAACTGGTGTCGAAGCGTATCTGGTCAAAGGCATTGCTTGTGACGCCCCGAATGGTGAGATGGCGCAGGGCAGGAAAAGGTGTTTGCTCGAAACGACAATCTCCTGATAAACGCAGCGAACGAATGTGATTCGAAGGAATTGTTTGGAAAGGATTCGCCCTTGTGGATGGATCCAGGTGAAGTTCGTATGCCTGCAAGAGGGGCTGGGGACCCTTTGCAGCAGGAAACATGGCACCCTCGAAGTTCAGCCGATACCTTGGGTATGGTACTAGATTGAGTCATGAGACCAGCAGGTAATATCATTAGCGCCTCACCTACCACAGGATATCATGTGGGGATGATAATGACGAACGTTGAAGACTCGTATTTTCTCCAGCGATACGAACTTTGCTAATACAAGATACAACCGGGAGGCTGGGCCAGTCTAGTTAATGACGACATAGCTAATTTAACGACCCCCTATTCAAGGCAGAATAAGAGAATGTTACATACCTGACCATGCGTACTCTCCGAGACACGTCCATCGTTGGCAACATCGGCCCAACGAACTATGGGCGCAGCTTTGGGCTCGGAATCCAGATAAGCGAGGTAGTGATCCACGTCCCAATCATTTCGCAGGGAGACATACTTATGGAATATTGCGCGTGCTTCATAGAAGATCTGCCTGCAGGTATGAAGGACACGAATATGGTTATTGGAGGGTTGCCGATTTTGATTCACACACAGGTGATTAGCCAAGATGGCTTCATAGATGAGGAAACGAACGTCGTAAGGTAAGTCTCGTATAGAAAGACCTTTTGTCGACATATTATGAGGGTTTCCAAGACGTAGGAAGGCTGAAACTGAACTAAGCTCATTAGTACCATTGAAATATGTAAAAAAGTTTCGAAGGGAATTAATATTGGTAACCGTACTAGTCCTAGTACTAAGGTGATTATAAATTGCTGAAAAAGGTGTGAGCCAAGTTGATCAGCAGATTATCCCGAGCTTGACATTTGGAGGGAAAACGATCCATCAATCCGCAAGCCTCACCACTTAAGCATGGATCTGTCCTTCCCTGCTTCCGATCCTGGACTGGCATGTTCGCAAGGCATCGGAGGCCGCAATACCTGCGCAATTCCTCCGCACGAGGACAATAAAACAAGCAAAACGTGGCAACACGCCTGACTCTACTTATTTGTTCTTGAGTCACCGTTGCCTTACTTCAGGAACTTCATGCTACCCAAGCCACATAAACTCACCGTAACTTGCATCTCTTCATTCAGGATCGTACTTTTGTTACCCTGATCTTTTGACAGTTCAAATTCGACGTCTAAACACTGCAGTGTTTGGGCACGACTATACCGCGTGCCGTAAGGCAAACAAAAGAGGCCAGCGCATCAACGCTTCTCCGAGTGAAGTGTCTTCGCGTGTCATCCTCAAGTCAATTAATATTGCTATTCTGTCTGGTCCTCCTTTCGCCTTTCTCCACTCCCCATCCCCAAAGACTTCTACTTATCGACACAAACCTGAGCTCCCGTAACTTTCCGTTCCTAACGCCATCACAATATGCCTGCAATTACACAATCATACGAAGTCTTACTCGACTTCACGAACGATACGCATGACTGCGCAACGATCCAGTTACTGCGTGATTATGGCCGGAACACTAGCGCAGTTGTTCTGCTACACCCTGGAGAAAGCCTCACCCTAGTCCTCGAGGCAGGTTCCATGTATAAATATGCTCTCAAATCACATTCCAAGGTTGCCAACGTGAGGTGTGTATGCACGGCCAGTCTATCGTTCGTTTCTCATATGTATTGTATACAGTGCACGGAGCTGGCGAGATATTCAGTGCGAAATATCGCATCTATTTGCTGCTAGCCCACCCTCATGGGCTTCTTTACGTGGGTCCACGGGTTCGCCCGCCAGCGGCGTCACCGTTGACCGAGTATGGCGGGACTATCGGTTCAATGTTTGGAACGATGCTGTAAGTAATTACCATATCCCCTGTCAATTATTCGGTCTTACCTCTAATAACCAGTGAAGCAAGCCCTTTTGACGAGATACTATACCCTGAGGGGCAGAAGCCTTCATACGATACCAATCAGCATTTGCACGTAATCTTGTAACGTAAATTTATTTCTTTATTGTTGCTGGTACACACCTCATCTTGCAATTGAAATTCACGCCGTAGGATGATACGCAATCAAATGTTTATTGTTGTCATCCTTCCAAATTGCGCAATCGACATTGTGTTGATGACATATTAAGGGTAATCAACCTGCTCCGGTTCGACAACGGCGAGTGGAATTTTACGGATCTTCTGGGCAGGGATATAGATGTGAATGCTGTATTTCAGGCTCTGTACAAATCAGTGCGTGAAGTTTTTCGGTGGCTTGAGATAAGGTGGGGATGTCAGCCGGATTAACACTCCGATGGTCCAGGTGCACTGCAGCATGCATGATATTTGCTGGTCATGATAATCTCCCCATCGTAATGTTACGGGCTATACGTGCTGAACGCTCGGACTGTCGCGTGAGAATGATCATAGCCAGCGCCATATGTATGAAGTCCATTGCATCATGACCAAGGACGCATATTTACGACAAACCATCTCCTGAACGTGCCTTTCAACCTCCTGACACAACATGCAAGTTACCGCTAGCATAGTACAGTTGGTGAGTCTGCGTGGGGATAGGCTCATCTACCTTTGCTGATGAATATATGCCAAGCAATTTGCAAAGTTGCACAGCTGGAATACAAACTTCGCGAAGATGGCTCAACTATGAAAGCCCTCGCATGGTTCGTGACAGACGTTCGAATCATCGATATGCATATCCCCGACATCACAGAATCGGACGACGTGGTTGTTGAAGTGACAGGCACAACTATTTGTGAACCAGATTTACATCTGTACCACGGGGAGATCATAACCCTTGAGAAGGGCGATATTTTGGGTGCAGGAAGGTGACACCGTCAGAAGACCCAGAATATGGTTTAGTGTATTTACACTGTCGAGTTTCCAACCTAACTCCGAGCAGGTCTCGGTCCCATTGGACAATGCTTCGCTCGCTGAGCAAGATTGAAGGGAGCATCTCGCATCATCGCTATAGTAGACCAAGTCCCAAAGCGTCTGGAGCGTGCAAAGGAGCAGGGTTGCGAAGTTATCGACTTGGAAGGTCAAGGACGTTAGTCAGAAGGTTCATGAAATAATTCCCGGAGGACTTGACGTCGCACTCGACTGTAGTGAGCCCGCCGCAAACACATCCAGTTATATTGTTTGACACAGTTCTCAGGTACATACCACGAGCCGAAGACCTTACTTCACAGAGGGATGGAGATACTCATACTTGAGACTGATGTTCCCGAGACTGCAAACGAGATGATCGTGTCTGTGAGGAAGATGGGTCGATGCGGTCTCATTACTGCGTATACTGGTTTTACCAACAGCTTCAACATCGGTGCGCTCATGGAGAAATGTGTGAGATTTATCGGCAACGGTCAAGCGCCAGTCCACAAGTGCTAGAAAGAAATTCTGTACAACTACATGATGTACATCATGACGGGCAAATTCGACCCCAAATTGTGAGTTTCTTCGTCCTGCTTCAGGCGGTTCACTTCACCTAGTTTTTCGGTATAATTTCTCATCGCGTACCGTTGGAAGCCGCTTTTGACAAACACATAGGTGTTGAAAAAGTGTTTGTGGAAACTCGGTTCAGACGGTTCTCCTCGCCGCCTTCCGACGGAGCTCCGAAGCTCAGTCAAGTTGATGACTGGGTGTATTAAGTAAAGCGTCAGTCCTGTATTGTCAGCAATTCTTTCCTGATACGTCTCTAGTATTGTTCACGAGTCATGTTTTTATGTATATTGAAGTCGTGGCGAAAAAGTCAGCTACCTAAAATGCTGTCGTCACGGTGATCGTATATGAAATGCTTAGCTGGTAGCGATGAAGCTTGAAGCCGTGCAGCCATCTATGCTTATGCAGTTGTCTGCGTTTCCACAGTGCATTTCTGTACGAACTATTGGGCATTTGGACACGGGTGCGGGACGCTGGCCTAATACTACATGGAGGACATGGGGAGGATACCATGCGAGCGAAAGGTCACTGAGCACCAAACATACGGTTCAACGTAAATGCGACACGCACGACTTTATGCATCGTGCACAGCATGTCGATTGTGTAGGGCTGGCAATGAGTTCGAAGATATATGATGATCAGTACGAGAAGACAGAGGGAGCGCGTTTGAAGACACTAAGTGCGGTTTACGAAGTGAGGCAGAGACTCTTGAAAGTTATCGGATCCAAGTCTGCTTGGAGCAAAGAAAGCACTGAGTGATTCTGCTATCGACTACAAGGGTACATACCTGGACTATATACTTTCGTGAGTGGCTCAATAGCCAAGCTGTGAATACGTGAACGAAGGTGTGAGGCGAACGGAGACAAGGCTGGCGCTGAGCGCTGAGGCCCATCCGAGAATGTGCAACGAGGCGTGACACATGATGTATGTGAGAATGTGAAATGTGAAAGTGTGAAACGTTATGCAAAGTCATGCACAAGAGAATGTATTTGCGTGTCTCGAATGTGAAAGGTAGAATCTCCGCGCACCGACGATACTCGGAAATGGCTCAATTGCGCCTTTGATCAGAAGTGTTAGTTTGCGGCGTGGAAGATAAGGAGTCCTTACAATTATGGCGAAGATCACATACCACTCATGCTACACAAGATGAGCACGCATCAGACTATCTGGAGCAGACTGAAGAGTTATACGTGACTCAAGCTCGAATATTATGCATGAATTAGAACCTAAGATTGTAATCAAACATGCATGAGGTATATATTATGCCAGTGCATGCCTGCCCTTCCAACGAGCGGGCCGACCGAGTGCCCCTTGAACGAGCCGCATTGCAGGCCGAGTCTCTCCAGGTGATGCAACACCTGCACGGGCTGGCAAAACTGGGAAGCTGCCCACAAAGTTGGGGTTCCCTCGTTTCCGAGCTTTCTCCTTCTCCTTGGAGTCAGCTCGAAGTTGCATTTTGGCTTCGGCGACCGGCTTGGCCAAAATGGTTTCCTGCGTGTTCGCATATAATCAGGATGAAGAACAGTGACAGTAATTGAGGTCTTACAATATAAGCTGAAGCTTGACACCTATTTCTGTTAATGCCTCTCGTCCTCGATATTTCATGACTTTCTGAAGATTACGCCTCGTCGTTGGCCGCAGTTCACCGCTGTCAAGTCCACCCAAGTGCAGCTCTTTTGCAACGACAATATCTGCGTTTTGAACACCGCTGTTGACGACACCGCGGGGTGAGTCCCACCGAAGCTTTTCATTCAAGAGTTCCCGCCCTACTGCGCGTGCAGTCATCTCCAATTTGAAGTCACGGGGATTGTCGACGAGCTCAAGGAGAGCAATGGGTGCATTGTCTCCGAATCGATTGTCGAGCCTATGAATCCGCGTGTAGCCTCCTGGCCTGTTTGCATAACGCTCGGCAAAGGTAGTGAAAAGCTTAGGGAGGACAGGAGGTTTCAAGATGAATGCTTGAGCCTGGCGATACGAAGTCTCGTTGTTCTTCTTCCCCAACGTAATGATCTATTCACGCGTGAGCAGACTGTAAGAGATAAAACTGTGGTCTTGCCTTCTCTGCCAACCTGGCAGTGTCTTTGGCCTTGGGTAATGTTGTTCTAATCTGCTCGTGTTCGAAGAGGGAAGTCACAAGATTCCTATGGTATTTTTAACGCCAGTGTAACCAAAATGAACTGGTTTGCCCACCGTAGCATTAAATTCCGATGCGAGGATGTCCTCGAGAATTTTCGAAAGGCTACTCCATGTTTCATAGCTGCCTAAATTCGCAACTTATTCTTCAGAACAAGTGACACGAGAGGATGTAGCAACCGACGTATAGTGCCGCCTAGTACATACGTACCGAAAATTGCTTACACGTGATCTGATAATGAACAACAATATGTATGTATAACAGCAGGTACTTATACGTGCATAGATTTATCGTCCGTGAGTATGTGTACTACAATGTGCTGTATGTAACGCATGACAGTGGGAGCGACGAGTTTTTACGAGAGGGGAAGAGGGCAAACACAAGCATGAGAGCGAGGCAAGAAGGCGAAGGGAGAAGGCGAGAGAAAGATATGAACACGTGTGTAAGAGTTTTGGACGGAAGGAGACGAATGCACAGGCGGGTAAGAGGACAGTATCAGCACGTTGTACCGATGGTGTGAGACGATGCACGAAACAGAGTATGGCTGAGACAGTATGCTGACAACAGCAAAACAAGAAGTGGCGAGGTGACGGGACATGATACATATGGTACGCGTGTGCGAATGGAGACGCAGGTTCAAGTTTTGAGCAGTCTCCAATACGAAAACAGACACCGAATTGTGTGTATGCCAAATTACTCCTCTTGCTGCTGTTGTTCTCTGCCGACCCTCCTCTCCTTCTCGCTCTCGAGCTGATTATAGAGCAGGAAAAGGGCCTTTTCGTTGGCCTCCGGAGTACCGACGATGGTAAACATCCGTTCGCCTGTCTCATCATGTGGAGCTTTGGCAATGGAAATCTTGGATCCTGACAACCGCCGAATTTCAGTAATCTTGCTTCCACTTCGACCAATGATACATCCAACCATATCCGATGGTATGGAGATGTTCTGTGTGCGCAGGTTGGCTGTTGACTGTGCAACGGTAGGTGAATGGGGCGAAGGTGGTGGTGAACGTCGGGCTACATCTCCATTGGACTTGCGAGCTCCACCCGAATAGCCATTAGCTGATCGTCTCGTACCTGAGGTGGCATCACCAGCACCAGGATGGAAAGGAACGGTGCCCTGACCCCTCTCCCAGTCTTCCAGTAAGCACTTGCCAATCTCCTCGATGGCACGGCCGATCGAATCAGGTGCGCCTTGTACCTCGACAATGCGCTCAGTTGATTGTGGGAGCATCTCCTTTGACGCCACCATGCGCGCGCCCGAAGCATCCTGAATAGCCTTGATTTTGCCACCGCTGCGGCCTATTATTGTACCCATAAGATTGTGAGAAATTAAAAGACGGATTGAGGTATGAGGCGATGATGATGATAGGGAGATGGGTGATGGGCTGGATGCCACAAGTTGGGAGATTATGAGGTTGTACGCCTGAAACATGAGCCACAACGTGTGAGCGCTAAATCGAGTATATATTTGAGTTGACTTGCCTTTGCAACGGCTTCAACAGATCCGCCAACGGTAAGGACGCGCTCGTGCACGCCAGGGATAACCTTACTGACGCCAGCTCTGACGCCAGTCTGCTCACGAAGATCAGCGACATTTTTCCCGCCTTTGCCTATGATTACGCCAGCTTCCTTTGTGTTAACAAGAGCACGAAGAGTCAAGGTGTCATGAGCATTATCTGGAGAAGATGAACGTGATCCTGGGGGAGAAACTGATGTGACATTCAAATATGAGTTGTAAAGATCACCCCTAGATAAAAAGATGAGATTACCAGAGGCGTGTCGAACTGGAGACTCAGCAGACATTGTGAGCTGAAAGAAAGGGGAGAGAGAGAAGTGAAAGGGGATGGAGATGAGGAAACCGAACTTATTTAAATGATGATGATGGAGGTTAAGATGCAAAGAAACGAAACTTGTTAACAAAACTTGCCACCGTCGTCGATACCTTTTTCGGTGCCGCTACCGTCCGATCACACAGCCACATCTCATATGACGTTTAAGGTCGTCTCTCCCAAACTGTTGTCAAAGTCAATTATTATCCTTCAATTTGTATCATATGCATGCCTAAAACTACATCTCTGTTGCAAGTGTTTTTGGTGGAGGTTCATCGTCATAAAAAAACGCCAGCTCAGCAGAGATCGCATAGTTACATGCATGTCTTATGGGAACCATCATAACATAAAGTAACGCAAGCACATAGAAGGTGAAGTAGTCTCTCATCCAACTAGTACCCCAGCGTCGTCAGTTTCTCAAAGGATGGCGAAGCATCCGAAACTGCCTTTTGGCGCAACTTCAGTGCTGTAATCTATGTATCATGTCTGAGTCAGTCTTGTTCAATGAAGCTTGTCCAGTTCACGTACCTTGCGCTGGTGGAAGGCCTCAGCCTTGATCTTCCTCTTCTCCTCAAGACGGTCCACAACATCCTTGTAGCCCCAGCCAACCTCATGCGACAAACGCTAAATCACACCCTGTTTATCATCCAAGTCATACGACTGAACGACTGAGCCCACCTTAACAGTACAGTATTTCCGGCCGGGTTTCAACCGCAACACACGCAAAGCCTCAGGAACAACCATCCGCTTTTTGTGGTCGTATGGTGGTGGAACACCTTCGAAGAGCTTCAAGCGCTCAAGAGCGGTGGCACCCCGAGGAGTCTTGTGGGGAATCATACCACGAATAGCACGGAACAGAATTTTGGAAGGAGCACGGTGATGGAAAGGCCCAGATTTCCTGGGGTTGACAATATGGCGTTTGTGGAGGAAGTTGTGGTAGCGTAGCTAAATGTTTAAGCGTATGCGTCTCGTTCATTGACTGGTTTAATGAAATGACCAAATACCTTGTTGCGGAAGAAGCTGCCGGAGATGTTGATCTCCTCACACCTCACGACAACAATCTTCTGGCCAGAGAGAATCTGCTTGGAGATTATTGAGGCCAGTCGACCAAGGAGGTGACCCTTGCCATCAATAACGATGGGTGTCGATGAGAAGGTGGCCATTACAAAGTCTATCAAAACGCGCCGGATTCAGCTTTGAAAATAGCGACATGAATATTCCGTGCTCACCTAGGGGATAGAAATACGTGTTCAGGAGCGTCTACACGGCGGATAGGATTCTTACCTTGAAGGTCTTGAGGTCGTTGTCGAATGTGGGAACTTGCAAGTCTCAGCCACTGTGACCAGAACTATGCAGTTCCTTTCGGCAATCTCCGAGCTTTCGATTGAAACTTTGTTCAAACGTTCATCACAGACTTTAAAAAATAATCAAGTAACTATAGTGCGCGTCGGGAAGTTATCATGCTCTTTCTCTCTCGCAGGCTCCATCACCAGCTATGTTCCAGGTATAATATTCTGATAATAAAATACTCCCGCTTGGCCCGTGGGGCACTTTATGCCATAGCGACGGAATCATTTGCTGAGGCGGGATACACAAATTACGTTAGCGGGATACATTAAGATACACGTCCAGTAGGTCTCCTATAAACATGTGCGCAGTGGACTCGGCGAATCTGATAATCGGACGTTCAACGCTAGTTGAGGAATCCATTGATACTGTCATAACTTGGCCAGCAAACTCGGCGAGTCATACTTTGCTGCTTCCCTTGCAATCCACTCTGCTGTCCCGTACTCCGTTATCGTCCATGCCTTCTCGGCGATCGCATGTTCCTTCCAATAAGCAACAATTCTTGGGCGAGTCATGACTGCTATCCATAATTGCCCGCACAACGGAAAATTCCCTCCAGGTACCAGCCCCCGCTTGACAGATGGAAACACTTGCGTTATAAACGTGATGGCTGCTGCCACTGTTGCATGAAGCGCAGTCAGTGGGCCCATCTCTTCTGGCACTACTCTCATCTCCTTCTGTAGTTCTCCGAGTGCAGCTTCTGTGTTGCGCAGGTATCGTACGGTGATGGCTTTCCAAATCTTATCTCGTGATGGTGGCGCTAGCCAATCCTGTGGTTTTTATTTCTCAGCTCACTTCTAATCACAGTGACTTTAATTACCTCTTCCCCACTCAATTGCCATACCCTGTTGGTGAAGAACAAAGATGCTTCCTTGATCATCTGTGTGCGTGCACGGGTTTGGAGTGGGAGGTCTTTATTCAACTGCCGGATGATCGATGCTTTAGCGCTGGTGCAGTTTATTTACGGACGCGCAAGACTCCTTACCGTAGTTCCTGGCAGTGTCAGGATCTCCTCAAGGTAAGACAGGATAGCTGAAGTCTCTCCAAGCAGAAATTCGCTTCTTTGTTTAGAGCTTTTGTCTGTTACTCGAAGAATAGGTACGCCACCATATGGAAACATCGCAGGCGTAACTTGGCCTGCCTTCTTCATTTCTACCCACTTCACACGGGGAACTTCTTCGTACTCAAACTGGGTTCCCGAATCTGCGAGAATGAGTAGCACCGGTTCACATCGTGCTCGCACGGGAAAATAGGTGATGTGGATGTGGTATGTAGATGTGGACACCATGGAAGTTACGAACATTCAGCCGAACTCGAACCTTTGATAAGTAGGCAAGAGCACTTGAGAACGGTTTCTGGCACCCTTTTATTACTCGGACCTTCCTCGGTTCCTTCAATCCATGAGCAAACAAGGTACTGACACCCTCACGTCATTCACACTAACAAGACCCGGACTCTTCCCTACATGTTCCGTTCTGAGGATTGGTGGCGCCTAAGTGTGCTTACATATAAATATGACGAATGGCTACTAAAAACTCACCGATGCATGGGGGATGTTACACATCACTGACAGAAAATAAGGTCACGTACCGGACGCTCCCTGTCCATGCATAACAGTAACAATACGCTTGACAGTTGTTGATACCAGTCATCATCAAACATGTTGATCACAAGTCAATTGACGTGCAGACAACATTGCTTCACGACTTTGTTTCACACGGTTATAGAAAAAAATGCAGTTGTATAAATGAGTAGGGGCGCGTAAAGGAGCTGGCTAATGACTGTGCTACCAATCCCTCACTGAGCTACAAAGAAGGTCAGTAAATACATTGCAAAGATAAATGATGTCCTGACCTTCTGGTGTCTTTGCAATATAGTCGATAGCTAAAGGACATTTACAAACAGTTAGTAGACAGCCCATATAAAATGGGCAACGGAAGCGCACCTTGCTGTACGGTTTTTATCTCATCGGCTTCCGCATCCGGAATCTCAATGGCAAACTCCTGTTAAAGTACGTGTTGAGGTAGTTCTCTGTGAATATAGACGTGGCCACGCACCTCCTCTACCGCCATAACCACCTCAACTGCGTCTAAGCTGTCGAGCCCGAGATGATCCGTGAATGAAGACGAAGTTGTGAGCTAATACAGAGTGCTGTTAACAGGAAAAAAGGTGTCATCGGAGAAAACATTCAGACCTTGGCTGCGTCCACTTTCTCGAAGCCCTTTAGTACGTCCAGTACGCGTGTCTGTATGGTTTCCTTCGACAACCCTGCTGCTGCCGAGTAGTTCGCACGAGATACCCAGGTCTGTCTCGAGGACGACGCAAGCACGGGTCGTGCACGAGTCACACTGCGAAGGGCAAGGCGAGTGAAAGACATGATTTGCAAAGGCAACGTTTTACAACTTGGAAGGAAAAGTCAAAATGTCCGGCTTTGGCCGAAGCGGCTAGACTGTGATCACGTGGGCGCAACGCGCTTTTGATTTTGATTTTTTGATAAGTCTGAATCGATCGTCATGATTCCTCTACCTCACCGGCAATTCGAAGCTGGCTCGTCTCGTCACCCTCAGAATGCACACCAGCACGAGGATGCTAATCATTCTGCATACGCATATGCATCCTCCCAGGCTGCGATGGCCGGAAACGCCATAACAGCGGCATTGGCTAACCCGTATGCTCAGCATGGAATGTCTCCTCATTATTATCAGGCATATATGCAGGCCATGCAGCCTCCGATAAATGCGCAAGGATATACCCTATCGTCGACTTACATGCTTCAACACACCACCGGTGGAAGTGCTCCGCGAAATGTATCCCGTGAAGCTAGCAATAATGTCCCTGTGCGGACTAACGATAGAAGGTCAGATTCCACTAGTGGCCAAGCGTATGCTAGTTGGTACCAGTCTGGAAACTGTCGTTGTACTCGTCAGGGTTGTGTGTTTACTGGTTCTAAGAAATCAGTCGAGATACATATGATGGACCGCCACTTTATCTTTCCCCCTGGATGGCAGAAAAAAGACGAATGGGATACCGACCCAAGTCTAAAAGGGTAGGTTTAACTTGAGTTCTGTCAACCTGGTGACTTTGGATTAATTCATAGCTTAGCAAACCTATTGCGATTCAGGGAACATCTTTAATCCTCGACTCCCAAGAGGCGATCGATGGTTGGATAGCAGAGCGCAAGACCCGGTTTCCTACTACACAGAAGGTGGAAGACAAGAAGAGGAAGCTTGAGGAAGCCATCGCGAGAGGCCAGCTGACACCTGAAGACATTGGCTTACAAGCGAGAAGGAAGCGGAGAAGGGAAGATTCGTCATTTCGGGGTCAGCAACCAAGGGGTCGAGGGAGGGGTAGAGGAATGGGTCGTGGCAGTCACACTAGTTTCATTGTCTCGAGGACTCCAGACACATCGTCACCGATGAAACCTCAAGCAGCACCTCTTTCCTCATCAATTCCTACGGAACAACAGGACAGATCTGATCTAGACTCTAGTTCGGATGATGGTGCTCCCGAAGTTGTGTCTTCTAAGCCTCCTCCAGCTGCAGAGGCAGTCTTGGTCTCAACACCACAGCTCAAGCAAGAACTACAATCACAAGCGCCACCCAAACCCATAAAGAGGCCACCTCAACCTCAACCCAAGCTCCCGCCGCGAAATACATTCGCGTCACGACCTACCTTGCTTAGGAGTGTACGTAGTGCTTGTGTCCATTATCTGTTGGACTGCGAGTTGATATATTTCATCTAGTTGCTTCTTCCTGAAATTCGCATCACCGTATCAAACTTGTCTCAAGCGGTTCGATTTTTGGTTGACAACGACTTTCTGCGAGGAGTAGAGTTGAAGCCAGGCGAGGCGCAGCAGAAAATGATTGAAGTACTGGGCAGCACTGGTCCCCAACTTCAAACCGCTCTCTCAGATCCGAAGTCCCAGATGACTGTATTAGAATAGTAATGATATCATTGGCCAAAGTGCGGGAGTAAGTAGGGATGTTGTGTAGATTCATCGTATAATTATCGTTCATCGTCCTGAGTCGCTCTCACTATCACCATCGCTCTCGCTTCCACTCCCATCCTCATCGGCTTCGACCTCCAACGTCCGTTTCTCAACTTCGAAGCCATAACCAGTCAATCCGGCCGCAATCTCGGCCGCCTTGGAAGGTGCGGTGACCACTGTTACCATAGATCGCTTCGAGTCGAATACAGGCAAAATATGCTTTTCCAGAGCAGCAAGCACATCAGCCTTCGTCACTTCCTGGTACTTCTCTAGCATCTGCAGGCTGTGGTCTTGGGGAACTCCTCTAAGAGCTTGGTTAGTAAAGGAGTTAACAGCCTATGACCACTGTTAGCATGATTCAAGCTCGAATAAATACACGTACAGCTCGGCCAGCCGTTGCGACATTCTTGGTGACGCCATAAACAATGCTGCTTTTGGCTGCATCAAGAGCGGTTTCCTCCAGCGCCACCTTGCTTTGGATCAGTAAATATTATGATCAGGAAAACATAAAACACACAGTCCCATCAACTAGTCCGCTAACGACCTCTTTTGCTTGTTTGAACGCTTCCAGGCTGTTGGAACTCTGCAAGAGCATCAGCAAAAAAGTTCACCGTTCGCCCAAGAGTCGCATACCCGGTAGAGGGAGAATGTGAGCAAGCCAGCTTCTCTATCTACAGTTATGTAGGCGCCATACGCAAGACCAGAGCCTCGGATAGAACGCTACACATGTAATAAGTAAGATTTGGTTGCGCTCACAATGTGTTCACCTACCCAGAGGAAGCTTTCTGTGGCATTGAGAACCTCGAGAGCCACCCGGAGAGCGGGGAATTCAGGATGATCGAAGCCTCGTATTGCTTTCGTAGTGTGGTTAACGAACGAGCTTTCGATCGTTGGCAAGCTGACCACGGTAGCCTAAGAGCAGGAACCGGTAAGAATGCTGCAGAGCCGTAAAACAAAAGCTCTTCGCACCTTGGTTGCAGGATTCTTACCCAATTCACTAAGCGTGTGACTCGTAAGCTTCAACGGAGCAAGTTTGGATTCCTGCGTGATCATGAAATGATGCCGCCGATGCTAGAAAAAGAAACACGTACCGGAAGAAGGTCCCCAAAGTGCTTAGACCAGACGCTCCTTGGCTTGGGTATGTCCAAAACGTTACCCGTGACTGATATCCGTACTCCAGTGGGATCCGTCACTGGTCATATTGTGAATGAATGCCATGTCATGCTTTCATGATACGTACGGTATTTCCTCAGTTCCTCAAAGTCCGCGACCACTGTATCAGGATCCTCTTGAAGGTTCTGGATAAGTTTCGGCACAAATTCTGATTGAGGGAGGATGGCGCCAGCGAGCGATGTCGAGCTCTTATCGTAAAGCATCTCGGCCCATACAGAGGACAGAACATTGTTTCCATCACGCTTGAGTTCCGGAAGCGACTGTGCCAGCTTGGCAGCAGAAATTTGCAGTCTACACCGCGTGAGACATAAAAACTAGACGAATACCACGAGACCCTACCTTTCCTTGTCAAATATCGAATTGTATACGAGATCACGTAACCATGCGATGGCTGATTCGTACTGGGATGTCTCGACCTTGAAGCTGACGCGCATTAATTCGGAAAATTGGTCGGATATACCGAGAACAGCCTCATACGAGACTGTCCCATCGTCGAGCTGGTTGACAACCTCTTCATGGCTGAGTACCTCTCCTGAAGCGCGTTGCACGGGGAGCGAGAAAAATACCGAGAGATAAGTCGAGAGATAGGGCCGTAGCCTATTAGGCAACTTAGCCAACGAAAAGAAAGCATGGACAGCAACGAAGTCGGACTGGACAGTCTTGAGCGTCATGATCAAAAGGAGATTATGAAACCTTTACCTTGACATGGTCGTATTGTACAAACATAGAAAGTGGCGACCCATCAGACTGGATGTGCTTGGAAAGCTGAGACTGTCCAAAATTCTGCACAGTACTTGACCGCCCTTTTCCAGGCTCTTGAACGCACTGAACAGGTATCCAGGAAATGCTCTTCACATCCGGAACAGGGAACGATGTCAAAACATCAGTCGGTATTGGCTTCTCATGCTCAGCTTTTGCAGCTTCCAACTCCCGTTCTGCATTGACAAGACCATCTGGACCCAGCGTCTCCCGCTGAGTAACAAGGCGAGCCTTTTCATCCTTCTCGAGCTTCTCTGCCAGAGTTGCAGAAGGTTTGCCAATGACGACAACGTAAGGGCGGTCAACAATGTACCTAACGGTAGTTGAGCTATGTCGAGGTCATCATCTATCATGACTTACTTGCGCAAGAGATCCACCCATTGTGAGCTAGTCCATGTCCGTAAAGTCCTGTAATGATTGATTTCATCTAGGGCAGGGTGCATGTCCGAACCATCCGCAGCACCGTACAAGAAGTCACTTATGATGGCACCTGAAAAGGTGTCGCCTTTAGCTGACTCCAATTTGCTGCGAAGCTAGGTGACGTCAATAACGTCAATGTTTGATCACGGCCTGGTGGTGCCAACCTACCTGGCGTTCATCCCGGTTGATGACCATGGACATTCTCGTCATATCTATACCATCCGAGGCAATCTGTTTGAAACTTGCGACAAGCTTCTCATCGAAGTTCTCCAACGCTTCGACAGGGACTGAACCAATATAGATCGGCAGATCAACCATTGTCGCGCGAGTGTCTTCGCTAAAGTAGATGTACGAACTTACAAGGAGTGTCGTCAGTCTAATACCGCACCAAATTATGAACCAGATACTCACCAGAGCGGTGACTCGATTTCGATGTACTCCTTGTTCAAAGGGGCAACAGGCGATGATGTAAGGTATGTAGCAAGAATGTCTAAAGCCTGTGAGATTGTAAGCTCCGAATCAGAAGGTTTGTAAGACCACAGACTTTTCGCTCCACGAAGTCGTTGGGCGAGGGACCAGTATAAATGATCAAAAGTTCGCCCTGGCTCTCGTCCTTCTCAGGAAACTCGACGGTTTCCTTCGTGATTTTCTTGATGGGAGAACGGTTGGCACTAGCAGTCTCTAAGAAGGGTCGTTTCCAACCGCTCGGGCGGGGCCCATGGTTTTGACCATGTGAAATGATACTAGGTTCAACCTTGTCCTGCACTACAGCCAACAAAGACTTTGTTCCGGTAGAAAGCTTTCCGGTAACGATCAAGGACAGATTATGCGGAACATAGTAAGTGGCGTGATAATCCCTGACTAAGATCAGGAGGACATTAGTGAAGGATGGACGCCAAGAGGGATTGATTCACTTTGCTCGACAGAGAGTGCCCTAAGTGCTGACATGAGTCCACCAGTTTCGCTACGATAGGCACTCCCAAGGGGGTACAAGAGACGCTGTGAGCTGAAAGGTAAACATGAGCAGTAAAAACAATGGTATAGCATAATAACGGACCGAA